ACCACAGTGCACAGTATGCGTTGTTTTTTTTCCCCTCAATTCATTCCTCCCCTACTGAAAAAAAAAAAAAAAGGTTCTGAAACGCATCTATGTAAAATCTCTCTCTCGATCTCTCTCTCTCTCTGTCCTATTTAGTGAGACTTGTTCATCTCGACTGCCTTAGGGTGTCAATGACACAGCTCGCTTCCGAAACCTCGAGAAAGTATTTTTAAACGGCAAACAGCTCCCGTGAGAATACGAGCACGCCTTTGAGCAATTTTAGCAGAAGTGTAAAAGCACCGGTAGGGAGGAGCAGTTCTCCTTCCAGTTTAGTGCGGCGACATCTTCCGAGAACATGATAATGCACGGTGGCGCACCTGTGACTAAAGACAGGAAAAAAATAGCCGGACAGTCTTGTGTATTTGGCTTAATGCATTAGAAGAGCAAGGTGGACAATTGAGGCTTGAAGTGCTGTGCTGGTGGGTGAACGGGCGGCGCAGTTGTTCCCGGTACAGTGAATTAGACGGGGTCGCTTCGCTCTCTGTGGAGTGCCTGGTAATTTGCCAGATGTAGCAATTATCGGTAGCTATGGAAACCGTACTTGGTCCATTTTCTGGATTTAGCTCCTCTTTTGTGTGACAGAAAATCTGTTGGGGGCGGGAGGGCTGGTGTTTTAAGAAAGGTCCTTTGATTGCTTGATGATGTCAGGGAGCAATGATGGAGGGTTGGAAGAAGGATGATTATTTTTATTCTTTTTTTTTTTTTTTTAGTTGCAAGAAGGATGTTTTTTTTTTTTTTAAGGGATGTTGTCAGCGCTTACTAGAAAAGAACATTGCTCACTCTGTTTCTCTGCTTGCTTGCTAGAAAAGAACATTGCTCACTCTGTTTCTCTGCTTTGTGTAAGTTGAGTCAGCTTTGTCCAGGGGTTGTAGGCTGAATCAATGCTGTACAGACGCATGTGCATGGCCAACACATGAAACAGCTGATCTGAAGTAGAAAAAGAAACTGCGTTATTTTACAACAACAACAACAAAATAAGTTCCTATATGGACTCTTAAGTATCTGTTCAGATGAAGAACTAAACCAGACGAATTTATGGCCATGTTGGCTCGTTAGCTGAAACACTCATTTGAGAACGACTGTTCACTGGCGCTAAGGTAAGATGAAGAAAAACATTTACAATAGCAGGGAGCCTAATTTTTCATTGTGTGAAGCAGGTAAATTGAACTTACAATTAAAAAAAAAAAGTTCAATTCAGTTTGAAAACAATTCCATTTGTTGGGAGTTTTAAAAAGTAATTCAGCAGGTGCACAACCAATTGCCGAAGGGAAACGCAAACAGAAAACCACCCAGCAATGCTAATCTTTTTTATTTTTATTTTATTTTTTTATGTCTTTCAAGGAATGTATGCGACCTGACTGCAGAAAGTGCTCCACAGTAGGCCTTTTGTCAAGCACCAATACTTGGAGCAACACTGCCCCCCACAGGAGTATTTAGGCACAGCTAGAGAAAGTTATTTTTATTTCACCTCATTTAAAGAATTACTGGTAAATTGATACTCAAAATAGGAGGACTGTTGTGTTTTGTTACATAAAAGCTAAAGTGACTCATCATTCTTCAGATTTAAAAAAAATGAACAAATAGAAGAGCATCACATATCAAGTGAGGAGTGATAATGAGTTGAATTTAGTTGGGTGAACTAAAACAAGAAAAATCAAAAATATACATCTAAAAAGTGAACAAGACCTTTTACGATGTAGCATCAAAAGCTCAGGCTCCCAATCACACATGACACCTCTTGATGTGATATCAGGAGTAACTGCATGTTCAGTATCTGGCTCAACAGGACAATTGAACCAAATATCAAATGTACAAACGTTTGTGCAACCCTTAAAGAATGATCTGCAATTTCTACGTAGGAGGTTACAAGGCACCGTTGGAGCATACCGGCCATTTAGCAGCAAATCAGTTCCATCGCGAAGAGCCGACACTTAATGCATACCAACGGAATGAATTTGTGAGCATGGCTGCTTGGTTAATGTAGCTCAGACAGCTCGATTGTGAGCCTCCTCGCAGCCACTCAGGGATGACAGGCCATTTGTCTGCAGAAGCCTCAACTTTGACAGGTTAATTTCCAAACTAAAAATACTGCACACGGCAGCCTTTCATCTGCAACATCCACACAGTTATCTGCGCGAACAATTACAACGGATTGTACTTGGAGATTCAAGTCGTGAGTACGTATGTTTGCACAGGGATAGCCACGTTTCTCCGACATACGCCCTTTTATCAACCGTGACACCTCGGGCCATCAGCGAGGATTAGCATCTCTCCTTGACTACCATTGTTAATGGATCTTTTGTTTCCTTTTGTCTTTTTGTGGCGCAGGAATGACACAGACGGATGAGTTGGAGGTCGCGATCAGACAATTTGTTATGTTCGGTCATCGAATTTTGCATTTTACACCTGTAAAATGACGAGGCTGATCATTTATGGATGGACATTTTCCTGAAGCAGGACATGACATGTAAAATTCGGTCATGCATGACATTCCGGTCGGAAGTATCATAAGAGAGTGTGAGTAAAGGCTTACTGAGACACGAGCGCTTGGCGGCGGCACTGGCACCACCACAACACAAGTTGCCTCCCCGGTGCACAAGTTCTAATTCCAGGTTGGTCCTGCGGAGGCACGTTTAGAAATAGCATTTATTGAATACATTGATTTATGTATTGATTGATTACACATGCAAACAAACACAAAACTCCCTCCCGGGAAGCAGATTGTATATTTTACATCATTCATTATGAACTGGACGTCACGTCACGTCACACCCTCGCCCCTCCCCCACTCCCTCATGTGCTCCAAGAAAGAGATGCAAAGTACAGACACATATGGAGGGAACACAGACGTTAAAACGTCTGGATGCTTTGCTTTTTAGCCCCACGTTGCATTTTACATTTTCCGCACAGTATTTTAGTGTATGAAAAAGGGAAAATGACTTTTTAACAGGAATCTATTTTTCATCTGATAACTGTATTAAACAGCAACTCGAGAGCATTTTCACTGTACGTCTGCGACACTGAATCAGACATTGTTGACCTGCATAAAAACCCTCAATGGGGCTTAATTCTGACCACTAAACGCAACCTTTAAGACTACACAGATGCTGAACATTGATAGGTGCAACAAAAATAAAAAAAGATCGGTGCACAGTCTCCCATAAGCCATTTCTATGGCCTGCAAAGTGGGGGCCAATTCTCGAGTTTTCCTGAGAGCGGGGGGGAAGAAAAGCAATTTCAGATAGATAATGCAGCCACAACAAAGGTCCATCTGGCTTTTGCTGATAAGAGCAACCCTGTGACAGAGGAATTTTCCACTCCTCAGGCAATTTGCGCTGCTCATTGAACTTCAGAGAGCCAACAGGCACCCATACCATTGTTGTATTCGGGGCGAGGGGGATGAGGGAACCACGGCAGTAGGTGAGCAAAAGGTCTCGGTGGTGGCACACCGGGAAGCAGAGACGTTTTTAGAAATACGAGCGTGACCGAGCAGAATTCCCAAGGTCAACGAAAAGACTTGCACAACAATTTGGGTCGGTTACAAAGAAAAAAAAAACAATCAATCTCTGATAGGGTTAGTCCATGCATTCTTCTGGATGAGTGTGTAAAATATTTTCAATGACAAAGTGTGAAATATTATTGGCAAGATGTCCCCCCAAGACCATCACTTCCTCTGGATGCCGTGGCCAGCTGTCCAAATAATTATGTCCATTCAGTGTCGGTCCAGAGTGACTCTTACCTCGCCAAGGAGTACATGAAGAGGAAATCGTTGTCAGGGGAGCCAGGGTTCTTGCCATAATCCATGTACTTTTTCTGAGTGGTGTTTTTAATGTCTTTGATGACCGACTCCATTTCTTTACTCAGGTTGGACTCCGTCTGAGAAAATACAAAAGTCCCCCTTTCATTCTATACCGAAGGCAACGCAATTGAGCTGCTTAGGGGTCAAACGCCGCGCGTGACTTACTGGGAAAAGGCCGAGGTTGTCCTGAAGAGCTTCCACTTCCTTTATAAGCACACTGGTCTTCTTGTTTGCGGGAGAGTGCCATGCACCGGTCTCTGAGCCTCGCCCGGGTCGACAGGGAAGGACGCTGTTAGCAAACTGTCTACATAGCGGGCAAGTAAATTCACCCTTGTCAACAGAGAATCCCTGCAGGACCTGGTCGTTCTTAAAAAAGGAAAAAAAAAAAAAAAGAATAATTAAATGTTAGCTGATCACTCAAAAGTCCAATGACACGACAAAGACTCAATAAGAGGGCCAAGCGTTCGTTCAAACCCAATGGCCTCGCTAGCTCATGGATGGTGGATCACTTGATTAATGATGATAAATACAAATCGACAAGCATCGATTGTCTTTCCGTCAATCAAAAGCTCGAGCAAATCCACCTCGCGTCACGTTATGAGGACAAGCATTTTCACTTTACCCTCAGAGACTCCATATATGACTTGTGGCAATCTATATGCAAAGTGTGCCCGCAGGTCTGCACGTAGACGCCCCCGTCCCAACCTATTGACACCGACTGCAGGCAGGAGCTCTGCAGCATTGAAAAGGAAAAAAAAGATCACGTTCAATATAGATCTCATCAACCCTACGTACCGCAGTCCAGCATCTTGTGAATTTCATGTGGGTTGGAGGAACTAATGCATGCTCTAATTTTTCTCTTTTTTTTTTCAACAAAAAGAAATCCAAACGCCTCCAAGCATTCCAAGTGTTTTTTTTTTTTAACATCATGAGAAAAGCTAATGCCGTTTTTCCGAGTCACCCACATCCTTGAAGAACCGCTGTAAGAGGGTGAGTCGCACGTCATGAGCCACAGCACACGTGTCAGCAGAGTAAATGTGCTCTTCGTCGCTGGTCGGGAGATTCTTTGCCTCTCCGCTCTTGCAGCGATGTCCAAGCACTGGAAAAAAAAAACATTTTTCGAGGGATCACTTATTGATTAGCATTTCGACAATTTAAAAGGTTTCCTGCATATTCGAACCTCTCAACCTGAACACTTCACCTCTACTATGAATTCAATTTCGAAAGAAACAAATGACATCGTTTTGGGACGACGTAAATCCAAACACATTTGGAAAATATGCTGCAGTACCTGACGAGGCCTGCAGGAGAACAACTAAGCCAGCGGGTCTGTCCTCTGTGGAGGGTCCACTCTGCCCGCAGATCACACAGTCATAAAGAACTTCTGACTCCATCATCTCAGACGTTCCCAGGTCCATGGCTGCTTCCGTTTCTGGTGATTCTGGCACAAATGAACAGAAGAGGCACATTTGACCGACTTGAGTTAAAGTGAAAAGATGATGCGTACTTAATCTTTAATTACACACGTTTTACCTGACTGGACATTCGATAATCTAAATGAGTTTAAATGTGAAGAACTGCGTTGACGAGTGAGTATTGAGCATAAATGTCACCTTGTGTTGATTTATGACTTGTAGGGGAAAATAGAACTTAACAAAAGGTCACAGTGGCAGCTTTTGCCTCAGGCTGCCTCGGCGCTTGTGCTCACACACTGAAGGTGAAATGACAGGGCAACACGAATTTCATTTTTCAACATCAAGGCCGCGTACCTCCGGAGTGTACAAGTGTCGTTTCAAGCAATTGATTGAAAATGTCTCTTGCCGGAGCTTGTTCAAAGTGCTTGTGGAGTAAATCGAATTACTCAACATATCTGGTTCTGTTTTGTGGTGTCTCTTGTATAGCAACTGAATCTTGGTATCATCGGTCTGAATGATAGGAGTCTTGAATAAAAGACTGCAGATTACATTTCAAATGATGATCGAAAACTACACTTGATGAACAGCAAACACGAACGGGAAGACAGCCTTTGTGGTTCAATAAAGACGAATTGCTTCCTGGCTATGCAAAAATGACGCCCACTTGGATTTTGTAATAACTACCGGTATATCTGTCATCGGTCTGAATGAAAGGAGTCTTGAATAAAAGATGGCAGATTACATTTCAAATGATGATTAAAAACTACACTTGATGACAGCAAACATGAATGGGAAGACAGCCTTTGTGGTTCAATAAAGACTAATTGCTTCCTGGCTATGCTAAAATGATGCCCACTTGGATTTTGTAATAACTACCGGTATATCTCGTCCAATTTTTCGACGCGACGTTGTCGGAAGGGCGCAAACGCAGCACAGCGGGCTTCGAGCAAAGTCACAGCTCAGCGGAAAGTGTGTACACAGAGGTCACAATGGTCCCCGTCTGGCCAGAGCAGTCATTCGTCATTCACTAAACATTCTGTGTCAGAGGGGCCCTGGGAGTCCGGCCCACTATTAGCACAAACATCCCCTGTGCCCCCCACCGGCAGCCTCCGACTCGACAACTCGCATCTCCATTTGTTCTAACAGGTCACAAGCTCACCTCGCATCAACTTGCGTTAGAATATCTCTTGCGGTCCCCAGTGTTGCCATCCTACTGTAATAATGTATCGAGTGCTTTATTATGGTCTTGTGCATCGCATAAAGAGAAGAGGAAAAAAATAAATAAATCAACCCAAACAGGAATTCTCCTTACCAACATCCATAGCTGTTTCCATGAAACTCTTCTGTCTGGAGGCAAATTCAGCAAGCAGCTTCTGTTGCCTCTCTCGAGCCCTCTGGCGCCTGAAGGAAAGAGTAGGAAAGGAAATATCATTTGACTCATATGCAGCTCCAAGGCGCAAATCAAGAATTGAAAGAATTTCAAAACCACACGGTTGTCTCTCAAGCATTAAAAATGACACTTTGCATTTTAAAAGTTGGGGAAAAACTGACAAGCGGATATGATGTATTGTACGGCGCCACGGGTGCAGCTGTGGTTGTTTTGAAAGTGTGTTGCGATGGATTCAGATCCAACGCTGTCGACTCACAAGCTGACTTTAAATTAAGTCACTAATTTGGGGGGGACGTAAAAACACTGACGGCTCGATCACTTTAAGCTCGTTCACTGATGGCTTAATGAGTGGCTCCTCATTTCACTTTGGGATTAATGCGGCTGCAAACTGATGGTTGCCGTGGGCAGGGAAAAAAAAAACAAAATAAAAAAAACTTCAATGGAGAGCCAACGTACTAAATCTTAATCATGATTGGAAAAAAACAAAATTGGATAGTTTGGCAGCGTTGGGGATTATGTATGAAACATTTTCAGTGTTGAAATACTCAAGATAAGATGCCCATTTCACTTTAAAAATGCATCAAGTGAAAGTGGACGATCACGAATGAACATGAATTTCCTTTTTCCTTCGCAATACATGACGATTTAAGTCCTCGATGATAGTCTCAAATACTCCTCTTTGGGGAGGGCAAAGTGAAGCCAGATAAAGCGCCGCGTTCGACAAACAGCAAATGGCACGAAAAAGAAAGGGCGTTACCTTTCTTCTTTATCCATGGCTTTCTTGTCTGTCGGACTGTTCTTTTTTGGCGGCACGGGAGGATGCACCTTTCCACAAATGTCTCGGATGCTACGCTTGATTTGGCAGCTGCGCGTGGCCGCCTTGGTCAGGATTCGCTCGATGGCTGTAATGCCATCTCCGTGAGCGTGACGGCTCATGTCCATACTATCCAACCAGGATTCCGACAGCGAGTTCTGCTTGGATGACAGCTTCTGGTGCAGCTTGACCAGGAGGGACAGCATGCTCTCTCTGATCTCCAGGATCTCCGTCACCAGCTGCGGGGGCGTACCCGGCGGCACCCAGCGCGTCGACGAACTCTTGGGCCTGACGACCATGCTGGCCTCCGAACTGCTGCGGTTGATTATCTCTTGGAACTTCCTTCGGCGCTCCGCTACAAGGCTGAACACCTGAGCTTCACGTAGGTTCTGAGATGATAGAGAATTATTTTTTTATTTTTTCATGAATTGAAATTGTGAAATCTTCAACTTGAACATTCCATTTCTTATACAGCTATTGTGCAAATTTTATTAGGTTGTACTCATGCACCTGATTGTTCAAGTCAACTTTATTGTCAAATGTGCTACATGTGCAACATACAGCACAGATGAAATTTCTTTCCTCTCAACCACAGGACAGAGAGGAGCCGCTGCGGGTGCGCGCGTCGCCATCAAAAGTGTGGCCGTAACATGTATTCGGTGAGATTTCCTGCGATAAAAAGCCGCATGGACAAAAAGGCTGCACCAACAAAAAGTATTTAGAATGCATTTACGTTTCGTGACTTTTGAGTGCGTGTGGCTTAAAACGGTGGGGCCTGGCATGGTGAGTGACGTGGGCGCCAATGTATAAGTGTAGAGTTGACTTTTGTGGCGTTAGGTTAGCAGCTGGCTCCTATTTGTTAGCTCATGTGTGTGGTGACTTTGGACATTGTCTTTGACACATTCTCTCCTCCTAACTCACCAACGCTGTGCTAACTTATTTCTACACAGAGTGCTGCATTAGTCGGCAACAACATTCGTCCATATGGAACTAGGACAACGGTGAAGCTTAGCATCGGGAGACGTTGCTTTGACTTTTATTGTCATGGAATTAATAGCTATTGAATTAAACGTTCTGCTTTAAAAAGAACATATGGCATAAGGTACAAAATGAAACCATATCATGTTCAAAACGTGCTTCACAGCACAGAGCGTACACTCCACTTCTTATTCCGCCTGCACCTGGGTGCGCTGCTAAATCACCAGCTTTCAGCCTGACACTGATAATAAACCCGAGGACTTAGATGGATAGGAAGGATGCTTCATTACCATAGTCAAAAAGGTACAATGCACATCAAAGTCAAATTAAACATCTCGTCTAAAAATTCTGCCAACATTTCTTCATCATTCTTGTTGATAGCGGTACAGACAAAGCCATTACCCGGGGAGTCATCGCGAAGCGCACCTCCTATCTGAAGGATAGCAGTGACCCGACCTGCGCTGCACTGTTAAATAAACATACATCATATTCCCCAGACACGGCGACATCAATCACGCTGACATGCAGTTAAAAAGCGTTTACTCCAACCTGTATTACACACATAATTAGTTTCAGCAGTTGAGGGGCGGGGACGGGGGGGGACTGCTGATGCGTGGCGTCATACACAAACCACAGCACGCGGGAAGGCCCGACTTCGAAATGTGAACGGCAAACATATGCGCAAAAGAGTCTTTCAAATCATCAAAGGGCTACAAACGGCTACCTCTCTCCAATTGGCTGAAAGACGCCTGGAGTTCTGCGAAGTGAGGAAAGCACAGCGAACAACAACAACGATAATGATGAGACGCAGATCCCAACTGGCCTCCTCGGTAGATTTTAGACTCTTTTTAAGAGATGATTCCAAACCTCGAGTCCTTTACCTGGCCATAGGAGGAAGCTTCTGAGCTGGTGCTGGGCGGAGCCTCGCGCTTCACTTCGGGTGCCGTCTCAGGAACTCGAACTCTCACAAAGTTGATGACATGGTGCAGGTTAGAGATGAGGTTGGTGCCGGGGAACCAACTGTCGTGACAGTGCTCCTCGATGCAAGGCTCCTGAATACATGGGAGGAAAGGCTCAGCGAGTCCCATTTGGTCCGCATACTTTGGAACTGGTTGACTTGGCACACGTGCCGTATGATACCAATGCGCGACAACTAGAGAAATCTGTCTTGGAATTTGATCGCTAAGTGTGAAAAGGCAATTTCGGTCTTGCATTACAATGCTAGTAGCGACATACAACTACTTCAGCTGTATCCCTGAATGCTGAGGTATGCTCAGTGGTCTCTACGAGAATCAGATGGCTTCATTCAGTTACAGTTGGCTCATGTAATTTAATGTCAGAAGATTTGGGCTTCAAGCTTCACGATGCACTCATGGTTTTAATCTTATTTCAAATAGGGAGTTGTGCATCAGTTACGAAGAGATGTAATTGTCATCACAATGAATTCTTGGAGTTAGCACTTTGCTGTGAAGAAATTCCTTTTTTTTTTAAATTAATCTTCAGCCATTCAATATTCTAGCTATTTTATATCCCGACTGTGAAGAAATTCCTTTTTTTTTTTATTAATTTTCAGCCATTCAATATTCTAGCTATTTTATATCCCGTTCGGTCCGATTAAAATTTCTTTAAACGATCCTTTTTTTTTTTTTAATGACTCCCACCCCACATTTTACCTCGTCTTCTTTGCTGTCTTGAACCTGGTTGTCCAAGCCCAGCTCGATGAGGTAAAGCACCATGCACAGCACATGTTCAGACATATTCTGATGATCCATCCATATCTTCAAACAAAAATAAATAGAAAAAAGAAGGTACATTATATCTTGAGCTTGCTTCAATACAGTGTGATAAAACATTTTTCGTGCATCGTGATCCAGTGGTTTGCACAAATGCTATCTGATGTTTCTATATCTAACATCTTCTGCATCACGTCTTTCCTGATTTGTGACATATGAGTATCAAATAATAGTTACGCCACATTGAAGGCCTAACTGTCAAAAGGAAGCTCGGCACGGATGAGAGCAACAACATCGTATCGTACAGAACCGTGACTGAAGGGCTTGCCTTGTAAAGGAGCGTGAATATCACAATGTGCAGGGTCTTGCAGTGCAATAGTTGGATTAGGCCTTTATAGCACGGGTGCAGGGGCGTCCTCTCCTTGTATGGAGGCCAGGGGTTACCAGTGTGAATTCCAGACTGCTTTAAACTGGGTGACAATAAATCCCCCAGAGGAAAAGAGGAAAGCACAAAAAAAAAAAAACAAGGAGTTACTGAAACAGCCATCGTTGCATTTAAGTTTTCCAGGTATCATAAACATGAAAAGAAAAAAAACAAAAAAACGTCAATTATTTTTTGAGAAAGTGTCTTGGAGGTAAGGATTGTTGTCAAACTATGTGATGTTTCAATATCTAACATCTTCTGCATCACGTCTCTCCTGATTTGTGACACATGAGTATCAAATAATAGTTACGCCACAATGAAGGACTAACTGTCAAAAGGAAGCTCGGAACAGATGAGAGAAACAACATCGTATTGTACAGAACCGTGGCTGAAGGGCTTGCCTTGTAAAGGAGCGTGAATATCACAATGTGCAGGGTCTTGCAGTGCAATAGTTGGATTAGGCCTTTATAGCACGGGTGCAGGGGCGTCCTCTCCTTGTATGGAGGCCAGGGGTTACCAGTGTGAATTCCAGACTGCTTTAAACTGGGTGACAATAAATCCCCCAGAGGAAAAGAGGAAAGCACAAAAAAAAAAAAACAAGGAGTTACTGAAACAGCCATCGTTGCATTTAAGTTTTCCAGGGATCATAAACATAAAAATAAAAAATAAAAAAACATGTCAAATATTTATTGAGAAAGTGTCTTGGAGGTAAGGATTGTTGTCAACTGTAACATTTAAAGCAGGGGTGTCGAACTCATTTTTGTCACGGGCCACATTGTAGTCACGGGTTCCCTTCGAGGGCCGTTATGAATTTTGGAAAACCATATAAATGTTTAATCACCACCCCAAATATCACATAACACACAGCACACAACAAATTGATGAATAACTTGTTTTAAAATCTGAAGTCAAGAATAATGACTGTTATTGTGGATTACATATGACAGTTTGAAACTTTGGTTCAGATTTTAGCAAGCATCATGGAACTCGACATGCTTGATTTGCTTTCGCGGGCCACATAGGATCATAAACATAAAAATAAAAAATAAAAAAACATGTCAAATATTTATTGAGAAAGTGTCTTGGAGGTAAGGATTGTTGTCAAACGCCTTTCTCGAGTCGCCACCCACCGGACAGCTATGTTCCTCCATATGTGCATACAAATACATGTTCTGAAATGACTGCACGAGAAAGATCAAGCCAGTTGTGAATTTGAAATGAAATGTTGACAAGCAATCCAGTCAAAGTCAGCAAACCTTCAGAGAGAACAGTTTGAGAAAAGAATACAATTCCGCTGTTGAGAGCTCTGTGTGCGAAAACGCGCTGGAAAATCTCAACTTTGCACAAGCAGCAGCACTACCTGTGACTGGAATGTGCTTTGCTGAAGTCAAGAATAATGACTCTTATTGTGGATATACATATGACAGTTTGAAACTTTAGTTCAGATTTTAGCAAGCATCATGGAACTCGACATGCTTGATTTGCTTTCGCGGGCCACATAGAGTGATGTGGCGGGCCAGATCTGGCCCCCGGGCCTTGACTTTGACACCTGAGATTTAAAGTCATCCACTTGGAGAATGTGACGACTTTCTTGAGGCGCCACCCACCGGACAGCTATTTTCTCCATATGTGCATAGAAATACATGTTCTGAAATGACTGCACGAGTCATCAAAAAGGTCGAGCCAGTTGTGAATTTGAAATAAAATGTTAACAAGCAATCCAGTCAAAGTCAGCAAACCTTCAGAGAGAACAGTTTGAGAAAAGAATACAATTCCACTGTGTGCGAAAACGCGCTGGAAAATCTCAACTTTGCACAAGCAGCAGCACTACCTGTGACTGGAATGTGCTTTCCGCCGGAACAGCATTATATCTTTTAATTCATGTAGTCACTTGTGTCGCATAAAATCATAAAACGGCTTTCCGCTGCTTAAAAGAGAAACAGGGTCTCCCGCTATTTTTTTACAAGGTTCGAATTCTATATATCAAAGCCAACCGGCAGTGCCGTCTGGCCCGTTGAAAACCTCAAAAAGGCGACGACGGTGTGAAAAACAATTAACTATCGGTGATCCGTCTGTATTTTCAATTACATCGACATCCAAAAAGGAGAACCATTACACAGAGGTTATCTTGCCCCACTACCACGGCAAACGCTACAAAATGACTGCACGAGTCATCAAAAAGGTCGAGCCAGTTGTGAATTTGAAATAAAATGTTAACAAGCAATCCAGTCAAAGTCAGCAAACCTTCAGAGAGAACAGTTTGAGAAAAGAATACAATTCCACTGTGTGCGAAAACGCGCTGGAAAATCTCAACTTTGCACAAGCAGCAGCACTACCTGTGACTGGAATGTGCTTTCCGCCGGAACAGCATTATATCTTTTAATTCATGTAGTCACTTGTGTCGCATAAAATCATAAAATGGCTTTTCGCTGCTGAAAAGAGAAACAGGGTCTCCCGCTATTTTTTACAAGATTCGAATTCTATAAATCAAAGCCAACCGGCAGTGCCGTCTGGCCTGTTGAAAACCCCAAAAAGGCGACGACGGCGTGAAAAACAATTAACTATCGGTGATCCATCTGTATTTTCAATTACATCGACACCCAAAAAGGAGAACCATTACACAAAGGTTATCTTGCCCCACTACCACGGCAAACGCTACACCGCTTGAGTTACTATTCGGTAGTAATGGCATTTCCACTCATTCCGAGATCATGAGGAAGGTGAACCCCAAAGATTCTTCGTCACAGCAACTGACACATTTGTCTGGAGTCCGCAAAACAAACAAAGGAGATTTCCTCGATTCGATTACAATTTAGCCTGAAATATTGATTTTATTTTTTTTCCCCCCGACAGCTATTTAATTGGAAGCAACTCTAGCACCCAATAGAGCTGACCTTTTCTTATCATGTCCCTTCATGAACAGATGAGATAGGTGACCCGGCAACATTGACTTGAGCATGACGGGTTTGGTGTCGCTCGAGAAGGCTTAATATGAACACTAAGGATAAGTAACGCACTATTGTTAGTTTAAATACACATTAAAAAAAAAAAAGTACATCATATATTTGAAGGAATGTAGGGTGGTTCAACTTACAACGCTGAATATCGATCCATTGCGGATTGCACGTCACGTCGGTACACGGTTCTGAGGACAACCATGATGGGGTCAAACTCATTCTCCCACACTTCCGCTGTTTGAGAAAAGGGAACGAAATGTGCTTTGGAACAGCTGCTCCTAAAGTGACATGATTGTATTTCCCTCATAACCTGCTTCCACTTGAGCACGTGGAGGAGGGCTGCCACCATGTGGTCGGATGAGGGCCAATAAAAGTGTACAGTGTTTTCCCCAAAACGTACCGTGCCAAGGCACATAGTTGAATAAAAAAATAATAATAATCATAATTTAAAAAAAAAAATGTTTCAGAGAAAGTTGCTAAATTGAGAGAATTTTTTCATGAGGCCTTCACACCGATGTTACTGGTGGAACTTTAAATTACAGTACGTGAAGACCAACAAGCTAGTCATCAATTATTCAATGTGGCAAGAATGTAAGTTTTATTTAATTTGAAACCTAATCCAGGTTGGCACACATTCAACATTGGATCACCACGCCTTCCTGAACACGTCGGTACACGGTTCTGAGGACAACCATGATGGGGTCAAACTCATTCTCCCACACTTCCGCTGTTTGAGAAAAGGGAACGAAATGTGCTTTGGAACAGCTGCTCCTAAAGTGACATGATTGTATTTCCCTCATAACCTGCATCCACTTGAGCACGTGGAGGAGGGCTGCCACCAAGTGGTCGGACGAGGGCCAATAAAAGTGTACAGTGTTTTCCCCAAAACGTACTGTGCCAAGGCACATATTTGAATTAAAAAAAATAATAATAATTTTTAAAAAAGACGTTTCAGAGAAAGTTGCTAAATTGAGAGAATTTTTGCATGAGGCCTTCACACCGATGTTACTGGTGGAACTTTAAATTACAGTACGTGAAGACCAACAAGCTAGTCATCAATTATTCAATGTGGCAAAAATGTAGGTTTTATTTACTTTGAGAGTTGACTTTGTTTCTTGCTCAAATCTGTACCAAAAGTGCAAATTGTTTTCACTTAAATATAAAAATGTACATATGCTGACAGTACGTACATGGTTTCCTACCAGGGTCAAAATTCTTCATGATCAATTTAGCACTTCTTTCAATTCTACTGTATCAATTATTACGCCTTAGCCCTAATTAAAATGTTGACATTTTTTTGTCTGACAGATTTTGCCATGGCATAGCAACTCATGTTAATTTTTTTTTTTAAATGAAATCCTCTGATTAGTTTTGGTGAAAAATTCCAGATGGGGAGAAATTAGGTGTTGATCTGAACGGAAACACAGAAGCGAATCCCCCTTGAGATGAGTTCACCGCTGCGATTATCAGCCCTACCCAGTGCCAGCTTCAACAAAAACAACAAACTGTTGACGGACGACAAAAACGCCGCGCTTGCCCTTATCAGCACAGCAAAACAGATAGTTAAAAATGAGGCAATTGAGATCGTTCGAAGAGAACAGAATCCGTACGGCCGGTAATGATCATCTCAGTTTTGTCTTCATTAAAATGACAGATAGGCGGCGACCAAATTTCAGCAGTCAAAAGTGGGTATTTTTCAAATTTTTCTCAAGATTCCTTTGGCCCCTCTACATCAAGTGTCGACTTTGTTTCTTGCTCAAATTTGTACCAAAAGTGTAAATTGTTTTCACCTGTAATAAAATGTACATATGTTGACAGTACATACATGGTTTCCTACCACAGCCAAAATTCTTCATGATCAATTTAGCATTTCTTTCAATTCTACTGTATCAATTATTACGCCTTGGCCCTAATTAAAATGTTGACATTTTTTTGTCTGCCAGATTTTGCCATGGCATTGAAAGTCATGTTAATTTTTTTTTTTTTTAATGAAACCCTCTGATTAGTTTTGGTGAAGAAATTCCAGATGGGGAGAAATTAGGTGTAGATCTGAACGGAAACACAGAAGCGAATCCCCTTGAGATGAGTTCACCGCTGCGCTTATCAGCCCTACCCAGTGCCAGCTTCCACAAAAACAACAAACTGTTGACGGATGACAAAAACGCCGCGCTTGCCCTTATCAGCACAGCAGCCATCGCAAAGGTCATCATTTACCCTGAAAGTAGCGGTGTCAGCACGATGACATCATGCGCTGGACCACTTACCTAAATGAATACGAAGGCTTGTCAGGATGACCAAGAAGGTCAGAGCGCCTTCGAGCATTGGTCTTTCCTGTTCAGAGTCTAACACGGCGTTCTGGTGTTGAGAGGCCATGGTTAAAAGATCAACCACTTTGAACCTGCCAAAGGAGGACAATTACAATCTTGGCGTGATGTAATATAAGGGATGCGGAAAAGTGCATAAATGGGACCTTACCTCTCAAAAACACTCGAGATAAAATAGTCGGGATCAAGCCTTGACGCGCAAACCTGGAAAACAGGGTGGAAGAGATTTTCTACGTATAAGCCCCAAACACGTAGGAGCAATATATCTCATGATTAGTCCTAACCTGGAGCAAATAGATGTCAGGGTCAATCATGGAGTTGCAGAAGTGCGACTGCACGTAGGTCATCGCTTGCCCTTTTATCTGCAAGCCATTTCGGACCCACATGTTGCTGTGGATCTCCGACAGGCAGGCCTACAAGCAAACGTTTCAATTCATGCAATTATAACAGATCATCACGTCCTCAGAGAAGCCTGAAAAGTCGAACCTTTCAGAAGATTCTCAGCGTGCTATACCTGGATTTGCAATGGATGCACCATGATCTTCATCAGCATCTCTTGGTCGGGCAGGAGGCTGTCCAGATCCAGACCTTGGCACTTCACAGCCTGGGAATTGTTCAAATAAAGAGTGTTTTATTATATAATGAACGCTCCAATAGTCACAGGGGATCGGGAATGAGCCCTGTTGCATGTTGCAAAAATTGGGAAGTCATTGATGTACCCCCCACCCCCACCCCAAAGGGGTAGACGAAACAAGATCATTAGGCAGAAACACCATGCATACGATCCTGAAACCATGTCACATAAAAGACTGCCTGCAAGTCAAATTATTCAACACGAGGTTTATTATTACCCTGCATGCTTATGGCATTTAGACTAAATAAAACGCTTCCAGAATACAAGCAAATTTTATCTGCAAAGTCAACTACTGCGGCTGCATCGGGAGAGGAGCCCTTTCACTTTCACTTTCAACAATACCAAGGTTCCACAAGATGGCGCTAACACTTTATTTGATTTTGCCTGGGCTCAAAAACAAGGATTAGCCAAGGTTTTCCTCAAATAATGAAGTTTAAAAAAAATGCCCTTGGTTCAAAAAAATCTGCAAAGATGTGCATTTGCAAATACAGAAACAACCACAAACAGCTGATCTGTAGTGTATTCATGTTCACTGAAATCGCAGCAGTTAAGGCCTACCTTACTGAGGAACATGGCGTAGTAGCGGTGGAGTGGCAAGTGAAATGTCACTTGATTTGGCAAAGGCTGGAAGAGGAGCAGAAGCCATGAGAAACCTGCAGAGGCAAAGGCTCATCTGCGTTTCAAGAACTGTGCCTCCTAACTTTACCTCATCGTTAAAGCTGATGGCATCAAACCAGATCTGAAGCGTCTCCAAGCAGTAGCGCACTACGGTTTTAGTATACTCCTGAGTCTCCTGAAGGCAGACAATTCGACATGTTAAAACTCCTTATATGGCTGCACAGCTTCAAGTGTTAAGAGTCAAGGGTGAGGGGGGAAAAAAAAAAGAGGCAGAACTTACTTTGACTTTGCAGTGAGTTAAAAGCCCCCACATTGGTTGGGCACAGGCCTCCAGCTCAGCTGCGAATGCTGCATAGTATGTCTGAGACTCAAATTCCACATGTTCATTCAACTCCCGCTTATTCAGGTTCATTCCTGTCACAGTGGAAAATTGCAAAATTCAGGCAAGGTTCCAAAAAATAAAATAAATCACATTTTAACATGCATTTTTTGCAACGAGACAGTGCTAGGACTGTACATTAGAGAATTTATAGGACACGGTACATACAATTTACCGGCACGACTGTGCGCACGTAACCCCAAGCAAGAAGACACTCAAACCCACTGAGCAAGGGGGTTGTGTTATTTTTAGTGCCGTGACTCCACATGGCAAGCGAGCGGCATCAAAACACAATTCTAATTCAGTGACAGAGGCTCAACATGTGCCATGGTTTCCACCTACAATCACGATGACAAAACAATTGGCCTGTGTTTAAGGGTACATCTGTGCAAGCGGGCGTGATCATGCTTTTAGTTTTGTATCGCACAAACAAGAAGTGGCAATGGAATTATCGGAAAAAAAAAAAAGAACAAGAAGTGGCAATGGAATTATCGGAAGAAAAACAACAACAACAACAACAACAACAGAGAGAAAATGTTAACCTTTGGATTGAGAACCTAAGAACTACAAAATGAAATTCTACAACTCTTCCCAAAAAGGAGAAATATATCATGGCCACAAAGGGGCGCAAGATCATATTACTATCATTTTCATTTCATTTGAATTACAATGGCAGGGCTCCAAACTAACTTTTTCACGCGGACAGCGCCCCCTAACCTGACATTTAATAGGTGCAAGTAGAAGAGAGAAAGAAAACAAATAGTCATCCAAATAATTTGCACTATATTACTGATAAATGGGCTCAAATGGAGAGCAGGCATTTGTCAGCAACACAAAAAAAATGCGTGAGTAGATGAAAGTTGTCGTTGCACTGTCTCAAATTTTAGTGGCAAAACAAAGTCAGAGCTGACACGTTGTTTTGCCGAAGAATGTCGCGGAGCAAGCTAGGCAAGTATTGCTACAGCCACCTCACGGTCAACAGTCGAAGGACTTACCTTGGAAAAACGACACAAAGCTCATCCACAGCATCAACAACGAGTGGTCTTCGAGGAACTTTTTGGCGACACTTTGGTGTGACAAGATATTGATAAAATCGCTAACTAATGGCCAGTATGTGTTGTTCTTCAATAGAGCCTCGCTGCAATTCACCACAACGTGGCGACTGTTTTCTTCATCTGAAAAAGGGGGCGGGGGGGAATTATTCAAACCAGTTAAGGCCGCGTTTATTTTACCCCGGATAAGAAACAATCGAGCCACGACGAGCACTTACCCTGAAGTTCACTTTTAATAAGGCAACTCTCCATCATGTAAAGGAGGACAGTGACCATGATGTCAAGCAGTTGACACTCCTCGGTCACATGACGAGCCAGTTCCTCGTTGCTGAACAACTGCACGCTGATATGTACAATACGGTTGGACATTGTGTCCGACTCGTGACTTTTCATCAAGGTTTTCATGATGAATGCATAATGCTGGACAAACGTTTTGGTGAAAGTGATCTTCCCCATTAAGAAGGGGAAAAAAAAAATTAATTGTTGCAAAACCACAAGATGGTAATTTCTTGCTGAGGAAATTACCTTGTAATCTTGATCAGGCAACATGTTCAGCAAGAAGGTGACTTTCTTCTGAGGAAACTCGTATTTGATTGTCCAAAACAGGAGCTCCTCCAAAAAACATTTATGCTTCAAACATTCGATAATAGAGAGGTCTGAGGGGGGGTAAAAAAAGATGCACTATAAGAAGACCGTTTCACAAAGACGTATTTTCCTTAAACGTTACCTTTTGTACTGCTACTCAGCTTAACCCTCTTTCGCTGACCAACAGACTGTCCCGCGTCTTGGTCTTCCTGGAAATGGAAAAAAATTAAAAAAAGGACCTCAGAGTACAAATCGCTCAAATCTAATTGGCAAGCTAAATGCCTATCCTGAAATAGTGATTTGGAATGAGTATAAATTTAAAAAAACAATGGAACCTCTAAAGTCAAAATATTTTTTTTTGTCTGTTGTATTGTTTCTTTTATTAATATCAACAATTCTTTTCACATTTGTTCACGGTGATTTTAAAAAAATGCCTGTGCGGTTTATTGACTTTTTATTGTAGAAACAGTTTGATCCTCATCTAGATTTATTTTCTTGTCGATGGGAAAATTGTGTCCAAATCTGATTCATGATCCATGAACAAAGTGTGGTGCACCTGAGATGTTCCGTTACAACATTTAAAAAAAAAAAATTCTTCGTTGCAAGTTTTGGACAAACCTCTTTGCTCGACTCATCTGGGCTCCCTGGTGCTGCCGATCCTAAAAGTGAAAGTAGATTGAGCATAGCCACCACATGAAGACTCTTCGAGGAGTTATTCACCACGGTCGTTAACCATCAAATCCAAGTAAGCGATGAAAGAAATGACATTTGACATTTCAAAACAGAGCTTTTACAGTCCAATACTGACAAGATGATTTTTTACAGTGATTATAAATGTAACATCAGATCATCAAAAACCCTACAAAAATACACAAAAAGAAAAACTCACCCAGTAGTGTGTCAGCTCCCCCCTCGGCACCGACATCGCCGCTACTTTGGTGCTTGTCCTCTACAGACACCAAACCCGAATTCTTCAATGCTGCCAAGTACTTGTCATAGTTCTTCTTAGCAAACAAATTGTCCTCTTGGCCTGAAGAAAAAAAAAAAATCGGACTTTGTCATTTTTATCATAACATTGTGCTCACACCAATAAGAACAACTGCGACCAAAGCAAAGCTGCCATGTCGTTGGAGGAGAAATTACCCATGCTCAACTCCTTGAATGTTTGCTGATTGGTCAAGATCTTGGTCAGGACAGTCCGCATTGCTGCGCCCATTTTGGTGAGCTCTTCCAGGAAGGAGATTTGAGGCTCCAGCTGCTGAAGAACCTTTTGTAGGTCTCTCTCAGTTGAGCTGTCTGGTGCGGGAAGATAATATAAGTGTCATGACTCTCGGCTCTTTGTAAACATGACGCCGGATGCAAATGGGACCATAATGCTTGTGCGCAGCTTATGCCAATTATCTATATTTGCATTTAATATGTAATAAGACAGGCTAATAACTAATTTTCACCTGGTTCTGTATAGCCATCCCTCAGATACTGTATGACCGACAGGATAAAGCGAGGGAGAACCAACTCTGACATCAACAGAAGATCTCTGGGAATTGATGGGATGTTCTCTCCTGTTCTCAACCGATGCCGTCTGCAAAACCTGTTGAAAAAAAGAAAAACATCTTTTTTAGCAGACAGATTAATCCGAGAGCAGTCGAAAATGTTCGCCACTCTTTTACCCGCTTAGAGAGGTCTCTTGGTCAGTGAATGATTATACAACAGGTGTTTGTTTCATAAATGCAATTCAAATGGATCAATACAAGGACATAAATGTATGAATTTACATTTAAAAACAATTACACAATGCTCTCAATGTCCCCGGTTGTCCGAAGTTGCTCAAGTAAATAAGTCACGTGCATCTGTTCTCAAGAGTCCTGAGTCTGACTAAAACCACATCACTGTGTTGTTAGCTCCACTGTCATGATTGTGCAATGTTACCACTGGAGTCATTCACTGAATTATCTTTTTGAAAATGTCATCTATTTTTAGACTATTTTCAATCTTAAATTCCTACTTGATGTGTGTTAGCATTTTTAAAGAATTTTGAAAGTTTGATTCAAGTCATTTTAATGCCGATGAAGACCTTGTTTTTAGGTTCACGGATTTTGTGCCTTTGAAAACTTTGTAAGGATCTGAGGGAACCCTGCTAAGTTTATTTTGAAAGAAACGCACATACTGCAGAGAAAAGCAGCTTATCGTAGTTTAAAGCTTACAATACAGAACATTTCAGCTGCTTATTATAAATTACCGGCAATGTACATACAGGGAGAAACACCATGATCCCCTAATTGTATTTAGATGATTAACCTGTTGGATTTTGCCAGAATGTATAACAGTCCAACCAAAACATTTTACTACCACATTATTAACTTTTAATCCTAACTATTAATAACTGTTGATTTAAAGTGTTTGGTCATCGGGAACAGCAGGTGCAGTATTGATGCAATCATCGTTTTACGATGAAGCAACATCATTCAACCATGGCTCAATCTTCACTAGCACAATTTGACGTGTGGTGTTTGTAAAACGGGTTTATCAATGCTCCAACTGTCGGACCGTGTCCAAACAACCACATAACTACAGATAGTGTACAGTCATGATCAAATTCAAGCTGATGAATGATGCTCTAACATTGATGGGTCCTGGTCGTTTTTCAGTCAATGCTAACTGCAGCATGTCGCTCATTAATGACAGAAAAGGCGAAACTTTAATTAACCGTGCCGGTGTGTCGTCATTCGAAATCACGTATTGCACAAAATGACACAAAGGTTGGATTCGTAGGTGACGGCATTTGAACATTAACGAGAAGCTCCCTTCCAAACTGCACCTGTCACTGGCTAGGCACAGCTTAGCATAGCTTAGCTTAGCTTAGCTTAGTTTAGTTTAGTTTAGCTAGCCGGAAACTTGTTAAACCCACTCTCTCGCATGACATTACTGTCTCCACAATCACAGGCCCCGCCAGCCTGGCTCCGGAACATGTTGAAGTCATGACTCGTATGGTCTCCGTTGTTGAAACACTCGGCGCACAGTGACATGCAAGGGGAGATTCCACAGGTCCGGCATCGATACGCCACGAAATTTGCCGTCCACACTAAGCCGCACAGGGTGGCGTTGTCATAAGAGCGGACCGTTTTGCAGAACTCCTCGAATGCTTCGCCCCCTGCAATTAGACATTTACACCAGTCAAGCGCTTCGGTGTCCGTGGCTGGTTTTTCTGGATTTAGCACGTCATCCAGTAGCTCGTGAATTTGTCGGACCGCAGCGGTGTTGTCAGTCCGCTTTAAGTCTGCCTTCAGGTGGGCGGCAGTGGCTTTCTTGTCCCGGCGTAACAGCGACGCCGCCATCATTCGCTGGCTTGTTGTCCGCAAATTTATTTTTGTTGTCTTGCGTCCATGTTCTCGCGGGTTCTCGCGATACTTTTCGTTGTTTGCCTTTGTCGTATTTTTTTATATAAAAGGGATATGCGACCTACGAATGACTATAAGGGTCATACGCTTAAAAGAGGTAAAAAGTTGTAGTTTACACTTAATTTACTCATATGTTTACGGAGTCTATTTCTTGAAGCTGCCTGCCGCGCTACGTTCAGACACACCTATTTCCGTGTGTTTGTGTTTTTGCTTCTAGGCAACAGACATTGAATCAAGCCAGCTAGCTGTAAAATAGAAAGGACAAAAAGATAGAAAACGTGATTTTTTTTTTAAAAGTCACACTTTAGAAAGAAAGCGCCCCAAACCAATTAAAAAAAACATTAAATGCACTACATAATCAAATGATGCCTTCCATTTCCTGTTTAAATGTATTTAATTTAAAATACCTCTAATCCTGTAAAATTGCACAGTAATTTTTCGTACGTATCCGAAAATGGATGGAAGGAAGTACAACTTTATTTCAGGTTTCATGTTTGATGTGATGCATTTGTATTTTATGGTGATAATTTACAATCCAATCTTTTAATGTGCTGCAAACTTGCAATACAGTACAGGTATTGGTAACAATTCGCGGAAGACCGGAACACATCTTCACGCATTTTTATTCCATGACGGTCTGTTTTGGTTGATACAACCCAAACGGAAGTCGTGTCCTCTATCGTAAAACTTCACATTTTACTGCAAACGAGCGCCTTGTATTTTATTCTATGGACAAGTTAGGACTTGATAATTGCACGTGATGAAACTTAAAGAATTGGAAAGTTGTCTACAACAAGTGGATACATTTGAAGAGCCCAAAATCCTTCTGGAGCAATATCCAACCAGTGCACACATTGCTGGTGAGGAAACAAACGTGCGCTCTCTGGGTTGTGTTTATTTACTTTTCTTTAAATATATTGAATTTGCTTCGTGTTTCCACAGCGTGCATGCTTTATACGATACACAACACGTTTGATGACATTGAGGCTAAACTCGTAGCCGATCTGGGATGTGGCTGTGGAGTTCTGAGCATCGGTGCGGCGATGCTGGAGGCAGGGTGCGCTTCATCATCTTTTTGTCATCATTCTTAGGATTATTAATACTGAAATATCACTGGGTAAGATTTACTGGTATGTCTTCTAAAGGTTATGCGTCGGATTCGACATCGACAATGACGCGCTGGACGTTTTCAGAAGAAATGCGGATGAATTCGAGCTTTCCAACGTTGATCTGGTCCAGTGTGACTTGTGTTGTTTAAAGACTGAAGATTATCGTCACAGTTTTGACACTGTCATCATGAATCCCCCTTTTGGAACAAAACATAACCAGGGTGAGGATGAAATTTGTTCATTTTCACACAATCAAGCATCTTCGATTTAAGACTCAATTGCCATGTTAAAATTGCATGTGCCGTTTTTTTTTTTTTTTTTTACTCATATTGTAATTGTTCGAATATTAATCATTAGGTTTTTTTTCCCTAAAGGTATGGACATGAAGTTTTTAAACCCATATTGTAATTGTTAGAATATTAATCATGAGGTTTTTTTTTCCCTAAAGGTATGGACATGAAGTTTTTAAGAGCTGCTATAACAATGGCAAAAAAAGCTGTGTATTCACTCCACAAAACATCAACACGTGAGGTAAGTCAGGAGCTATCCCTGTCTTGTCAGCGTCTTGGATTGTCCCAATTCATTCTGTTTGTTGACTATAGCCATCCTTGCTCACTGTTCATTTCGCAGGCAATAAATGAACATCAAAACAATGACAATTTCTTTTATCCCGTTCCAGCACATACAAAAGAAGGCAAATGACTGGGGGGTGAAGATGGAAGTCATTGCAGGTAATATAAGCACACCAGAACAGTTGAAATGAGTCAAGTTGATTTTTTTTTTTTTTTTTTTTTAACAGAACTGAGATACGACTTGCCAGCTTCTTACAAGTTTCACAAAAAGAAATCGGTGAGTTTAAATATTCTTCACACTCTTTTCCAACCTGGATAGCTGCTGAACAAGCACATTAAAATTGTTAAGATTGTTTTACATGGTTTATTTGCGAGTCACAATGAAAACGTAAAAAAAGCAAAGCTTTTTTTTTTCTTAATGTAGGGAAGATTTTTGTCACACGAGGAATTTTAGAGATCCAACTCAAAGTGTTCTGTTAAAATTAATTTACAATCAGGAGGAGAAAGTTGTACATCATAAAAATGAAATGTTCCGAAGCGAAACATAGGTGGACTTAAAAAGCAAAAAAAAAAAAAAAAAAAAAGAAACTGACACCAAGCTTTGCAAATTGTTCTCCAGGTTGACATTCAGGTGGACTTCCTACGCTTCTCCAAAACCTGAAGCTTTTGAGTGGAATGGACTTGTTTGCCTCTGTATATAATAAACATTTTCTCCAAACTAAAAGATCCGAGTGTGGCCTTACTAAGATCCATTTTCAGTTTTGGCCACCTTTGCCGCAGGACCATCGGCTTCCTCAAGCTCTCTCTTCGGGGCCGCGGGCGCCGGAGCTAAAACAAAAATGATTTCACATTGTTACAAAGTCTTATTTCAAACAAATACGACCCTTAAAATATGTCCAATTACCCTCCTCCTCCTCGTCATCGCTAGCAAACTTCGTCTTCTTGCCCTGGTATTGAGTTCTGCTTTGATCTCTTCCCCCTTTTCCTCTGCGACCTCCTCTTCCTCTACCGCCGAATTTTCCCCTGCCTTGAAGATAGAACCGAACGGATCAATGATCTGTACGTGATGGGCTGCTTGCTTCGAATCAAGTGGTTACCTCTTTCTTTACCCCGGGATTCCTGTTGTGCTTTAATGATCTTTTTCAGGACCTCTTTCTCCTCCTCCCCTTCGAGCAGCTTCCACGTCACCACGTTATTCTTTACTTGGAGATCTCCGTCATTTGCCTCTTTGGCCTTCTCATAAGCTTCCTTTGCATTTCCATCGAACAGGAGGGTGCCCTTTTTTGGGAGTCAAAACATGTCTGATGAACCAAAATATCGGCGCCGCAACTATCAAATATTTGTGGATTGATTTACGATTCAGATCAACAATTTTTGCAGTTATTCGATAACCATTTCCATCCTTGTTGGAGGAAGCCTTGACTTACCTCTTTGGCTCCTCTCGTAAAATCAACCCACTTGATTCGTCCGTACCCCGAGAACACGTCATGAAAGTCTTCTCTGGAAACATCTTGCAGCTCGCCGGAGAAATTTAACAAGGAACCCGAGTATTCTTCCATGAGCTCATCCTGCAAACCAGTAAGGGGTCATGAGCACGAGCAATCCTCCCAACAACCAAGCTTGTTGGAGAATGAAGGGATCATACCATATTTTTCTCTTCCGTGTGTTTCTTTTGCTGTTCTTTATCCCTGAGGAGAGATTTGTGGAAGGAGCAACTAAGTTTATTTATTTTATTTCCCACCCAAGAAAATAACAAGCAGTTGTATACTCACTGTTTCACTTTTGCTTTTGTCTCTGCTTTGTGTTGTTTTCTCTCTTCTGCTTTTTTTGCATGGTAGGCTTCCCTGAAAGGACAAAAGAACACTTTACTTTGCAGGCCTCTCTAGAAAGCTTGGTCAATTATTATTTTTTTTTAAAGTTAAAATGAAGGTCCACTTTGTATTTATTTTGCTTAACTTACTCTATGACAATTGCACACTTTAATTTGTCATTTATTCCACACAAAGTAATTGTTGCTAAAAATCAATCGTGCACACCTTGACAACACGAGCATTTCGTTGTCTTTGAATGATTTGATGTCCGTACGTTCAAGGAACTGCTTGGATGACTCGTCGGTGTCAAAGCAGATAAAGATTGATCCCTGCCAACAAAACAGATCTGAGTTCATAACGCAACTCACTAAATAATTGCATGGTCTGACCCAATAAGCAACTTCAAATTATTTTTTTTTTTTTACTACCTTGAACTGCCTCTCCATATCTCTCCTCATTTGAATGTTTTCTATGTTGCCTTTTCCATTCAACCACTCCTGGATCTCATCAAGGGAGGTTCCCAAGGGAAAACCTTTCTGGAGGCACAAATGGGACAAATTATTGTAGATGAAAATATACCATCATATTAGAAAAAAATAAAATTACTAATATGGTCAATCCAATTTATAAGTACTCCAAACCATAATTTATGGCATAAAAATGTACTGTACCTGACGGAGAAAGGTACACATGCAGAATTTGATAGAATGAAACTACGGACATGTAGTCTCAAAAGAATAACAACATGATGTCAACTAAGACCTGTTTTTTAAAATAATTTTGGGGGAATTCTAAATATAACTGAATTGGTGGTCATTTGAACAACACGTTTTTTTCAGAATTTACCATGTAGACAGATTTGTGTTTGACAGCATCTTTGTACTCGTCGTTCAATTCAGGTAAAGGCTTTTCTGGACACCTCCTGATTTTTGTCTTGTCCTCGCTGATTTCCAAAAGGCCGCTGGTTGATTTCTGGAGTGCGGAAACGATGACGTCGGTGTCAGAGGTTAGAGATTTCAATCTGTGAAGAGAGAGTGAAAAATTCAACATGACTGGTCAAAAGCTTGTCATCCCCCATGAATGCAGGGCCTCTGCTATCATGTCCGCGCCAAACAATAATCCGAGTTCTATTGTTGAATGCAAGGTGGTGCGGCAGGTGTTTGTATTTGTTGATTTGTTTGCACACCTCATAACACAAATTACAAACACTCCATACAAAAATATTACAACAACCCGGGAAAACAATGTAAGCGCACAAACCTGTTAAATTTGAGCAATGTCTCCAAAGTGACCCAACCATCATCAAGCTGAAGTTGTTCTTTGAGAAACTTGTCTCTTATAAGATTGTGATCACCAAAGTAGTACTGCAGGCAAGAATACAGTAAACGTTAAACATATTGTCGCAAATGTTTATGACCAATACAGTATAAGCATACTGGATATAAATGAATAATAGATCACCTCAATTTGTCGAACCACTTTCACTTCAACTGGCGACATTTCTTCAGGCATGACTGTTCTGTATGCAAAACACAAAGTTCACATTCTCCACTATTCTGAGCCCCTTTTGGATGAGTTTATCACCCTACATATTTTACTTAATTCAATCAAATTTGATTAAGTTCCTTCCCATAAAACCGGGCAGGAATATATAGGTTTAAATGTTCAAAAATATAATGATAAATGGTTCCATTGCTTACAGGTGCACATGGTAATTATGGCGTGAGTAACATGGAGGGTCCCTCAACCCAACAAATTTGAGAACCCCTGAGCGAAATTAACCTGATGTAATTATAATTTAAAAGGCAAAATTCTGTCTTTTTGCAATTGGGTGCCTAAATTCTTAAATGGTCAATCCGTACAGACTTCAACAGCCGAGCTTCAGTGAAATACCCCTAAAATTAGATTTTTGAGGCAACTAATTAAAAAAAAAACTCAAACGAATAAAATCCAACAGTACTCGTTGTGGAGTGAAGTTTTACGCTCTAATGGCGTTTTTTTTCCCTGCAGTTAGCCTACTAGCAAGCTAACGTGTCGCAGTTGCAGACCGGCCACACAGCGTGCTCCAAAATGGACAATGGTTCCATTTAGAAAAATAATTTACTTTCACATTGCCTCCACGACGGGAATTCGTGCAAACACCTCCACAACTTTTTCACGTTTAATCAGTTTAAACCATGTGACTCCATTCTAAGACTATCGACAGACAGCATGTCGCTTAAACAGGCTAAACGGGGACGTCGTTCTTAAATCAACAAAGAGAATATTTTGTGACGTAGATAAATTTCACGATACAATGAACAGTTGTACTGTACTTACTATAGATTTGATACGAGTCGGTTGGAGATTTTGTCGTTCAAACAGAAGGATTTCACTTTGGCACCAGTTTGTACATGTGAGACTGCGTGTTACGGAAAGCCGGGAGGACCAAAACGATATAAAGCAGCGGGTGGAGGGTAAGTGCGTTAAATTGTCGCTAGATGTCGCTGCCATCGCACAAATACGATTGCATTGAACGGTGTTGAACGGTGTCGACCAGCTATTATCGCACGTTTCTCGAGTTTCTTCAACACATACCTACCTGAATTATCCATCCAGGGTCGTGGGGGGGGGGGGGGGGCTGGAGCCTATCCCAGTTGATTTCGGGCGGAGAGCGGACTACACCCTGAACTGGTCGCCAGTCAGTCGCGAATCCTGCTGATTTACAACCTTCAAGAAAGCCCATGAAGTAATAAAGAGAAACTGTTGGCCTATATAGTAGTGCAGTGATTAAATTACTCAAGTATAAACTTAATGTTATAATTCTAAAGAGAAAAAAATGCTTTGATCTGAACAAATGTGTAACTAATTTAATAATTTAAATGTTCCTTCTCACACAAAGACGCGCGCGCGTGCGCTCACCCACAGCACACACCCACACACACGCGCGCACAACGCACGCACGCACTCAAAGCTCCAGGACGAGCGACTGACGTCATTTTGTTGGTTTCCTGATAAATAAAGACTATTTATTTTGAGTATCTTGTCCCTTCTAGAGCAACACAAACTGTCTCATATTATATGAGATAACTAACAGGTCTTCAAATTGGAGCTTCAATAAATAGTATTGATTGATACTTGCATAGTTTCCAATCTGTTCATTCCATATATTATTTGGCACATGACAACAATTCAAAAGGAGCATGATAAGATCTTGACATTAATCACTGTACACACAGACGCATCCATGTGACCTGGAAGAGCTGGGAAGCGTCCCGACAATGTCCCAAGTGTCCAGTTGCGGGTCGTACTTCTCAATGCTCTGGAGGTAAGTCCCTCTTGAGTAGGAGTAACCCCCTGTGACGTAGATACAACCATCTATGACCGCAGCGCCACACTCCATCCTGCTCTCCTTCATCACTGAAATGGAGCTCCATTCCTCTCGCTCTGTGTCGTAGCAGTCCGCAATGGTCGTCTCTCCGCCTACCAGATAAAGTTTCTTCTCAAGAGACACAGAACAAAGTCCATACTCTGGGGGGAAAAAAGAGTATTGGAATGTAGAAAGCTCAATGCAAAATAAAAATACAGGAAACCTCCAATTTCCACGGATTTAACTGTTACCTGGATGAGGGTTTATTGTAATAATGCTCCACTCGTTGTTATCTGGCCTATAGACTTGGATTTTCTCATACGTGCAGCTTCCTCTGAATCCGTAGTGGCCTCCGGTCACATAGATTTTATCTCCCATTACACCAGCAGTGGCATTTCCTACACCTTAAAATTAGAAAAGGAGCAGTCACTTAGAAAACAAAAATAGAAAAAAATGAACATGTGTATAATTGTCCGGGACAAAATGTAACAGTAAAAGTGAGTCCTAAATATTACTTAAAATACCCATTAACCCCCCCCCCCAAAAAAAATGCCAATTGCTGATCAACTTACATCTCAAATATAACAGGCATTAGTTTTAACTGTCTGGTTAAACTTGTGTGTTTTGTCGTCACAATAAAGGCCATTCATTGTCATCCACTGACTCATTTTTTGTTAAAGCGCAAGCTGCTGATGCAATCATACCGCAGTTACAATTAAAATGTTTCCTAACAATTCAAACTCAGAAATCTGTTCTTTACTCAGCACGACTGCACCACAGCGATAGTCGGTTTTGTTTTTGTGTTGTGTCCACGTTGTACATTACAAAATAAAGATTTGCCTTGTCATTCAGCACAAGGCTTTGAGCGACAGCGAGTGTCCCACTTGAAAATTGTCTGTCTTTGCCTAACAATACAATGACCACGAAACTACACACATAGAGATCAGAATTTCCCAAACACACCTTGCTACCTTACAGGTTCTTCTTCTTCTTCTTCTTCCTTTTACTTTTATTTTCGTATCTTACAAGGTGTGTCACAGAGGACAGTTATATTTCAAATCCAAACTACTCATTTCCTCCCCGCAAAGAAATCTCCCTGGAGTCTGACACCACTTTCCCAACCACTCCTTCATGAACTCCTGGAAAATTTTTGTGGGACCCTCCTCAGGTCCGTCTCGACAACCATCTTGATGTCATCCACATCTTCAAAACGAGTCCCCTTGACGATCGCTTGAGCTTGAGGAAGAGGTACTTTTTCTGACACATCGTACATAATGTTGGATGACAAGGTAAGAATTTCAGTTCCGCGGGGTAAACCCCGTTTGCCAGCGCTCACATAAAAATAAACAATGAATCTTGAAAACAAATTTCGTTCCACACCTTGGATCATTCTTGCCCCCGGGAACCATTTCTTCTTTAGCGGATCGTACCATTCCGTCTGCTGCTCCGGAGCTCCTCCCCTGTAGCCTCCGATGGCATAAATACAGCCGTGCAAAGCGGCGGAACAATGGTAGTACCTGGCTGTGATCATAGGGCAACCCTCCGTCCACTCATCATGGTCACAGTTATAAATAAAAACAGTGTCAATGGCCTCCACTGTGTTGGTCCTGTAGCCTCCTGTCACGTAGATATCCGCCCCCAGTAATGCGACGCTGTAGCTCTCTCGCGCATGGTCCGGCATGTCTTTTCCTCGCAGCCAAGTGTCGCTTGTGGGCTCCCATATGTGAACTTCACAAAGAGGGTGCCAGTAGTATCCCCCGATAATGTACATGCTTGTTTTCCCAACTGCTGTTATCGCTTTACTTTGAGGTCTCGAAGCCTGCACAATTATTGATTTAAATCTCTCGTCGCTACTTCCTAAGCACCGCTTGTGCAGCTCTAAATTAGCCTTGAAGTCACTCTCATCCAGGTCCAGATTGATTAAGCGCAGCAGGTCCGCAGCATGATGAATACGGTTCTCCATGTCGTGGATCACCCATTTGGTCACCGCGTCAATCGGGAGTTCATCCCTCACCACGCTGAGCTTTTGAGTAGCCAGAAGTGTCCGGATTTTATTGGAATCCAGCTCAAGGAACTCCTCCTGCTGGATCAGCTCGGCAAACCTGCTCAGCATCACCCTCCTGGACTCGCGCTCGAGCCGAGGACACAGATGGAGTTGAGCGAACGCGTGCATGCCCAGGCAATTGTCGATATCCAGGAGGCGGATAAGGAAGCCCTCGCACGCCCGTTTAACCGAGTTGAACTGCAGCAGGTCGGCGGCCTCCAGCAGGCTTTGCACATTTTTCTCCGTGATGCTCACTTGGGCCGTGTAAACGTAGTCAACCAGAAGTGCCAGAACCTCACAATCCACCCCGACCAGCTTGATGACACTGTTGGACCTTTCCCTCATATCAGCTGTGAACATGATCTGGAAGTAGGAGCTCCTGGCTGACAGTAGCGCCTTGTGGCAGTGGAACACCCGGCCCGAGTCATCGGCACACCGGAGGGTGACATCGCTAAACAGTCCGTTGAGGTAGAAATGCCGGAGAGCGTCCAAGATCTCGGCTGGATGGTCTGGGTCGCAGAAATCGTAAGTGTAGACCTCATTCTGCTGGTGTGACATTGTATCTGCATTAAAAAATATAGATATAGACAATATCCATAAAATGACATCACCAATACTCATCCATCTATCCATTTTCAACGCCGCTGATGAACAGTTCCAAGTAACACTTGTGACAGTGTTATGCTTCTTTAATGTGTTATTTTGCACAGACAGTGTCATTTAGTTATATCGGTGTTGTTTCAAGTCATATATTAAATTATTGCGGCTTGGTGACACCCGTAATAACGAAGGCAATGCAGTCAGTCTTACACCTTATGTGACGCGTCGTATATTTGGAAGAGAACAGAAAAATATATTGAAATGTTACCAATGCAAAGGTAATGCTTGGCCTGAAAAATGTAACGCGCGGGCTGGAAAAGTGGCCCAGATCAGCACATATAACGGCCCACCGGGTAATCGCCATGCGGTTCCGATTAGCCACTCTAGGTGAGTGGTGGAGTACACCCTGAACTGGTCGCCAGTCAACCACAAAGCAACAAACTACCATTCAGACCCAAGCACAATTTAGAGTCTTCAATTAACCTAACATGCATATTTTTGTCATTTGAGAGGAAGCCCACATAAGCACAATCAAAACCCATACAGGCCGAGATTTGAACTTTGACCCTTTCAAAGTGTGAAGCGGACGTGCTAACTACCAGGCCACCGTGCTGCCCAGCTATATTCTCTCCAATTGTATATGTTTTCTATATGACATTGTCACTCGTATTCGCGGAAACAATCCCACTCTCACCTTTGTTTTGTCCATGAATGCTCCTCGATGACTCTTGTCTCTTGCACCTCTCCATAAACACCCAAAAAACACAAGAGGGCTCAATTTGGAGTACGCAGGGACGTGACAGCTGGTCGCTTCTCTCCTATTTTGGTGATTGTGTGCAATGCAACAGCGGCCACCCCTCCACCCCCACGACCCACCTCTCTTCTTCTTCTCTTCCTCCTCCTCCCAGCTGCACCCCCTGCACGCCCCTGAGCAAAGACAGTCAGAGGAATCCCGACTCTCTCTCTCTCTCTCTCTCTCACCTCCTAAATACAACCTCCGAGGTCCCGTGACCACGTCGCCCACGTGGACGGCACATTAGTGTGGCCATACAAAGACAGCCAGCACTTCTCGCTCTTGGACTACAGATGAGCGCCCCCCCCCCCACTTCACAAAACAGGTTCCCTCCCACTCGTGTATTTTTTTTTCTCTCTCTCATTCGAGCCGTTGCCATGGTGATTTGAATCGAATTTGACTGTGGGCCAACATTTGACCTAATCTCATGGGATTAACGTGACCTGTACGTGAAACTGCCGCCGTCAGAACAGCGGTACAAATTGCGGTCAGTCAGTCAACCCGAAATCAATGCATAAATGACGTCATATTTTGTATTTTCTTTTCTTCCTTTAGCGGCCACTTCACATTCGGTCTACCTACAAAATCAACAACAAAAAAATCATTCCCCTTTATAAAGACATTAAATGATGCGTTTTGAATGAAAGTGTCAGAGAAGTATTTCAATACAGTGGGTTCTCGGTTTAGTCTCGCGAACGACGCGCAAATGGACTGACTACTTTTCGCATTACTTCAAAACAAAACGTCCTCGCGCGGCACGATCATTTATAGCCGAGCCTTGGGGCGTGTTTCATACAAATATTTGCGGTACCTGTGATTTTTAGGCTGCGTTCCGGTTTACGTACAAAATCGTTGAAGTCGCAACGCAGAAACGGAACGATAGCCCAGGTCGTAAACCGAGGACACACTTTATTTCGATTAATTTTTTTCATTTGCTCACTGCACTCCATTTTTATTATTTCTATGCTTTTCTAAGCACTCCCAAAGAGCAAAAAGCCAAATTATTATTCAAATTATTGTTAAACAGCTCTCAGGGCCAACTACTACTGAGGACGGACTTGATGTCAGATTTTTTTTTCTGGTATCGACAGCCTCTACGGAATTTTTATTTTAAATAAACCCAATACTGGTATCAGTACTCACCTATTCCCTAAAATAAATATTTCAGACGTTCACCGCGTTGAAACATATCTTGAAATATTTCTTTGAGTCTCAAAACAATTGCATACCTTGTAGCCATGTAAAAAAACAAAACAAAAAAAAAAACCAAACACAAATAATGGACAGAACAACTCGAGAAAAGCACATTTTTCATCAGTTTTACTGACAAAGCTGTGAAAACCATCCTAACACTGGAATGTAAGTTGCAACTGGCTCTGGAAAGGTTAGTCGAGAACGCTAAGGCAAAGCTGGATCAATAAAACGCAAACGTGAGCGGCAGCCTTGCTTCAAGCGCTGAGCTGAGCCGCCTCCTGAACCAACGGCTTCAAGGCACAGAGGTCCCGCAGCAGAGAAGACACCCCGACGCAGTACCAACTATCACCGCAGTGCTTTACGGGAGCACTGAAAGACTCGATTTGTACTCCCTCTGCGGCGAGCAGGCCTAAATGAAAGAAAAGAGAGAAAATTGGTGTGAAATTAAAGGAGCTCAATCAAAACTAGCCCCCGAGCCCGAAAGTTGAGACGGATTACTCACCGGCCAGCGACGAGAGCAGCTGAGGACTCGCCGAGGCCTTGAAGAAGAGCAGATTCCCAGCGAGTGACACGGGCTGCCTGAACACGCTGCCGCTCAGCTCCAGCAGAACCGGTCGGCGACCTTGAATGGTGCCGCTAGCTTTGTAGCTGCAGCCGTCGGTCATGATCTCCACCGTGCACACGTCGTTAGAAGCCTCGTCCGACACGCTGTGGCTTTGGTTTACCTGCGGAGGAATGTAGAAGCGCGGCGCATTTTGACAACAACATTCATTGTCAAATGAATGTTGTTGTCAAATGGATGGAAATGGATGTTTTCTACAAATTCAATGTCGTACCGTGATTCCAGATTGCTCGGCGAGGCTCAGCACATTGATGAAGTTTGGGCAAGAGCCAGATTTGCCGTTAAGCAGGCCGACCAGCACAGCGGCCGTCATGTAGCTGGCTGAAGACTTCATGCTGTCTCCTGGTTTATAAAAAAAAAAACAAAACAAAACAAACAAACTTATTTTTGCTTCATTCTAACAGCGTCTTTCATGTACTACTAAATGCAAGGGCACCAAACCGATAACGTAGTACGCACCTTGAGAAGTGATTTGTACGCGGCTCAGTGGAGTCTTGGACACACTACACGACTTCAGCACAGCTCCGATGGCCTCTCCAAGTTTGATCAATGGATAAGAGTCCGGGGAGAAAGTGCTCGCCAAAACCTGTGCGTTTACCTGTGTTAAAAAAAAAAAAAAAAAAAAAAAGACATCAACCACTGTCACATGTCACACGTGTGGGTTTTTAAGAGCCGTCTACCACATGACTTAGCCATTTGGATGAAGAATTTGACACATCTGTATGTCATGTGCGGAGACTACTTGGCCCTTAAGTGTCTTGGTAATAAAAAGTGCGATTCAACTTACTGCTCCGACCAGCTTGTTGCCCTTCACCATGTCGACAATCTGCAGTGCGATGTCCTGGCCGCATCGTGCCTGTGCCTCCTTGGTGCTGGCACCGAGATGCGGACAGCAGATCACGTTGGGATGGTTGACCAGAGAGCGGTTTTGTGGGGGCTCCTGTGGCACAAACAATCTCATTGCATTTCTATCTTCATAAAATTGCATTTCTGGGACAATGAACATATTACATTGCGATGTATTTATCCAATCTCGTCTGCGACATATACATGCAGGAACATAAGACAGACGGACTGATCTGTCTTATGTTCCTCACAATGTTGCACTTCATCGTTCGCACCGCCGCTACATCACAGATTTTGAATCGAGTTTATTGATGTTGCTTTTATTATAGTGTGCTTTCAGATAAAATTGATGTCAAAGTGGCCTCGGGGTCACGTTGAGAACATCACAGCTGATCTGTTGTCTGGGTTTGGTCACGTGACGTTCGCAATGCGACCTCAAGGGTACTTTTGTCATCCGTTTCAGTCAACAGCAGAGGGCGGTATTGAACAAAATAGCAGCTGCCCAAGAGTAATACAAATTCGGGGTTAATCCGCTTCATTATATAGGATAATATAATCTCTCTATGTAATGTGGATAATTATTTACATGAATTCCAATGATTAGAATATTACAGTGACTCAAGTTGAAGGTAATCTTGCCTCCACAAAGACGTCAAGGCCGGCTCCGCCGCACTGTCCGGACTCCAAAGCTCGGAGGAGGGCGGCTTCGTCGATGATGCCACCACGTGCGCAGTTGACTACTTTCACGCCTCTCTTGCATTTGGCAAAGGTTTCATCATTGAGTAGACCTTGCGAGGGAATCAATATCAAAAATGAGAACCCAACTACAATTCATTGGCGTTTTTATACTGAAAGGCCCTGTAAGGTGAATTCAGGGATTTGTTCAAATAAATTTGAAGATAACTGCTGAAAACGTGGAGAGACAGAAAATTTACTGTATTGTGGATTGATGGTTTCAAACTGTTTTCACCATTTCTGCTTTCCTTTTTTGGGAACTTCAACACCTTAGTTTGCATGCAGCACAATCGCAAGTCACTTTGTTATTATTATTAGGCCTATTAGGACCACTACAGCATGCAGTTAGCCTGATAGCTATGCCTACACCTCAAAAACGCATCTTCTTTGGACGACACAAATGACAGAACAGCTTGGTGTCGATATTTAAATTGTCAAGTGAGGAGGTGACGCTGTGGACAAGCCTGCCGCCCATTCTGTGGCCAAAAAGAGTCCCTGGAAGTCGGTTAGCTCGCAAGCTAACATGCGGCTAGCCCCTCTTGGCGTGGCGTGAAAAAGTGAAATGTGAAAACTTTCTGGATTCAATGTGCATGCAGTATGTGTAATGGCATTGACTTAGATGAGTCAATTTCACTTCATCCAATGACAAATGTAATTTTTAAACATAATTAGATGACATTCACTCCATATGGATACCGTTATGTAAAAATATAAGCATCAGAGGCATCCCAATGCCAACAATTCTGATTGGCTATAAAAGAATTTGACATTCGGCCATTGGGCCAGAGATTTCGTTAAAATGCTTGTTGCGTGTGGATGTAAAAGTACCGTATGTCGCTATCTCCTAAGTTTGAGTTTAGCATAAAAAAAAAAACAAATGTCAGAGCAAACAACTAGCAAGTTATTAGTAAATCAGTAAGAAATAGAAATTACTTTGTTTGCTTAAGTCAATAAAAAAAAAACACTAAATATATTAATTTTTTATGTCAATATTAGCATCCAAATCCAACTTTGTCTTTGCAGGTGGGGCAACCTAAACAAACAGAACTTAGATGATTCTTTTACACTTTCGTTTGGGGCTGCCCTATCGTCATCCACTTTGTGTGACACGTCCACAGGCTCGTCAAACTTGGGCCTGTTGTGAATCACTGTTCTGTTTTCAATATATGCACTGGAAATCAAAGAAAGCAGTGTTATCTGCTGTATCTGGCAACTTGAGGGTCTTATGTGACACTCACCAACAGTGGAGGGCATTAATGGAGTGTGGACCGTGATGTAGTCACAGAGAGGCCAAAGCTGCTCCAGGGACATCTGCTCCACCCCCCAGCTGGCTGACACTTCAACTGGAGTGATTGGGTCATAGCCAATAGTCTAACAAAAAACAAACAACCCATCCCCCCCCCCACTATTAAACTTTCCGATTATCACAGAGTACAAATAGAAGTGTCACGTGACAAGCCGACCGACCTTCATGCCAAATGCCTGCATTCTGTTGGCCACCTCCTTTCCTATTCTTCCGAGTCCAACTATTCCGAGAACTTTACCGTACAGCTCAGCACCCATAAACTGCAACATGAGAAAATTTGACAATGACCCAGCTGACTAAATCAAAAAGCGGCACAGCATCTGAATGCCGCATCACATTGCTGACAACTGACCGGACAATGGAGCCGGCCATGCAAGTATAATTCTGTCGCTGAGCCTGCAAATAAGCCGTGAAGCCTCTCGCTCACCTTTTTGCGATCCCAGTTGCCAGCTCGCATGGACATTGCAGCTTGAGGCACATTTCTGCAAATAGACACACAGGAGTAATATTCGTTAAAAGACATAAAGTTATTAGGACACATACGGGTGAATAAATGTGCAACACTTTACGCACGTACACAAATACATTTTCAAATTGCCTAGAAAATCACAATGTGCAATCACTGGCGAGCATTTTTAGAACGCTGGTGACCCCTGCTTTTGCCTAGTGAGTGAAACAAGGAAATTTATTCTGTGTGTGTGTGTGTGTGTGAGCATCTGGATGTGAGTTATGGCCTACAGCAGCTACTTGTGAGTGTTCTCATTTTGAACTTATTTGTTTGACTGGCATAGAAAATCAAATCATCTCAAAATCTTTGCGTGATTTGATTTTTGTTAAAACGTGCACGCAATGAGTTCTTGCTCTTAATGTTGCTTTGCTGCTCAGCATTTTTCTTCCATCATTGAAGAGAATTGAAACGAAACACAGAAACCAGTAACCCTGATGAAAAGTGCCCATCGATGATCTAATCGGTCAGCTGATCATACTTTGCCCACCCCGGCACATCGACTTACCTCGAGAGGCTCATCAGGAGGGCGCAGGTCAGCTCAGCCGCACTGATGGTGTTGCCGCTCGGCGTGCTGCGCCACACATTTGACATCTGCTTAGCTCAAAATATGAACAACAACAAATTTGAACCGATCGACGCACGCTTACTTCATGACTATGACGCCCATTTTGGTGGCGGCCTCGACATCCACGTTATCCACGCCGGTTCCGGCTCTCCCGATGATTTTGAGATTGCCGGCGGCGTTGATGACGTCAGCCGTCACCTTGGTAGCGGATCTCACCACCAGGCCGTCGTAGTCCTGGCGAGGGGAGAGAGCAGACGCATTTCACACACGCATGGCTGGATGATCAACTAGGCAAATACACGAACACGCAAACACCAAAAACCGGTATGAACCACTTAACCTGCTGTTTTTAGCGTGAAGTGGCTGCTGGTGTTTACGCCCCCATCTTGTCACAGCTGAATGGCCATCTGCGTTTCATAGTGCCTTGTTAACAGGCCCCGTGCTTGAACTTTAATTTAGCGCCTGGGCGTGAGTTGTAGCCTTCAGCAGCTCTTTGCGAGTGTTCTCATTTTGTATGGGTGTGTTTGACGGTTCTGTTCAACATAGAGTTGAAAGCTTGGCTCCCAACATTTTTTTTCAAAAAATGGAAACGTTCATACAAAACAACCATGAAAGAGGACCTTGAAAAAAAATCCAATATTGAATCACAATTGCAATATTGAGGTGATTAAAAAATAAATTATTTTTCAAAATCGTTCTGTTCTTTTTTTTAATCTTTTCTTCTCTACTTGCATTTTAACCAGTCTTAGTATTTAAACAAGTTCATGTACTTTACTACTGCTGAGTTCAGACTGCTGCTGTGGGCAAAAAAAAGGAGTCACGTGCACCATTTTTGCCAGCCTAAGCAGCTCTACTAGAAAGTGATGGGCTGAATTGCATCATCTCGTTAGGGCAGGGCGGTGCTAAGCAAACTCACACACAACATTCAGTAAAACCTCATGTGCAACTGAAATACATTCAGTTTGAAAAAAAATATCAGTGAGGAGGTTGCAAAGGATTGAACTGAATTTTGAAAACGCCCCCCCGCCCCCCAAATGCACACGTGGAAAAAAAAGACCCAGTGTTGGAAGAGCCTGTTACGCAATGCAGACTTCCAATGACATTCTTACCTTGATCTCGGCGATCAGTTCATTCTTCTGCATGTTGTGCTTCTCCGTTACTCGGATGCCATTTTCTTCCAGGATGCTCCTGCAGCGAGGGTCCACGCTTTCGCTGATGAGAACATTCTTAATGGAGATGGGGGGCATCTTGAGAGATTTGTGTGTTGTATAAGAAGAAAGTCTCCCGCGCAGGCGGGCAAGGTTGCTGATGAATGGTCAACTTGTGCTGGAGGAACGGTGCAAGAGGACTTCGGCGACGAGTGATGATGGCCACGGGAAGTTGCTCGTGCTCGTTGCTTTTGAATGGCTGTGCGGGTGCGGAGGACGGCCCCCTTTTCAGAAGAAAACACGCCCCCTATAGTGCACCTCTCACCCAACTGGAGCGTGACTGAATAACTTGATTTCTGCACAGTGGCAGTTAATCTTGTCGACCCAGTATCATCGAGTATCATCCAGACATACAGATGTACACGGTGATGGTCATTTCTCCACAATAAACTGCAGTACTATTAGTTATTCGCAAAGGAATACATAACAAATGCCCGAGAGTATTGTTTTAATATCTGTCGATATATTTAGTTGCATTAAGGGGTTATGACATACGCTGCTGATAGTTGCTCTTGCTATACTAATAGTTAGCCTGTGAATGGTCTGGTTTTTCACGTTCGCATTAAGTTTTAGCAGGGGCCTTTTTAAATGCAAAGTTGTCGTGTTTGAAAAACAGGGCTCAGAATAACTTTTTAGGAATAAATCCTCTGCATCATTTATGGTGGTTACGTATTTTATTTTTATTAGTTAGCAGCACCTGTAAAAGTTGGTCTTTCATGTGCCAACGTGTGGCTAAACCAGTCCCTGACCCGTAACAAGCCACTTACACAACTTTAGATAGCAACACGTCTTTCATGCCAAACAAAAAAAAAAAAAACATATCAGCAAAAATAATAATGATAATCACGTTTTTTTTCAATTAAAATTATGTTAGTTCCTTATTTCATCCCGAAATGCTCAAATAGAATCTTGACCAACAGCACCCCCTTGTGTCAACAAGCGGGATGACCTCAAATGCGTTGCGTAGATACAAGGCAACAAATGATTCCGCTGTGACGGTGAAAAAGTGACAAGTTGCTTTAGTTAGGAACTTTACTTGATAATATTACCAATTATCATTAGTGTACAGAGAAAAAATGTCATCAGTGGTTCAACATGGCCAACGAAGAGGACCCGGGAAGAGTGGTGAGAGTTCATTGAATTTCTTTTTTCTTGTTGTAGTTATATTTTTAGTTTAGTTATCCAGCACCGTATAGTTTTAAAATTGCATCAATATATGGAAAAACAAATCAGCATGCTGTAGTAGTGTTGAATCACTCTGCCCACAATTTTGTAAGTTTGGAGCTAGAATTTTAGAAAATTGGTTCAATGATCAGTCTTGTTTCATTCTGAGACAAAAGTGTCAACATATTAACTATTGCTCTGGTAACTTCGTTTTTCTCGGTCTTTACAGCTGAAAACACCAATGAGACAATCGGGCTTCCAGATCTCCATCAGACCACCGTTTTAACCAAGGCTGACTGGTCGAGGATCCAGGATGAAATCAACCGAGTGGACAAGGAAAAAGAACGCATGATGGAGGCCACGAGGCAGAGGGAGGCCCTGCACCTGAAATCCAAACAGATGGCCAAACTCTGGCCTAACACGCTTGCCGTAAGTGGACAATATGTGATATTTAGTCATGAGGGACCCAAAGCAGTTTTAAATGTTTGTGGTCAAGAAATGTTGGAGTTGTTGCTTGTGCTTATTTCAAGTGTCAAAGACAGAAGAAGCTGGAGGCAAAGAAGATCCGGGACCAGGTGGAGGAGGACAAAAGGAAACAGATCGATATGGAGGAGGCCAAATATCGAGAAGAAAAGCGGAAAGAGGCCATTGAGAAGGCAAAGACGCAGCTCTACTATGAAACGGAGCGAGTCAAAGGACTGCATGTTAGTATCACGCATCTCTTCCCCCTGGGACACACAAGTCTGAGACCTTATATGAAAACTTGCAAGCGGAAGTCAGTCGGAAAGTCTGCGCGAATGCTGAGACTTGAGGATGTCAGCTGAAAATGACCTCACGCTTGCTCAGGGCTGGGGTAACGACCAATCACGGCGCGCAGAGCCCTTAGCAACTATGAGGTCATTTTCAGTCGACAGCAAGTGGCAAAATGGCCGCCCCCTGAATGGACAAAATTCATATTTTCTCATATTCCACACACAAAATATTAACCAGAATGCCGTGTTTGGACTAGCGGGGCTGCTCAGAACGTATTATTCTTCAGAAAAATGTTGGGTTGACTTCCCCTTTAAGTTTCCAATATCAGCATCTTTAACAATAGTCAAATAAAAATGACAGTCAATATTCGGAAGAACAACGGCAATGGTGTTTATTGTCCTCTCATCTCCTCCTCACAGCGTGCACTCTTGCTGACAGAAGTTCTGAAGGAAAGAGAAGCTCAGATCGAGCTGAAGCAAAGGAAGAAAAGCGCCTTCAAGGACCTGGATGAAGAACACATGCAGATGCTGAAGGCCAGGGAGGATGAAGCTCTCACAAAAGAGCAGGAGCGAACGCAACAGAAAAAACAGGAGAGCAAAGCTTTTGCCGAAGAACTGCGGAAGCAGTAGGTGAAGAAACAGGTTATGCTTGCGCCATGTAGACCAGGAATGGGGAAATTAAATAATGAAGGTGGCCACAATACTTTGTCAGCATTACCAGTCAAACGATCACCGCTTCTTGTGAAGAAGAAAAAAAACTGCTGTTTCTGATGTACTTTCGAGTTGAGAGCTTGGCAGCTTTCGTATATTTCTGGCATTAACTTTGGTTCCCAGCATGCATTGCACCATTCCATGCTGATTTATTTCATTTTTTTTTGGTCAGTCTAAATATCATTATCGTACAAATGTATTTATCACCTATCAACTATTCATGATGATATTCAGACCCGGTTAAAGCAATGCCTGCCCTCTAGTGATGAATGGTGCCAATACAACTTAAAACTATAGTCGAGGATAGGTTTATAATTTTCTCACCCGCGTCCCGTAGGATGAAGGAAAATCAGCTGGAAAGAGAGCGACGGAAGCATGAGACCAAGAAGGACGGCGAGGAAATCCAACGGCTTCAAGAGCTCCATCAGTGGGAGCAAAAAATGGAGGAGCAGTCGCAAGCCAGGCAGAAGAAAGAGTTCATGAACGATCAGCTGGTGGGCGGGCTCACGTGAACCTTTTTGGAATCACTTACTTTGGTTCATTTATGAACGCACTGGTGACATCTTTTCATAGGAGCATCTCGCTCAAAGGGAGATTTCGAAGGCGGCGGATGCGGAGAAACAAGAGGTGGAGGAGGCGCAACGGAAACTGTTCCTGTCTGCAAAGGAGAAGATGGTGACGTTAAGAAGAGATAAGGAGAAGGAGTTGCTCAGGTAAGAACACGGGAGAAGAAATACAATTCCGTATTTTTGGGATTATACGTCGCTCCCGATTATAAATCGCACCAGCCAAAAAATGCATAATTAAGAAGGAAAAAACATATATAAGTCGCACTGCAGTATAAATCGCATTTTTGGGGGAAATTTATTTGATAAAATCCAACACCAAAAACATACATGTCATCTTGAAAGGCAATTTGAAATGAAAATAAAATAGAGAACAACAGGCTGAATAAGTGTACGGTATACTAACTAACGTTACATGACTGACATGCCTGGTCATGTCAGTAACGACGTAACATAACAAGAGTTATTCAGATAAGCATAAAGAACATGCTAAGAGGTTTACCAAACTGTCAGTTTCACTCCAAATCACTAAATCCAGTGAAATCTTCATCCTTGGCGTCACTTTTAAACAACTCCTCCAATTCTGGACGTAGACGATGCGCCGCTTCCTCTTCTACGTCGCTTACGTCAGACTCATCGTCGATTTATCAACACAGGCCGAGAGCGCCCTCTTGTGGTTCAATGTGAAAATAACGTGAAATGACACAATCTAATGTGTTAATTATTTCACACATAAGTCGCACCCCCGGCCAAACTATGAAAAAAACTGCGACTTATAGTCCGGAAAAGACGGTAGTTGTTCTCATGGTTCTCGTGACATCATCATAAAGGTTTTTTTTTTTGGTTTTTGTTGCTCAGAGAGGTCCAGATTCGCAGAGAGAGGATCATGGACAAGCTGATGTTGGCTCAGCAGGAGCAGAAGGAGCAGAAGCAGCAGAACAACGCCGAGGCTGTCGCCGAGCGGGACGCGCAGAGGATGCAGCGGGAATGGGAGGAAGAGCAGAAGAGGGTGCAAATGATGAAGTCGATCGCAGCTCACAGGGAGCACGTGGTAACACAGTGTTGCATTCTTTTCGGAGGAAGAACTAAACGTACGTTTGTTCTGGAGCTTCAACATTCTCGAGCTAATATTCCAACAGATCCAAGAGAAAGAGCGCAACGAACTGATCAGAAAGGAGAAAGAAAGAGAAGTTCTTCAAGCAAAGAAAGAAGGTGACAGAATATTTGGTGAAGAACAGCAAAAGAAGTCCCAGAGGATCCAGCAGGAGCTCCGGAAGATACAAGACTTCAATGCAAGCCAGATGGTAAATCATGAACAGGACCGGCCCTTTATTTTGATTTTTGTACCCAAAGTCTATAGAGAAAAAAAACAAACAAACTGGGATTGAATGTGTGCAGTCTGAAAAGACGTCGAAATATGTCTTTGGGAGTGAATGCGTGAAGTCAGTGCACGTCGGCTGGGTTGACTTGACGGTTGGCTGTTTTCGCTCCGATACAGCTGGAGAAACAAGCCAGGCAGCATCAAGTAAGGCTAGCGGAGCACCAGTTTGAAGCCGAGAACATGGAGCTCCTCGCCGAAGAAGAGCTTGGGTTCGAGCGGTACTCGAGGGCCGTGGTCCAAGCGGCCGCCTCCTCCGAGCGTAACGTGCTTCCGCTCTACAAGGCCGTGAGGGAGGGGGTGGCGGGGGGCCCAGCCTTCATCGGAGCGAGACCTCGCTACCTCGTTCAGGACAGCAGCGGCGCCGAAATGCCCAAATATGTCTCGGACAGCAAGCGGGATATCAAGAAGATCCACCAGGTTGAAGATATCGAAGAAGCAAAGAAGAGGCTCGGGTTTACGTGGTTTTAAGAGCGCCGGTGGAAGGCCCGCGGGGAGCTCAAATGTGGGAGCGGTTGCTGGACCCTTGGTGCGAAAAGTGAATTCAGAAATGGGTTTCAAAATGCATCATTCGTATGTGAAGGTCATTTCTGAAAACCTACGCAAAGATTGAGAAGAAGATTACTGTATTGGAGAGGGTCAATAACTGCAGTGGAACGTTGCAAAAATATTGTAAAAACAAAAATGGTGTCTTTTTAATTTCCATTCTACACAGAGGGGAAGCGCCGAAAACCAACGTGCACAATGAACATCTCATCCAAGTTGGTTTTGTTGCACTTGCGCCATGAGCATTTTCCACATTTAAAAAAAACTAACAAACAAATTGACAGCAAGAATACAGAGACTAGCTGGAGGTCATTGAAAACGTCACTGAACCCATGAAGAGAAAACCTCAAGGTCTGAAAGAAGCATGCAAAAGATTCTTTTTTTTTTTCCACTTTTAAATCAAATTTTCCACTTCAAAAAAAAAAAAAAAAGATGTTAAATAACCAAACAAGCTTCGGTAGAAAACAAAAAACGTTTCTTACAGCAAAATTTTTCATTGGCTGAACCAAATAAACAAAGGATGGTTTGGTTTTTAAGTCCTTAGTTACAGTACGCCATCAGTCGGCCGCAGAAACCGTTTCTGTTTAGCGCAAAAACCGAGTCCTTGGCTCACAAGCCTCTGTGGTCCTTTTTGTTGGTTCGGGTTGATCGCTGGCCTCTTCCAGCCGTTGCAGTTGTCGGGTGCAGCCTCTCGTTTACTGTCGGGGAATTTTTTTTTTTTTAAAAATGGCGCTGTGGACGAACTGAGTGAGAAACATCACCATGTGCGGCTCTTCGGAAAGACGGAGCTGCGCGGAAAATGCGTACTGAGCATATGACGACGTTCAGGGGAGAGAGGGGAGGGTGGGGGTCGGGGGGGGGGGGGCACAACTAATTTTAAGACGGTTTCAGTCGCTGTGAGATCTTGAACGGGGGCTCGAGTGATCCCGCTTGCTGTTGCTTTTGCCTTTCGTCGTGTCGGTTCTTTTCCTGTCTTTGGAGGCGCTTTTGGATCTTCTGCGTTTGGAATCGGGGCTCTTGCGACGCTTGCGTCTGTCTTGATCGCTGTCGGAGCTGCTGCTGCTGCTGCTGGAGCTGCTGCTGCTGCTGCGTCGTCGCCTCCGTTGGCTGTCCTTGCGATCTTTGCTGCGTCCCCTCCGGCTGCTCTTGCTTCTGGAGCGCCTGCTTCGGTAGGAATCGCGGGCCTTGCTGCGGTCCCGGCTTTTCCTGCGCTCCCGGCTCCGCGTCCGCCGCCTTTTGTCATCCTTGTCATCGCCGTGTCGCCTGTGCGCGCTCCTGCTGCGTTCCCTGCCCCTCTCTCTGCGTTTTTCGTCTTTGTCCTTGGAGGCGGCGCGTCCGCCCTTCTCTCGGTTTCTGCTGCTTGATCTGTGTCGGTCCTTGGAGCTTCTGTCTTGACTTTGCGACTTTGTCCGCGTTCTCTCGCCGTTGCTCGTCTTGGAATCCTCTTTCTTCTTGCCGTCAGACTCCTGCTCCCTGTTTTTCTCTTTGCCGTGATCGGTTTCCTTTTCCTTCTTGTCCGCATTTCGCTCTTTGCTCCTCGAGCGATCTTTCCTGTCACTACTTTTATTCTTGTGACTCTTCTCTTTGCTTTTGGACCGTCTCCTCTTCTCTCTGCTTTTGGACCGCCTGCTCTTTTCTCTGCTTCGACTTTTAGATTTGGCCCTTTTCTTTTCCTTCTGCTTGCCTTGCTTCTCCCCCGAATCCTCCTTGCTTTTGGATCGCTGCGATTTGGATTTCTTGTCCTTTTTCCCCTCGTCTGCGTGCTCGCGCTTGGAACTGGAGGTCCGCCGCTCTCTCCTCTGAGGGTTCGCGCCGGCGGCCTCCTCCTTGTCCTCGCTCATGTCGCCTCTGGAAAAGACAACAAAAGTCAAATCATCTCATAGAAAACCGGACAGTTCATACAAGTCGAAAAAGGAAGAGGATGTTCATGAAGTGGGTTAAGCAGCGTGTTGAGCTGACGACGACATTAGACTGTGCACGTGTGATAAAGTTGCGCAACACCACAACGAGACTTCCATCTAACTACCACCGAAAACAAGACACAACTCTCCAAGTACGATCAACATGAAGAAACATCGGCGATGAGGCCATTACGTGTCCGTCAAAAACGAGACGGCGTTTATTCCTGCAACTTGACTTACTTCGCCCATTTCACACACAAGGCAACTCAACGTGCTTCACACAAACAATTCACACTGCGCTTGGTTTTCTTGCCGTCCGCTGGAACTTGCCTGTCTCCTTTAATCCAACGCTCCCCCGTGACTGCCCTCATCCTCTGACGCTGCAACTCCAGACGCCAGTGGGGCGGAGTTTCGCTGCGGCGAAAGCGATCTCTGGATCGTGAACGAGAGCGTGAAGGAGTTCTGTATCTCTGCGCGTGTGGGGGGGGAGATGACACAATGAATCATTTGCTTTTGCAGATGGGAGAAAAGGAAAGTGGAATCACTTTGTGGAGCGCGCACACAGACTCACCCTGGGGCCCCTGCCTTTGATTTTCCTGCCGGATCGCGTCATGACCAATCTTCTGTTATACATGGACTGAGAATTGTATTGCGCGCTCGATCTGCCAGGAGGAATTCAAGAACGCTCATCGGTGCCATTCACAAAATATCTATTTTTTGAAACAAATAATAATTGCTACAGTATAACACAATACACGACGGTTAATTTTCTCAATCAGCGCTAGGGAAAATGTTTTTCAACTTAGTTGGGAGGCTTGCGAGCGTCACCCACCTGTCACGAGGCCGTTCGTCTTTGCTTTCTTTGTCCTTCACGGGCTCCTCTTTTTTTTGCTCGACCGGGGAGAACCTCATCAGGAAGCGATTCTCAGGGACGGGCGGTATTTCTTCAGGACGCACGGTGGACGTGACCACCTCTTCTTGTTCTTTCTCTTCGACAATTTCAGGCTCGGCCCTGTGAGGATGTGACAGGTGTCGGAATAAACACTGCTTTCCAAAAGCTACAAGCTAAAAAAATAAAATAAAAATAACATGCGGGTAAATCAAGTACTTCTTTTTGTCCTTCTTCTGTTTCTTCTTTTGCTTTTTGGCTTTCTTTTTTTGCTTCTTGGACTCTTTGTCCGATTCTTCGGACTCAGAGGAGGATTCCGAGGTGCTGTCGGAGTCACTGGAACTACCGCTGGAACTCGACGAGGCGCGCTCCTTCTTCTTGTCACGTTTCTTGGCTACGGGAATGTAAGACTGGGTTGAGATTGCAATAGCTTGCAGAGGCGGAACACGGCTCTCAGGTTCGAAGGAGACGAACCGACCTTTTGATTTGGGGACAAGTTCCCCGCAGTTCAAAACCTTGATTTCGGCATAGGGTCTGCTGTTGGGATCCGTTTTCTCATTCTCTATAGTTTGTAAGACCTCTTGACCAGAAATCACGTGGCCGAAAACCACATGGACCCTGTCAAAAAAGCAAAACAATCAAGAACTGAAATGTGCCTCGTGCAGCCAATTGCGAACTCGGAGGCCCTTACCCGTCCAAATGGGGAGTTGGTTTGGTTGTTCTGGGAGGATTCGGAGAAAAAAAAAAAAAAAAAACCACATTCATAAGCAAATAACGACACGTCAATTCAGTAATAATGAGAAAACCTCTGGATGCCTACATGAAAAACTGTGATCCATTTGTATCTTTTCCTCTATTGGCCATAGACAGCAAGTACTCCTTGTTATGTTTCACAGCAAAGCTTTCGTCTGAGGGGGGTATAGGGATTGCAAAAATTGTACAGCCATTTTCACGCCAGTGCTCATTTAACAAACCCACAACATCTTTACCTTCAAAAAAGCCCCCATAGATGGATTCGCCTCCTCTTCCATTGCCTACCGTTAAAAAAAAAGGGATAGCAGATCAGCAAACGTTTGCGTTCATTTCAATGGCGTGTTCATTTTAGATTTACTTAATAATCAATGTACATTAATGCAAAAAAAAAAAAAAAAAAAATCCAAAAATACTTCATTCATAGTCATCACCTTCACTGAAGTCGCCTCCTTGAATCATGAAGTCTTTCACAATGCGATGGAACAGGCATCCTTTGTAATGAAGCGGTTTCTGGGTTACTTTACCAACACCTTTCTCACCTGGAAGAAAATACATCCGGAATACAAGATCAAGATAGATATCTCTATATAGATATTTTTTTGCTTGAATATTATTTTGGTGAAATTTTACAACTCACCAGTGCAAAGGCATCGGAAGTTTTCACATGTTTTGGGACACATGTCTGTGAACAACTCGACAATGATTCGACCGACTGCAAAGGAAATGGATTTCGTAACTCAAAACACTTGTTTCCAAGATCAGTCCATTTAAATCAGCTCACCCTGGCCTCTAGCATAATTCAATCGTATGACAAAGAAGAGTTTCACCACGAATTGACTCAGTAAGCTGCAGTCATATTTTTCAGATGTTCAAGAATATACACACAGACATGTGAATATTCACTATGAGCATATATAGATCGGAAAGGGAGCGATTCCGAATATGATCAATCAATACAACCTTATTTCGAATGCCAATATGAGAAGTGCATCTCAGTAGAACACAGATGCAGGCATTGTCTAGGTCGGGCAGAACATTTTATCATCAAGAATCATCAAAACATTCACGCTTAAGACTGTCTTACCTGCTGCACTTCCTATTCCGATGTCAAAGAAACACCGAGAACGTTGAACCTTGATCCCCATGATGACAAGAGTTGCTGAACCACCTGAAGGAGCAACACCTTACATATTAGTAACATATTGATAAAATACCAAGGCAGTAAAGTCACCACTAGACACAACTTCAGTCTTCCTTCCATTCAATTACGCATTAACACACATAGAAAATGCAGAGGGTGAACAGAGCTCTAATTCTGAAGTGATAATTGAGGACCACATTTGACGGGACTTAAGGTCAAGTCGCGCCACCAGATCGTCTCTACTTGTTTCCAATATTACATGCTAACATTAGCCCAGGTAGCATTTTAAGCCCTTCGCCCCACGTTTTCACAACACTGCGCGGAGAAAAAAAAACAAAGCATATAAATTGACGCATTTTCTTACACATACACCCATCCAATACTCGTTTCTAACGTTAAGTTTGACATTGATCCCAGCAGGTATCTGCACAGGCCTCCAGGCTAACACTTAGCATACTTAGCCTGGCAACATGGATGGATACCCGGCTGGCTACACTCAAGAGCAACTTGGACGATTTAACGTATGGTACGCACAATCGAGTCGCGTGCAATGCAACCTTACATCACCTGGAAAAAGCAATCTTATCACTCCATGTAGCAGACGTTTCTTTCAAAAGGCACGGGTTCTCATTCAACGTCCACTGCTCGTCCGCTTACGAAGATGGCGCGATGGAGACGTCACGTCAATGCATTTTGGGAAGGAATCGTTCGCCACTTTTTTTTGTGTTTCCTGCACATGGTCACTACTTTACGGCACTTCAATGGCTCTACCAGAGATGTTTTGAAGAGAAGATGACGATATGTTATTTTTCTGTTACGTATACAGTACATGTTATTTCGCTAATTTTATTTAGAATCAAGTTTTCTGTGCTTTTAATGTTGTGGATAGGCCAAAAGTTTCAACATATTGCTTGACTTCATTTTCAAACATTTAAAAAAATGAGCTTTATGATAACGTATCAACAAGAGACTAATAAAGAGAAAGGTGCGGTTCCATAATAACACAAGTTAGTTTGAAAGAAAATGGGCAATCCCACAACAAATGAAACACATCTTCAGGAGATCTTTCACATCAAGAGCAAGCCAATGTATTTTTGAATCACAATAAATCAATAAATACATCAATAAATATGAAGAAGTGGCACCTTTTCTATGAATTAGTCTTCTTATATTACAGTAATTGATTGCATTTGAAGAGAAGCAAATTTCACCAATTTAAGTTTTTCCCGGATCTGTGGATAATCAGCCTAAGGTCAAGTTGTAACCAGCCTTTTGAATAACGTAATAACATCAGTAGGAATAACATTTATAACAATATCAAATTCAGGCAAAATGACATCACCATATTTCGAAACAAATTCTCAGTGTGTCAATCACGATCCATTCAAATTAAACAACAGACAACTATTGTGAGAAATTATTTTCAAAAAATAAATGACCATGAGAGAAATATCTCTTTGAGAGAATTAGAAAGTGTAATGGGGCGCTTCGGAATATGTATTGTTTAGTATTGTATTATAATTACAAAACAAAAGGAAATTGAGACTTCCAACTTGAGAGTGGTTTATTAAAGAGAAAAAATGCGACAGCATCAATAGTCTTTAACATCTCTGGCAAGGCGACACGATGCGACATGCTTACTGTGGTGGGATTGAAATTAATGTTCTGTCATTGTTCGAATTTAGAATCTTTTGGGTTTTTTTCCAATTCACCCAGCTACATGATTTCTATCTGTATTTTGCTCAAGGCGCTCACGAACTACAACCATGAAACCAAAAGCAGCCGCACCAATTGTATTCGTTAACGTCACTCGATACGGAAGTAGTGCCCGCATGTGAAGTAAGTTTGACTTTGTAAGGATGAATTTTAATGGTTGTTCCCCCCTTTTCGTGTATTTTAGCCATGCGGATCTGTTTAATATGCATATTTCTCAATGAACATACGTGCAAATCGTGGCATTTGATGTTGTAAGTAATTGTTGTTACTACCACGTGAATAGCGTGTTACAAAACTGATTACCCAATTCAGTGTTGACTGAAGGAATTCTCTACTTTTTAACTTTATCTTTCACGCATTTCAGTTTGTTACCTTATACAGTATAAATAATTACTTAGTTGTGTGTATGTACGTGTTTCTTCATCTAGGAACCCCATCCATCTCCTGACTGTGGATGTGACCCACCTTATCACTGTGACATTGTGGTTGACAGTATCACACATGCAACGATGAGGTTGATTGTGATCTGACGCTCAAGATGATGTTCTGGCTCCAGGTTGCGAGTGCCGGTTTTCGCAGGTTACTTCACAAGGTCCCAGTGAACCGTGATCAGGTTCTGGATCAGTTGCGGATCTGCTCTGCCGAAGATCATGTGTTTGATTTGGTGGGTAATAACAAGGCCAAGCTCAGCGTGGATCACGTGAGTTTGGCCGTGAAGATGCTGTGGTACTTCCAGAAAGAGAAACCGCAGTTGTTGAGAACGGTCCAACTCATCAAGAATCACCCACAGTTCCTGACATTGCGGGTTCTGGCTGAGAACAAAATTGCACTCATGGACGATGTTATGTTGGTGGACTTACTGTATAGTTTTCTCAGGTGCGTGAAATGAACCGCTGGTCTGAAGATCGAAATATATATTCACCCGGTGCAAATGCAACATGCTATTTAACTGTTTTTCCAGGCTGAATGTGGACCATCATGACTCGCTTGTTCAGCAATTGATTTCAGAGGCTTGGTTAAGATTAGACAAGTGAGTATTTTTATTTTTTTTAATTCATTGAGTCTTCATAGCTCCTGTCTATTTGAGTTGCTCTGAAATGATAATTTCTGCATATTTGCAGACTTCCATTGACATCCCTGTCCAAGTTCGCCATCTGCCTTGCTGATCAGCAACTTCAACAAAGTACTCTGATGGGCCACATCACCAATCTTGTGGATCAGAAGTTGTCATCCATCGATGATGCCAGGTTGGTCGAAGAACTCTTTCCAAGTTCAGTTCTGAACCTCTGGATAGACGTGAACAAAAACATGTTCAGTTCTTGGGCCGAACAATTTTGAAAATCAACACTGGTAAATTATTTTTTTAATTAAATATAGCCTCGTTTTTTTTCTTGCTGTTCATTGGGTTTTTATAACAATAACAACAACAACAATAATAATAATAAAGATAATGTAATGCAATTTATGACCCATTTTAGTTGTAAATTACGATGCATGGTTGAATACATATTTTACTGATCAAACGTAGAACAAAAAAATTTAAAATACAGTCCCTAAAAAAATCTCATGTCCGAAAAAAAAGTAAAGAACTCTTTTAAAAATCAACATCAAAATATGCAAATGACAGGTGGTGTTTATTTTTATTTTTTCCTGCTGCAGGATCCTCACCACGTTACTCATTAGCATTTCATCCCTGGTGTCTCCTCGTCTACGGGATGCCCTGATTAGCCGGGCGGATGACCTCCTGGACAAAATGGATCCGTCGAACTATAACAACGCTCGCAGAGTCGTGCAATTCTTGCGCAACATTAAGTACAGCCACAGGCCTCTCCTGGAGAAATGCAACCAGATCCTCCTGCGCAACACTCCCAGGCTGGACGCGGAGAACATCGGCATTTTCTTGGGGCTGTATCAATCTTTGCAGTTTAACAACTGCGACTTCAGATTGGCTGCGAAACAACGGCTGACGGAACTCATTGAGTCAAGCACAGAGCCGTTCTCTTTTACGAAACTGTTTGCTGCGCTAGCACCCATAGCAAGTGCAGAGATCAGAGACGGGTTGGTATCATTCTAAGTGGAAAGACTTAGAATTTTAAACTTCTTTTGGACCATTTATAATCACTGTGCCTTTTTTTTTTTTTCAATCACTTTCAGTTTGGAGAGCACGGCCCTCCTGTTGGCTGATGAGTTCGGCGCACAGCAGGCGTTGGCCATTGCTGAAACCCTGGAAGAGATTCAGAGCAGGAACCTACGCTTGATAAGCAAGTGAGTTCAAATCATGGAGGGATTTTTATTGTGGTTACTTTTTATTTCGTTTTGAGTTTTGTTTCTTAAATTCAGTTAGTTTGCATTACTTTTCAGAGCAGGTTTGACAGTGTGTATTCCCCCCCCCCCAAAATGCTTCATTTCAGTTTGGTTTTTATTAGTTTGAGTATTAGTTTTAGTTTTTTTGTTTTGTTTTTGTTATTGTTTTTGTTTTAAATATCAGATGGTTTATTTCTGGAGTGTCAGTCGAACAGCTGGAGCAGCTGTACTGTATTGTGAATATTTTTTTTTTTTCCAGGATTGTATCAGTAATCCAAAAAAACCTTGACGTCTACAAGCCAGTGGAGATTGGCAGAATCACACAAGCCCTTTTTCTGTTGCATTATCATGATCCATTACTCTTCACCAAATTAAGAAACATCATCGTCAAGTAAGTCGATAGCCGATTGACATTTGTCAAATCCACCAACGTATTAAAGCTAAACGTCTCAATTCCCTTTTGCTCTTCAGATTCTTAGAGCGCAGCGTCTACCCCTACGAAGTGACCATGTTGACCCGCGTCCTGTCCATGCTGCCTTCGCCGCGCCTGGAGGAAGGCGTGATCTCGCGGGTGGACGCGGTGGTGCCCCAGTGCAACCTCAACGACCTCAGCAGCATTTCCTTAGCCCTCGCCAAGTGGGTTCGCAACGACCCGTCGTACCGCCACGGCACGTCCAGCGGGTACGTGCGCCTCCTGCAGACCCTCAACCGCTGCGGCCGCGAGAGGCTGCAGACGGCCGACCGGCTGGACCTGCTGCTTGAGGAGCTCAGGTACATTTCGGGTGAGTGGTTTGAAGAAATTCTGCTCGAAGAGACCATAGCCACACTCCGGAGGATGACGGACCAAATAAACTGGACCACCGTGCCGGATCTATCCTTCTTCTTAACCAGGATAAATCATCACTGCGCTCCGCTAATGGAGCGTATCGCAGATGTGGCCATTCGAGACATTGACAAGGTGATTTAGTTGACAAAATGTGTCTCTAACTTTGCAAATAGTTGTCGACTGAACTTCTGCACATTCGCAAATTTGCATATTTTCAGATATTTTTTTTCAAACCCATCTTCTCTTACTTGCTGAAAAACACACTTATTTCCCGGTGTTGTGTCATTTGATGGCATCTTTGTGTCAAAGTATGTTGAAGTGAGTTGAGGAGTTTCATTCGGACAAGTAGTGCTTGGCAGCCATCTTGGCAATTACAAACATTTTTGGAGGGGTCGCCAACCACGATTTGCAGCAGCGCTCGGTACAAATATATTCTAACAGTTTTTTCTCTCTTTAAGATTCACCACTCAGCAACGTACGCTACCCTGCTTCCCTTTTCTGTCCTCAATTTTGACTCTGAAAAAGCAGACGAGCTATACGATGTTTGCGTACGGCGCTTCACTCCTCATATCAGTGAGTAAGCATGCAGATCATTTCCTTTTCTGATTTCAAGCGTGCGCTGAATCATTTGAGAAGGCAGTGGGAAATTACCAGAAAGTTGGTCGTAAAATTGCCCTTTCTGTGTATCAAGGCTCCTTTGACCCCCATCTATTGGTTCTGCTGGCCTACGCCCTGGCGGTAGCGGACTGTTTTCCCGAAGAACTGATCAGAGAAATCTTCAGCATAGATTTTCTCGGCAAGCTCGACGCCCAGCTGGAAAGTATGTACACAGCTTGCTCACAAGCTATTTGAACATTTATTCCATGTCCACAATGTCCATCTTAAGGTCCGTATACTGTACGCTGCATGTCCAGTAATGTTTTTTTTTTTTCACTACTAGACAGGAACGGGAATCTGACGGTTTGTCGTACGGCGCCCTGATTTCTTAGATAAGAAGTGAAACATTTATGGGATGAGAGAGACAGTTACTTGTCTAGCGCCATGATACTGTCTTTGTTGTGAGGCCAAAAAGTGTTGAACACATCTCACATGTTTTACTTTTGTAACCGCCGCAGCCCTAACCGACGCGCTGAACATGCGGACCCGACTGCGTCTCATGGAGCTGAACCGCGCCGTGTGCCTCGAGTGTCCCGAATTTCAGGTGCCGTGGTTCCACGAGCGCTACTGCGAGCAGCTGCAAAAGAAATGTAAGAGAACGTTCGTCAGATTTTGGTGTGGTGGACGTTGGGTCGTGAAAGTAATCCGTCAAATATCTTTCCAGGGAATGGGTCTATCAGTCCTGTACAAAAGCAGATCCACAAAATGTTGGGTGAAGTCCTTGGTGGTATTAACTTTGTCCGTGTTGCGGGGGTCACGCCATATTTTTATACTGTAGGTAAGTCAAATGGTGACTCTGAAAGTTGAATCCAACCTATTCTAGGATGCTGGTCAAGTTGTTCGCATTTTGGAAGAAAAAAAAGTCTGATCTAATAGCTAGCGTGTGGCATAGCTGTTTTAGAGTGCCTCATTGTCTCAGCGTGGAAAAGCTTAACGACGATCTGGTGGGATATATTCCAGCCATTAGAGGCCAAAGAGTTTAAAAGCAGACAAAACTGTTTGTTTTTTCACTGTTTGAAAGCCGCATCATTCAAAGCTGGCAATGATTGTTGTTCAGGCTCTTTTTTTGTGGTCTGTCAAATTTAGAAGACATATAAAATTGAAACCGGAGGTCATGGAAAATAGTGAACACCAAATATTTCACAGAACAGAACACAACACAGAAACCAATGAACCTCATTGAAAATTCAAAACAAAATGTAAGATTCAAAGGACCAAAGATGACCTGTGAATAGTTTTTGTCCTTTTCATCGGGACACGCACTTTTCACCCCCCGCCCCCCCCTCGCAGACTTTGAATGCCTTCTTGACAAGCAGCTACAGCCGTTGCCTTACAGCGAGCCGAGTACTCTGCAGATCTTGAACAATGGAAAGATTGACTGGGGCACCAGCTCACTGGAGAACATCAGGAGCGAGCTTCCCCCGGGAGCACAGCGGTAGGAAAACACTCAACAATAAAGAGAAGACTTTTTAAAAATTTTTTTTTTTACCCCCAAGTTTATTTGTTTCTACCGCTGTCACTTGTCACAAAGGATTGCGATTAACTTCCTCGATTTCAAGTCCTTCTGCAAAAATTCCCATCATATAAAAGGGGAGGCCCTGATGAGGAAACGGCATCTTGAAATTTTGGGGTATCGTGTTGTGCAGGTATGTAATGCAATAGTATTATAGATTGCTTTTAAAAATTTAAAAATATTGATTTTTTTTTGTTGACTTGGCTGTCAGAATTCACTCAAACTTTGTTGTCCTATCCTTGTTGTACTTCCAGATCCCTCATTTTGAATGGAACTCAATGGAGCTGTCAACACTGGATGCATGGAAGGAATACCTCAAGAAAAAAATATTTAGAGACCTTTCGCCCTGAAGGCATTATTTATTGAAATAACATTTATAAAGTCAACTCATTTTGTGCCTAGTCATCATAATTTCACAGACGTTTCATCAAGTGTTTCTTATGTCATATTTATCATGTTTTTTTTTTTTTTGCTTTTGTACAATAAAAATCTTTTATTTCAAGATGGAGCTTTTGTTCTCCTGGCTCGTATTTGGGGATGTTTTTTCATCAGCTGCAACTGGGGGCTGCAGGGAAGGTGGAGCTAATTATCAACAGTTAGCACAAAACCTTCAGGCTTCTGCTAGAGAGCAAAAACATGACAGGAAAAGCCGACTGGAACATCTAAGATTTATTTGGGGGGGGTCATCAGAGGCACTTTAAATGGTGGCAGATGTGTGTGCTGACTCCCATTTGACACTAGTTTGAATGTGATTGGTCACGCACACGGGTTCTTTTATATTCTCTCAGTTGTTTATTTTTACTTTAATTTAAAAAAAAAATGTGCAGGTTCTACGTCACGTCAATGGTGAAAACTAAAATTCGTGATGATCATTCACTTAGAATGGCCACTAAAGTGTCAAAACATAAAATCCGTGATGTTATTAATGTCACGTCACCATGAGTATGAATTCAAATCTATTCCCGAGCCGTTAGAGTTTAGCCATGCGGGCTGCATTGAGCCGCATGGACGCGCAGGAGGCGCCGGCCGCGTAACGCATCTCTCGGATCATCCCCGTCCACTCCTTCTTGTCGTCTTCGTACCTGGAAGAGAGTGAGCACATTCTCACTCGCGGATTACGATAGTACGCTACGTACCGTGACGTACAACCGCACGCATCAAGTCACGTACTGCCAGATGTCCACAACTTCAACGGGCTCGCACTCCTTGTTGTCGTTCTGCACCATGGCGAAGCCTCCGATGGCGTATAAGAGTCCTCCGCAGCTGACCAGGTTGATCGAACTCCTCTCCTGGGGAAACTCTGTGAATGGGGACCACCTGCAAGACGTGCACACATCAAGTTGGCTCGAGAAAATGGACGAATGATGGAAATTCTGAACTAAAATGGCGGTTTGACACAAGATTAACGGACTGACGACGGTCTTGTGTACGTGATCCACGTACTTGTTGGTTGAAAAGTCGTACGCTTCACAGGCAGCGGTGAGGCCTTCTTCGTTGACACCTCCAGCCACGATGATCCTCCCTTTGTGGATGACCGCGCCGAACATGGACCGCGGCGTCTTCATGGAAGCCACATCTTTCCACTCGGACCGCTTGTGGTTGTATGCGAACATCTTATTGGTGGGCTTGCTGGGTTCAAATATGACGGCAAGTCAGATGACAAATATAAAATCTGAAGGTGTGAAAAAAAAATAAAAAATTCAACTTACTTATCATCTGTCTTCCCGCCAATACAATAAACCAGCCCGTTCTCAGAGACCACACTGTGTCCGTGAATCCTCAGGGGCAACTTTTTGGTTTCGCTCCACTTCATCTTTCTAGATATGACAGATTGAAGAAAGAATGAAATAAAAGCAAAGTCATCCGAAGCCTTGACCAAGATAGCAGTACTTACTCTGTGTCATAGCACATAACGGTGTCATGGGATTCGTTGCTCTCCAAGTCCTTTCCCGCCACAGCGAAGATGAGATTGTCCGTCTCCCCCATGGCGAACAAGCACCTGGGGGACGGCATGGGGGGCAACGCAATCCAACCTCCACCAAGACTGTCCATCTGGAAAGAAAGAAAAAAAAGCTGACCTCTGGCAAGAGGTGGGTACACACCGGATTGGTCACCGGTCAGTCAAAGGGCAGAGATATGAGGTGTGTCACAAAAGATACGTACATCTCACACCCAAACTACAAGCTAGCCTTAATACAAAATCAAACTCATTCTCAGCGTTTACGCAAGCTTAACACAAGAACTGATGACACAAAACTGGTGCAGTGACCCGGATTCAAGGACTCTGTGGAAAGGAGGAAAAGTTCCAATGAAGGACATCCGAAAGGGTCCACAAGTAGTATTTTGTTCTGCTTCATAACCACCCTGCCTCATAATGACCCGAGCATCTGACAGTTCCTGGCCGAGAAAAACATCGACAGTACTTATCGGAGCAAACAACCTGCTCGCCCCAACCTGGTTCTGTGGGGTTTCTTCTTCGTTCCCAGGTTCAAGGGGGGTCAAGACGATGGACCTGTACAGGATTCTGGAAGAATCTTTCAACGAGTGCATAAAGGCGTGGCATAGAAGGCTGGGAAAGATTTTAGGTAAAGTACTTTGACGCGAGAAACTTGTAGTTAGGATTTGAAATGCGTCTTTTTGTGACAGCAGTCCTTGAATTTTTCGTACATACCGGTAGCTTTTTAAAAACACAGAGAGAGGCCAGAGCCAAGATTTGAAACCTTAAACCTGACCAGAGCTAAGATTTAAAATCTTACCTGGTAGAAATAACACTGCAGCGGGTTGTCTTTGTTGTCTTCGTCGACAAAGAGTCCCCCCAACACGTAGAGGTTGTTCTTCTTTGACACCAGACTGACGTGGTTTCGGGGGATTTGCTCAGTCATGGCGGCCAAAAAGCATTCGTTTTCCTGGCCGTCGTAGGCCACCGCAGCTGTGTCGTTGATCATCAGCACCAAGTCTTTAGCGAACATGCCGTATCTGCGCGTATCATTCAGGTAGCCGGGCAACTTGGCCTCCTCGCCTTCCGCATCGTCCTTTTTCTTCTCAGGCAACTTCCCCGCAAACGCTTCCCTGATCTCTTTGATTTTTTTGGCAATCTCCGGATCGCTCTTGATAAGTTCGTCCTTTTCTACCTTTTCCTTGAAGTACTTCTCAGGGAGTAAACGGAAACGGATGCACTCGAAGGCTTCCCGTAAGGACTTCATTCGATTCTCCTTGTCTTTCCTGATCCACCTCATGAGGGTCTCAAAGACCACCTCTTCCTTCTCCACATTCAGGGCGTCTGCTCCAATCAGAGCGAAGAGTTCAGGAGGAGCGAGTTCCAAAAAGTCCTCGTCCTTGGCGACGGTCACGAACCGATCGGCGATGTAATCTCGAGCCGCTATCGCCAGTCTGGGGCAGTTGAGCATCAGCCCCAGCCGGTAAATTGCAAGGCAGTTCTTCATGGTTAGCTTCTGCTGGAGAAAGTTCACGCAAACCGTGAACACTGAAGGGATCTGGAAACGACCGGCAACCGCCATGACGTCCTGCACGTTGTCATCATTGATGTCAATCTCTGCCGAGTACATGTAGTTCACAATCGCTTCCATAACAGCGGGGTCAAGATCCTCCAAAACCACCTCCTTCTTGTCCACTTCGGTGCCATCTTCAGAGAAGTAAAGCTCCCGGAAGTAAGGGCTACATGCGGCCAGGATGAGCCGATGGCAGGGGATGCTCCTGTCGCCTACCTTCAGGACGCAGTCCACCAACTTATTTTCATTCAGGAGCTCTTTGAGTCCGTCCTGAAGCAAGGTGCTCTGAAAGAGGCGCAGATCTTCCTTCAACCCTCGAGGGTCCATCGTGGTCGCGAACGGATGGAGAGCGCACCAGTGTGGAGACGACTGACCGGCTGCGGTGAAAGAGCAGAGTTTGAAGGTGCTCACATCTGAGGCGACAGCGGATATAACCGAGCTCCTCTAAATTTAGCCCGGCGCCCCATCCGGGAGGAATTCAGCTTGGCCCTATCGGAGCCCACACACAGCTGTCATGCAGTAAAAACAACTGCGGAGCCTTGTCACCCTGGTGAGTCGTAACAGCATTGTTAGTGGCCTTTACATAAAAATAACCCATGAGCTTTATCTCTACCTCTGCCAGAGCTGAGAAGTAATAATACCTAATTGCTGTACTTGCGTAGCTTTTTCAGTCTATACTTAACCCTTTCGGGCACAGCGGTTACTACAGTGGACAGCTTTATCATGTTACCAGGTTACAGGGTGCATAAAAGGGTTAGATAGTCTTTTCAAGTTGATATCTTGATAGGTTGAGATGATGGGGACTGAAAGGCATGAAGGGTCATGAATCAGAGAGCTTTAACGTAAAGTGAATTCTGAATTTTATTAAATTTTTTCCACACAAGTAGCCGTACTTCTCCTTTACTAGGGCCTACCGAGTGAAAGTACTTTTGCCAAAGAATTTTATTTTATTTTTTTCCACACAAGTAGCCATACTTTCTCGTTTACTAGGGCCTACCGAGTGAAAGTACTTTTGCCACCTCTGACTCCACTTTGGGGTAAACGTAGGGTAACATTTACAAGAAAGTCAATGGATCAAAAAAATACTTTCGTCACGTTCGTTTTAGTACTTAAGTAACGTTTACAAGAAAGTCAATGGATCAAAAAAAAATACTTTCGTCACGTTCGTTTTAGTACTTATTGCTCACATGTTTGGAATTCTAGCGACATGAAGCCATAAATCAATGACTGCGCTGACTAGTATTAGCATGTAGCCACACTGAGTGAACAGCTGCTGCTACTGTATAGGCGATGACACTTTGGACTCTTTCTGCATTATTTAAATACTCGAGTGCTGTGTTTAGACACTGTTCCCGTCATATACAAATAGTCCATTAGGTACAAAACTGCGTGCAGTATAGATAGACGGGTCGTATAGGATTTTTATTTGCTTTCAAAAAAGAAAAATGTACATTATACAGACCTATGTGCACAATAAATATCTTTATCATAAATTACCGATAAGAACTATCAAATCTGGTTGTGCAGTATAGGTAGACGGATCGTATTGGATTTTTATTTGCTTTCAAAAAAAAAAAAAAATGTACATAATACAGACCTATGTGCACAATAAATATCATAAATTACCGATAAGAACTATCAAATCTGGTTTCTGTTATCCCAATATGTACATCGACATGATACGTAAATAATGGAGTATTTCAGCTCATGACTTCCCACAGTCCCTGAAGCGTAAATCCATCCCTCAGTTTCTCAATGGCGAGGCCAAGCTCCTCCGAAAAAACGGGCTCGCGGTCTTGTTGCTTGAGGAAACAGAAGCACGTGGTCAAAAATGTTTGACATCGAGTACCTACGAGGGATCATTCATTGAAGACTCAAGTAAAAAGTAGAGTGGGACATTACCTTGTTGCAATCGGCGAAGTATGCCTGTGGGCAAACAATTGAGACGACAACAACAAAAAAAAACGTAAGAAATATAGCTGGAGGGAAGGATACTTATATTCAGAGTTTATAAATTGGATATAAATTTATGAGCTCGGTTTTTAGATTAAAAAGAGCCAGTGTGGCCTCCTGCCTGCCACATTATGGACTGACAGTCTTTTTGTATTTTAACTTTATTCTTTTAGAATACATTTGTGTGTGTTCATGAAGTTGCATGTAGTAGTCAGTGGCTATTCTTGGGAGCTGGAAAACGAAACCACAGTGACCCCCCACCCCCCAAGCAGGCGTGCTGAGAGTGACGAAGACAAACGCAGCCACTCACAGTGAAAGCATCCGTCTGGTCGTCCGGCTCGATTTCCACGTCATCGGGAGGCTGCTCCTGCGTCACTTCTTCCAGTGGCAGCGGCTACAAGTATTGGTAGGACAAACATCACTATGACAACAAGCCGGGGTTTATAATACTTTGGGATTTTTACATCATAGTTGGCTTTTATTTTGGTTTGAATTTTCTTTTATAAATTAAGTTAGTATTAATCCGATTTTAGATGTTTGTTAATTTCTATTATTTTCCCAAATTTTTTTAGTTTTTGTTTAGTTTTATTTATTTATTTATTTTTTATGTAGGCCATATTTGTCAAGTCTAATATTCTCATCTCTTGATATGGTGAAAATTGAGTTTTCTTTCGCCCCAAGTTCTAATTATCAAACTTATTTAAAACAAATAAAAAATTTGTATTCTCTATCTAGTGTATCTGAGTTTTACTTTTTTAACCAAACCACTGAAACTATTTCCCCCGATGATATTCTAATTTAGTGAGACGCACTTGTATGTCGGCGTACCTTTTCTTCCATTTCGTAGTCCACCCCAAAGATGGGGTTGGCCGAGTAGACCTTATGCAGCGAGTTGATTTCTTTCAGAGCATCTTGAAGTTTGTCCACAGGGTCAATCTTGAACCCCAGCACGTAGCCGCCACTCTACAAAAACCCAGTACCGTAGATATTTATTATTTACAAATATAAAACAAAACCAAAAAACAAATATGACTTTAAAGTATCATAAATTTACCTGCCGGGAACTCTCGATCACCAAAGCCAAGCCAAACTTGGAATCTCTTATTCTGATAGACCACTTTTGGAGAGACAGATATAGAAATACACACAAAAAACAGCTTTACATAAAATTCGAGAGAATATGTGACATGAATAAAATGCTATGTGACTTTTAAAACCTGCTCATCTTTTTTGATTATCATGAATGTTTCACAAGATCTGATGCCGTTAGAATGATGCCATTTGTATTAATTTCAATGAAAATCAAATAGGTCTCACAATACACCCTACAAATGAATTCAATTAGGGATCATACATGATTAGATGAAACTGCCAGTGGTTAAATTAAGCCTAATATACGTACAATCTGGAGATAAGGGATGCTGACATTGAAGCTCTCATTCATATTTGCGTGCCATACAATCCGCACATTGGTGACAAAGAAGGTTCCCAGGTTCCCCTAGAAGGTACGCATCATCAAAAAAAAAAAAAATCAACATACATTTGTAGCAAAAGTATCCCTCTGTTCTCACGGCAGGTAGTGGAATTCAAGTTGCAGTATATTTGATGTCATTTACTCTGATGTCAGTCAACGCAGTCCATGAGCACAACGAAACTGTGCGGTCAATACACTGGCAAAGGTTACAAAGAGAATAGCATTGTACAGTCAGACATATTTCAGTATGAAAATAACGTACCTGATCACTGGATAAATTCCAGACGCCATTGATTTTGTCATAGACTTGCTCCCGAGGTAAAAGTCGCAGGTTCTTGTTTTGAATAAGCGCTGCTCGCAGTTTCAGGTCTCGGTACATTTTAGACGTCTCGTAGGCCCTATGTAAAAAAAAAAAAAGAAAAAAAACACACCAAATCATAACTGCGGGACAGTATTTAGTACAACTGTGTTAAGAATTTCCCTTGCTTTGATACCTGTGCACAGCAATGACGGATGTAAAGAGGCGGGGACTTCCTGGCACCAGGTTGGTGAAGATGAACTCAAATCTTGTGTTGTTAGACTTGGTCAGGATGTAGAGGGCCTCGGTTTGCCCTCGAAGTTTCTGGAGGGAAATCAGTGAAGGTCATGACTTTGCATCTTTATCCATCTTCATTTAAATATTATTTCTAAATTATTTATGACCGTGGTGTTCTTACAGAGTTTGCTGTTCTTGTTGTGATGTTAATGATGGAGTTGTATCCCACAGCTGAAAAAACAAAATCACTCTGGCTATTGTTGGAATTTTTTAGATGTGACCACTCAGGTAAGTGAAATAGTCTTTCAGTCTGTTATGGAATACTGTATGAGAGCTTTCTTGTCAGTTGACATGAACTAAAACAAACAAAACAGGTTAAAAAAACACATCATTTGTTTTCTTCGGGCATTTTGGAAATCCTTTTTTTTTTTTTTTTTTTTTTTGCAAAAGTGCAACAAAAATAAAATGTACCTATCTACAAGTAAACACTACATTGCTCATTAACAGCTTTAATTACTCACACAAATTCACTCTGGGCAAGGCCAAAGAATGCCAAATAATTCTCAGGTTTGTCACCAAGAGTCGTCCTACGGAGAAAAAAACCGTCTTTAGATCGATGTCGTGTAATTAGTGACCACCCAAACACAAGTTGTCCTCGTGTTCATCACAAAGCTACCTCGATCTCCGTTATTTCCTTTCGTGTCTTCGATGGAGTCCAAGCAGTCTATCAGTACTTCACCAGGCCGAGTTTTCATCTGCCTGTAGGAAAAATGTAAGTAACATTTCGTTTATTTATTATGTGCACTAAGCAAGCAAGACCATTGAGGGAAATAAATGGATAAATAAATCGAAGTCGACAAGCACGGCCGCCGTCAGATAAGCATTTTGGCTAAGTAAACGAGCAAAGCTAATAAGTAATTGTAACTTACTGTGCGGTTATGTCGAAACGAACATCTCTGTCCTCCCAAAGAGCATCTAAAACGGATGCCATGTTTGAAAAGTGGTCAGACGAGCCTTTCGTTGTGTTATTATCATCGATGATAAAACATGAGTGGTTACTGGCTAAGTAGGAGATTTGCTAATCTGAGAAGCTTCTGCCGAGCTACAGTCTCCAAGGCAACAGACGGCAAGTAAGAAGGGACAAATTATTTTAGTTCACCAACAGATAATGAGAGGCCATATTTTTTCCATTTTGAATTTATTGAATTACTGTTTTATAGAAACATATACTACACAGATAAAGATAGATTAAGAATGCTCCAATGTATTCACAGCAAGTTTGTTTCAAATGTATGTATTTTACAGATCCCAAACATACCCCTTCCATTATTATTATTATTATTATTATTATTATAGAGAATACAAAGTGAAGAGCAGCGGTCTTAAAATTGAACTCTGTGGAACCCCATATGATTAGAGGAGTTGAGCCTGTTTCAAAACTCAGATACATATAAGTAGTTCTTTTTGCTATATAGGATTAGATCTATCAGCAGTTTGTTATAGAGCTATTGAACTCAAGAAATTAATGTCAGGTCACTCATATCTCAAGGCACCACTGTACTGTATCATATGTACAGATCAAAAAATAAATTTTTAGCTTTTGACTTTGTAATTATTATTTTAAGCGGCTAGCTTAAAACAAAAAGAGCTTCAGGCTGACACAGGAACCGTGGACAAAAACAAACAAACAAACAACAGTTTTATTATTTTATGAATAAAAAACATACACACACACACACACACACACACCAAAAAAATACATTTACTTAGTCACACACAGCGCAACTTGTGACACATTTCATGGAGGAAGACATTAATGACAACTTCCATCCATACACTGACTTCTGCTCATGTAACTTAAAAAATAAGTGTCCCTGTATTGCAGCTGCCAATTACACCTTGACAGCAGACATTGAAATAATCTGCCTGGCAGCATCGATTTCAAAGTAAAGCAAATGGCTCAGAGATTTAGAAAAAGCTGTATAGCATCTCTTAGATGTTGGACAATGTCACAGTGGCGGTGAATTCCATTCATTTTTTTATTTTTGGGTTTAATCAGTGATCTCGCCACATTACTTTGATGCAAAAAAAAAAGTCACCACAGATAGATTGTATTGTAAAATGTGTACTTTTCTCCCTTCTCTTTTATCATGCTGGAATTAACACACTACAACAATTAATTAGTCAAGGAACATAAATTGTTTAGCAAATCTACATGATGTTAAAAAACTCGAATACCTGTCTTTAATATAACACAAGTTTTCCTGCATTCATCTTCGGTTTCAAATCGATTGTCATTCCCAGCGCAGCCTCCGTACCAGAACTGTGCGCAAGAATTAGCCTGTTTATCATAATACCAGCGGATGTTGTACGCTCTGCAGGTGCCTTGGTCCAAGCCGAGGTTACAGCGGGGATCGCGAAGTGGAAATTCTGAAGGAGAAAAAAAACAAAAACAAAAACAATCCTTGTGATGAAAAGAAATGCAAAATAAATGAAGTGAGATTAATTTCAGGCAGTACTCACCTTCCGGCAGGACCGGACTCACCACCGGCTGCAGCTGATTCGAGTTTGAGGATGAAGATCCTGCAGTGGAGGTTGATGAGGAGGAGGAGGACGAAGATTTTGATGATAAGACTGCTTCTTTGGAGACAGCGCTTTCCTTCACACGTGACAAACTTGCTGTTTTGTTCACTACAACCACGCTGCCACTGGCCCTCACGTGGGCCCTCAAGTCTAAATCTTCACCGTCCTCGTCTTCTTCAACCTGAGCGAGACCGAAAACCCCCCCCAAAACTATTTCAGTATTTACTTTTTATCTAACATCAGTATTTGTAAATAATTCTGGCAAATGACCTGAATAGGAAGTGGATCAGCACTGATGGGCAGCGTGAAAGTGTCTCCACGGCCGTGGCTGTTGGCACGCCTCACATTTGTGACTTCCTCTTGGTAACCGTTCCCGTTTACCTCATTCTTGGTTGTTCCATAGCCACCGTTGAATCCATTAGAATGCTGGCCGTATCCGTTATTTCCATGAATGCCCACTCCGTTGTTGCCGTTCCAGTGCCCGTTTGCGATGCGATTGTAGATCACGGCACCGTTTTCATCCTCACAGAACTGGCTGATGACTTTAGACTCTAGTGCTGAAAGCACAACATAAAAGATGAAAAAAAATCGTATATCTAACATGCTTCTCCTTTATTGTAAAACGCTATAGCAGTCGATGAACCGATTGTTTAGGATCCTCTTGTGTGAACTTGATTGCTAATTAATCGGTCGTTCAAGCAACTGAGGCAAAAGGACATGCACTACAGTAAACTGCCGCTTATTTGCAGCTCTGCATTTGGGAATTCACCTATTTGATTTTTTTTTTTAAACCTTGGGGAAAAAAAACACTAAGCAATAAAAGTATTTCTATGTTGAAGTTAGTTGAGGAGCTTCATGTGGACAAAAGTAGTGCTTTGCCACCATCTTGTGACACCAATGAACTATGTTGAAATGAGTTGAGATCTCTAGTAAATTATAAACCTTTGAGGTTTATAATGAAGTGTCTTGCGAATTTTCGCGATTCGCGGTAGGGCTGTTTAGATTGTTGTTGTCCCGAGTTAAGTGATTTAAATGCCTTTTCATAACAATTAGCACCACATTCCATTATCACCTGGCAGAGTGTTGAAGTCATCAATAAGGTACATGTGTTCGCTATCAGGGTCAGAGGCAATGAGGTTGAGTTCTCTCAGGAACTCCGCCTGCGTCGGGTCCGAAGAATTGACGATGCCCAGAGCATACATCTCGATATTTGCAGCATGCGCCTCCCTCACGGCGATATCGAGTTTAACAGGCTCTCGCTTGTCCGCCTGACCATCAGTGATGACGATGGCGACCTTCCTGACACCGGGCCGGGCGCTGTAGAAAGCCTCCTGGGTGGCCTTTCTGATGGCGGTGCCAGTGTAGGTGCCCTCGCCCATGTAAGGCATCTTTCGAATGGCCTGCTTCACATCTTGTTTGTTCATGTAGCGGACCAAGTTGAACTCCAAATGGACATCCAGGCTGTAGAGGACAAGGCCGATTCTCGTGGCATTGCGTCCCACGGTGGTCCGGTCCACCAGCCTGGTGACAAAATCTTTGATGATTTCAAAGTTGTCGGGACCGACGCTCTCGGAGCTGTCGATCACAAAGACGAGTTCCATCGGCCTTTCTTTGCACTTGACGCCGCATCCTGACAACGGCAAAACACAGTTTCCACTTGGATAATCACTCACACGTTGCATGCAATGCCAGAAGAGCTCAACAGTATGTGATTCTGAAATCAGAGTCATGGTATCTACATGATACAAACATATACAGGAGTATCCAGTGAAGTTAGTTTGCCCAAAAATTTGACAAGTACTGGTATTTAATCTGAATGAAATATGTGTTTACTGTTTCCTTATCAAATTTATCATTTTGAGAGGAGTCATATTTATATATTTGCAGTATTCCTAATACAGACACATACATTCATTTGACTCACACTTACCACAAATTTCTTTAATCAGCTTAATAATGTCCTCTCTCTGAAAAAAAAAAAAAAAAAAAACGAAACCAAACTGCATTCGAACTAAACCTGTAAAGTTTGTCCGAGCAATCGGAGACGGATGCAGGTGAACTTACTGTAAGGCCCGCGTCTCCTTTTGTTCCTGTTTTTCCCTGTTATTTGATGAAGCGTCAAGAGTTTTAATTGCTTCAACAACTTCAATAAAACATCACAGTTATCTATTTTTTAAAATGTATTATTCACTTTTATCTATTGGATATCATAAGCAAAGTCTATTTTTACATACTGCTTCACCAGGAAGTCCTGGATCTCCCAAATCTCCCTTGGCACCTTTCATTCCCCTCTCACCCTGCGACCCACGGTCACCCTGTATCAACGAAGGATATTTCATCAGATCAGCCGGTCCCATCGAGGAGATGACATATGCAAAGGTCAAAAATAAATAAATGAAGACGCTTACTTTAGCTCCAGGAAAACCATCTCCTCTCGGTCCTCTTGGCCCAGTCATACCTTGGGATCCGGGGTCCCCCTGAAGTTAGATTAGTCGATAAACATTCAGATATAGTGAGTCCTAAATCCTATAAGTAAGTGGGATGCGAACTGGTGGTGATGTTTACCTTTGGTCCTTGAATACCCTCTCCTGGTGCTCCATTTGGACCAGGAGGTCCTGCCCTGCCAACATTACCCTTGGAACACATTTTAAAAGAAAACCATGATCAATAATTCATGTTCCAGTGTTTATCCGGACCAGAAATGGCCGTTGCCAAAGAACGTGCCGAAAGAACAAGCACATCACAACAATCTTTGTTCAGAATTGGTCATGAAATGTCCTTTAAAATCATATTTTCAGTGTGTAAACTTTAAGCAAATCGCACAGTTTGACGGAAATATGCTTGAAATAATCTAGTGATGGTCTCACTGGAGGTCCTTGTATTCCTTCTCCAGGTGGGCCGGGCAAACCTGGCAATCCTCGAAAGCCAATGTCACCCTGGAATAGACACGACAAACTGATTTAAAGTCATCCTTCAAACATAACGTGAAACCATGTCAAATGGTCAATGTATAAAGTGAAACCTTTGGTCCGGGAATTCCTATTCCTTCTGGGCCCGGCTCTCCTGGTAAACCTGGAAATCCTGGGGGGCCCTTGAAAAGAAATATGTCTTGTTGTTAGCGATATCAAAGGCGGGCTAAAAGTGTTAACGTCCCGGTCGACGGTTTTACAAACCAAAGGTCCTGGACCGCCTTCGCCTTTTGGACCGGGTGGACCATGTGGACCGGTATTACCTCGATCTCCCTGATGGAACAAAACCCAGTTGAGATGATATGAAGAACACAATGCTGATGTGTTTCAGTCATTTCGTAAAACACAAATACCTTTGGACCTGGAAGTCCAAGGCCTGTTTCCCCAATCGGTCCAGGGGGACCAGTAGGACCTAGATCCCCCTGGAGACAAGAAATTGAAACCATAGCGACGATTACTTTAAGTAATGTATTTCACTGCATTTGAAGAGCAAACAACCGGCGCTTCAAGATGTGTCCAGGACAGATTGATGAATAAACAATCAGTTATTCACCTTTGGACCAGTTATGGATCGTCCCGGCTGCCCCGGAATGCCTTGGTGTCCTGGTACCCCACGTTCACCCTAGCAAGTATTTGGTAAAGGATACTGAGCTCATTTGTATTTTGAAGTAGTTTGCATTATTCTGCCATAAACTTCTTCATCTTAAACATTTAATTCATGATACATTGATTCCGTACCTTTGGACCAGAGGGTCCTGAGATTCCAGGAGGTCCATGTAAGCCACGGATGCCCCTCAAACCCTGGTCCCCCTTGGAAGGAGTACCACACATTGTGTTACTGTTCTGTGCTGCGATTTAACATGCTAAGTACCAAAACCAAAATACAAACCTTCTCTCCTTGAGTGCCAATACCCGGAAGTCCCTCAGAACCTCTTGAACCGGGCAACCCAGGCTCCCCCTATAAGTGAGAAGAGTAGATCAGATGCAGAGACTTTTTCGGTAGTTTGGTTAAAACCAGAGTCGGTGTAAGGTTCCGTACCTTCTGCCCCGGTGCCCCGTCCTCTCCTGGAAGACCAGGCAACCCACCTAAGCCAGCAGATCCGGGTTCTCCCTTATGTCATTTCAAAGAAATCATTCCACAATAGATGGATGCATCACATTGATACGTGCAGCTAAATAATATCATCGTCTTTTCATTAGCAAGAAGATTTTGAAAGAGGAGTTGTCTCACCTTTGGACCAGCTTCACCAATACCTCTCTCTCCTGGCGATCCCTGCTCTCCAGGTAAGCCTTGATCCCCCTCGAGAAAGAAACAGAAAGTTGGTCCTCAAAAATACAAAGGATGTATTTATCGTTGATGTATTTGGATATTTATGTCACGTACTGACGGATGCTTTTCGAGAGCTGTTTCCACAAACCTTTGGTCCAGGCAAACCCTCTCCTGGAAGCCCTCTTACACCCGGTGGACCCCTTGGACCCTCAATTCCCTGTACAGTCATCAAGGCTCATTTCAGTAATCCCAACTGCTAAGTGCACGCGTTAGGGTGTGAAGTGACCAAAATGTAAATTGGTTTGCTGACCTTTTCTCCCTGTATGCCCACTCCTGTCAGCCCAGTGGGCCCTGGGGGACCTGGAGGCCCCAGTTCACCCTGGAAGGAAAGCATCAAAGTCATAGAATGGAGCAGATAAGTGAAAGAACCCTTCAAATGGTGAAACAAGCATGAAGTTTGGAACAGATACTTTTCAAATATCACTCTTTTCAAAAAATACCCGCTGGCCACGCAAAATCCCAAGATGGTGGCCCCAAAATCCAAGATGTCCGCCCAAATATGAGTTTTTCCCTTTATATCTCGAAATGTCTTAATTTTAGAGACCCATCAATAAAATTCTTCACAGAATGATACAATAATGACAATTGACTTGCCCGTTCTCCTTTAATTCCCGCACCCTGTTGTCCTCTTGATCCCCTCGGTCCCGGGAGCCCTCGATCCCCCTACGGAGCAAAATCAGGCCGTGTTAGTTACATCAGAACCACTTGATGTTTATTGGGTCCTTGCCAAGTTTGTATTGTTCTTCGGTGAGACACTTAAGAAGAGGAGCGTGTTGGCTCCTGTTAGCCACTTCATTCAGATGATCCAACCTGAAAGGAATGGAAGTTAGTATTTCTTTTTCCTTTCATACCATCTCCTGTCGAGATGATTCCCCTCCAGTGGGCTTTTTCCAATACCTTTTAAAATGTAGACCGAAAGAATAGGCAGCTTGGAGTTTGTGTCATGAAATGCAATTTATTACATTTGGATGCGTGGGTGGCTTATTAGCGGATTGTTAGCTCTGCAGAAGAGTTATTTATACCAGTAGCACCCAGCCCAGGAAGTTTGGCTTTGGTCAAACAGACGTGTACTCGCTTGATGACATTTCAAATGTTATTTCACACAGGTTTGTCAATACCTACAGTAAATGAATTTGAATAAAGAAAAAAAAACACAGTTGCTGAATAATGAGGTTGTACCATTCACGGCAGATGCGAGATGTCACATCTCAGCAAATCTCAAGATACTTCAGCATATCTTCGAAACGTAATAATACCATACCTTTGGGCCAGGAAGGCCCTCACCAGTCGGTCCCTTTTCCCCTTGAACACCTTGTGGCCCTTGAGGTCCCTGTGAAAAAAAGACATTGCTCATATCGGACAGAGAGCATTGGTTTAAAAAAAATTGCTGTGACAATAATATAAATGGACAATTCATTCAAGAGAAGAACTTACTGGTGGACCATGTGCACCAATGCCTGCAGGACCAGGAGGACCTGGGCGTCCCTGGAATCCCATGTCACCCTAGAAAAATTCGGTAACAGGATGTATTAACACACACGCAAATGCAAAAGACACACCGTTGGGAAAAAAAAAAGAATGAGGCAAAAGATTAGTCTTTCTGCATACTTTTGGTCCAGGCATCCCAATGCCAGTTTCTCCCTGAATACCTGGAGGGCCGGGTGGTCCACGTTCCCCCTGTCATCAAAATATCGGGTTATCAGTTGTCTCCTCGCAAGTCAGGACATGTTTTGAGCTCAATCTGTCAGTTTCACTCAAGTTACAATGTCTAAGCATATATGTAACCTTGAGACAGAAAAGGTCTGTCAGTGCATAAAAAGATAAAATGCTGCTGACATCTACAACATTGGACAAAAAAAAAAAAAAAAAACCAACGACCGGTATTGCTGTACATGCATTTTGCACAGACATTAAATTTCACCCTGTGGCATGTTATAGACACTATGGAAGCTCTTTTGTAGTTGGATTACATTCTACATCGTAATTATGCCGCATCGTTACCCAGCCAATATGTGACACTTGCAATCCAACCCATTGTTAATAATTACACAATTTGTGCGTAGAGATTAATTCATTGGGGCTCCTCCCGCTGTGAGCGACTTGGCCACCGAGGGGCAGTATAACACAGTCCCGCAGACATAAACGAAGAAGAGTTTCACAACTACTAGAAGTTACTTATCAGTAAACTGCAGTGATATTACAGTTGTTTTTTTGTTGAGGATAAAGAATATATGCATGTGAGTGTGCCTTGTTTTAAATAAGCAACATGTAATTTTCTTAGGTTTTTTTTTTTTTTTTTGGTTTACTTTGACAGGACACTTCAACTGGAAGGGGTATTAAGCATCTTGAAGCCTCTTCTTTTGAAGAATTGTTCACTAGCTGCCAAGCTGCTATTTGTTGTGAAGTCACTTAAATTCATTGTCACCTTACAGTGTACATCAAATTTTTGTGTGTCAAAGCAAAAATTGTCCAAACACCTCATCCCTTGAAAAATTCATCAGTCAGGTGGCTCTCAAGGCCCCGCTGTCTATCCAACCCAAACTACATCAATACGCAGCAGCATGATTTACGCCTGTGGAAATACTGTACACATGTCCTCACATGAGAACATATCCTGTAGTCGGTTACTGCATGTTATACATAAAATAAACACTGCTGTTGGCACTTCCTGAGTTTAGATTTTAAAAGCTGGATACAATCCAAGATGAGCGATTCCATTCTGATGGTTCATTCTTTCGCTATTATAATAATAAAGGGGAACGTCAACAAATCCTTGCTCAGGGGTCTTTTCCGGGGCAATCGTCTTCCTGTGGTGCACGTTAACACGCGGCGGTGGTATAATTTCAGCCTGTTGTTAAAAGTGATGATCAAGGAAATTGCGAGGTAGCAGAAGGTGTGCTTAAAAAAAATATAAGAAAAAAAAGGAAAGATGCTAACCTGCTTTCCCTGCGGGCCCTCTGGCCCAATGTCTCCATGTGGTCCCGGTAGCCCCTGGACACAAATAACATCCAATTAAAAACACAAGTGTGTGCATCTGATTTGGTACGTTTGAATGAGAGGGAAGGTTGACATGTTTGAGAAGCGGGTTAAAAGTCAACAGATAATAGTTGATGTAATATCCTTACATAGTTATAGAGTCGTTGATCTATGCATTGTCTTGAATTAAAAATATTATTTACATTTCTTACTTGTTCTTCATACTCATTCAATAGAAGAAAAAAGGGATCGAAAATCATCTTTACAAGATTATTATCATATAGGTTGACTTGCTCGTCAGTATTTACCAACCTGCAGTCCTCTAAGTCCTCTTCCACCAATCAAACCCTCAGGACCCTGCAACAGGTCACATAATGATAAAAGACACATAAATATTGGAAATTAAAATGGATACATTCTAATTTGTTATTCACGTTGTCGTACCCTGTCTCCTTTGATTCCCGGAGTGCCGCACTCTCCCCGTTCTCCCTGCGGATAGATAGCCAAGTTCATGCCCATGCGGTCTTGAACTGCGTTTTCGAAAATGATCAGTCATCTGTTATCCCCATCACTTGCCTGTTCTCCTTTGTAACCCAATTTTCCCTGTAAATAGATTTGATTATTAGCTATTAAAGTGTCAGATACATTAAAACTGTGCAGATTTTAATCAAATGTGTGGCATAGTTACCTCAGCGCCATCTCGCCCGGGTATACCACTTATTCCAGCTTCACCCTGTAATGTCACCATGATATTAAGTCATTATATCAGTAGAATATTGTATTTTTTTGGACTATAAGTCACTCTTTTTTCCCATAATTTGGCTGGTTCTGCAACCTATACTCAGGTGGGCTTGTATATATTGGAATTTGAGCTCGAAATTCCCTGTTCCCTAATCGTGTTGACCTCGGTTCACGAGTTCCGATTGGATATCGAAACTTCCCCTTCTAAGTACGGAAAAGTTTTTCTTTTGAGTTTAAAATGGCTTACCTTAACTAGAATCTTGACGCAATAACCAACCAGGATTCTACCATTGGCCGCAATGCGACGTGAGATTCTTGTTAAGGTAAGCCATTTTAAATTAAAAAGAAAAACTGTTTCCATAGTTAAAAGCAGACGTTTCACATCCATCCAGAACTCGTTCGCTGCAGTCAACATGATTAGGGATCGGGGATTTTGGTTGCCAGTCCGAGCTCTACTCTTTCGTGGTTTCATTTTTGTTAAATTGCCCCCCAAAATGCCACCTACACTCCAGAATGACTTACCCATGTTTTTTCCTTCTTCGTGATGCATGTTTTTGACTGGTGCAACTTATACTCCGGCGCAACTTATAAAAATACGGTTGTGTTAAGACAGATTTTGTCATTTTAGAGTAAATGAATCAAACAGCATGATCTCTATTGTTAGGTTAAGCCAGAACGTGATTGGATGCAGGTTTTGAAAAGACAGAAAGTTTGTCCAAATGACTCTGCTTGGCTTAACATCATTTTTTCCCCTGTTGGGACAGCAGTGTTTGAAAAAAGTGTATACGGGTACCTAATATTCTGAAACCTGGAGAACACGGTATACACTGGAATAATTGTCCTCTGTAATTTGGGAAATATTTTCACACCCATTTCCCAGTGTTGAGGAAATAACTTGTTTCAAACTGGAAAATGGATCTCAGGTGTGCAACCCTTAAAAAGGTATAAATAACTTTTTAAATGCTTGTCAGTGAAGAGGGTCAAGCCATGCGTGTGAGGGGGCGCACACCTTTTGTCCTTTTAGCCCGGGGGCTCCATCTTCTCCTGGACGACCTTTCTTTCCCTGAAGAAGCAAACAGAATCACACTTCGGGATTTGGCAGCTCGCTTGATTGTAATAAATTCCCTTCTAGCCATGTAAAGAAAAAAAAATACACTTTAGGCAGGCTGAGACACCAAGACAGACAAGCGGGGGGGGAGTACCTGCACTTATGCATGACACCATGAGTCACTTCGAGATGACGTCTGGAGCATAAATAGGGCATGAGTGGTCTCGCCCTCTGGGGGCGGGGGTCAATGCGTCGAAACGCACCTGGATGCATGACAGTTGCTATCCTCCAGACATTTGTTGGTTCGTGACCATTAAACCAATAAGAGCAATTATGAGAGCAGCCTTGTCTGAACGGAAGAATTTCAAGAATCTCTCTCTGGAGAATGCACCTGGTTAATGGTCGCGCAACTGTCTGTCAGCAGCCGGTGAGTGTTTGCCAGAGAGTTTGCATAAGCATCTCCATGTGCGTGCGCAAGTGCAGGGTTAAGAAAATCCAGTGCGATCATGCACAAAGGAAACTTTTACTGTATAGGATTCCACATGCTGATGTCAAGGATACAGGTATGGGCATGAAAAAAAAATGCCTCATTCGAGTGACCAAAAAACGGTTTCATTTCAGTTAGACATATTTACATGTATATATGCGCACACACGCACACACATTTATTGCTCGTGTTTGTGGGAACAAGACTATGAAAAAATAATGGCATGTTCATTTGCAATTGCAAACGTGAAGGGGTGGGGGTGGGGGGGATTATTTTTACAAACCAGCCCTACTTTTATCTTCTTGGGTATTTTAAAGACGATCATGCCTCATTCTGATACTGTAGGAGGTATTTTTTTTTGTCATTATTTTGGTTGTAAATTACAGTTGTTTGGACCTGTCATCGATGATACAGAGAGGTGTTTCTAATGTTTTGCCCTTCTCATGTGCAAAATATGCTTATCAAAATATAATCCTCCTTCCGACAGTATCAATCAAAATTCAGCATTTTTGTCTTTCAAGGCAGGATTTGTGATACACTTCCTCCATTGTATCTCAGACTGTGCAGATGGATCTGATGAAGTGAAAGGAGGCACATGTCGCTTTTGAAAAATGCGTACAAGTTATACAAAGGGAGCATTTAACATGATTGTTTGAATGTGTGCAATTGACATTCACACAAGAGATTAGGAAAAAAAAACTGTCTTGGAGGCATGTCGACTTCTGACACTTGAAAAGAAGTTGCTACTCACCGCAGGCCCACTGAGGCCCCTCTCGCCTTTCTCGCAGGCACAGTTCTGAGCCAGAGGGCACTGAGAAAAAAAGAGAGGAGATACGTCATGTTAGCTTTTGAATCAGTGTAGTATTTATGATTCGGCCAAATTTCAATGAGTAAGTGTATGTTGCTTCCAAGTGAAGCAATACTTACTCCTTCATCAGCGAGGTCAGTCTGCAAATAAAAGCAAACATCATTAAAATTGCATTCCTATTCATGTTCATTTCTGGTTACCTGTATTAAGATAATGGTCACGGAATTATTTCTGTTGCTGAAATTCAGCAAAAGCAGCATACAGCAGATTTTTTTGTTTAAACAAACAAACAATAAATGAAAAAAAAATATGTAGTAAGAAAGTGATTTGTGACTTTAACAAAACGCTAAATGTGAATTGAAATGTATATTAAAATATAAAATATTAGACATTATAAGAGGCAGGACGCTGGTCGACTGGTTAACATCTCCACCTCACACCAGAGAGGCGCAGGGTTTGATTCCGGTTCCGGGCTTCCTGTGTGGAGTTTGGATGTTCTCCCTGTGCCTGCGTGGGTTTTCTCCGGGTAGCCCGATTTCCTCCCACATTCCAAAAACATGCATGGCAGGCTAATGGAACACTCTAAAAGGGTGCCTGGGTGTGATTATGAGCGCGAATGATTGGTCGTCTATGTGTGCCCTGCGATTGGTCGGCAACCAGTTCAGGGTGTCCCCCACCTACTGCCCGAAGACAGCTGGGATAGGCTCCAGCACACCCGCGACCATTGTGAGGATAAGTGGATTAGAAAATGAATGGATACACACTATAAGAACATGAAAATGTCAAACTATATACAAAACGGAAAAAAGAACCTTAAAATCGCAGTAATTATTCTTTGATTTGTTTTTCTGTCCGTCCAGTAAATATACAAGCCTCCTGTGAGTAAATAATTGCCTTCAAAGACAACGCCGGATACTCACAATCTTTGTAGCCATTTTTTCAACAATGTCTTTGTCCTGCAAATTGTGGAGGAAGTCGGAAGTGGGAGAGCTGGCGAGGAGGCGGAGCTGAGCCACGTTGGAGGGCTCGTTGGCCGTCCTGGTAATGCCCAGAGTGAAGAACTTGACCCCCTGGTTCTTGACCTCAGCAACTGCAGAGAAAATATCCGGGTTCCTCGGGTGCGAGGAGCCATCGGTGAGGAGCACAGCTACTTTAATGCTGCCCGGGCTGGACTCCTCTTGGTAGATCTTGGTCATGTTGGTGATGGCGTAGGTGGTGTAGGTGCCATGGCCGATGTAAACGATGGGAGCGATGCGGTTCTTGAAGTTCTCCGTGCCCCTCCAGTCGTTAAATCGTTGCTCTGTGATGACTGTACTGCTGTACTGGAGCAGGGCCACCCTCAGACTCAAGCTGCGCCCTGTCGCCAGTTTCAAGCCTTTGAGTCGATCCACCAAGTTCATCGTAAACTGCTTCTCCTGCTCGTGGTTGTCTTTGGCACTCTCGGAGCTATCCAAGAGAAAGGCGAGCTCCAAGCTACAGTCCTCATCGATGATGGCTGCATGAAGAAACAAGAAGGGTCTGTTTAAACACTTTTGACTCATGGTTATGTGACCAAATTAGGTTCCTTAAACCATCCATCCATTCTGCGATCTGCTTATCCTCACAAGGGTCGCGGTGGGTGCTGGAGCCTATCCCAGCTGGCTTGGGGCAGTAGGCGGGGGGACACCCTGAACTGGTTGCCAGCCAATCGCAGGGCACACAGAGACGAACAACCATCCGCACTCACACACCGAGGGACAATTTAAAGCGTTCAATCAGCCTGCCATGCATGTTTTTGGAATGTGGGAGGAAACCGGAGTACCCGGAGAAAACCCACACAGACCCAGAGCTGGATTTGAACCCGGTACGTCTGCACTATGAGGTTCACGAGCTAACCACTGGGCCGCCCGTTCCTTAAACCAGTGAATCTCTAAAACTAGTAGCGTGCCATGAGCAAAAACATTTTTTTTTAATTTACCGTAATCGGAGTGTGAATGTCAAACAGACAAAAATATAAAATGGGAATGCGCAAATGCAAATATTGGACAACCAAATGGAAAACAATCAAACGTTAGCAATTATAAATGAAATATTTATTGAAGGTAAAACCATGGCAAAATCAAAGCCACAATAGTGTTGAATTCAAGTAACTTTTTTTGTTTACACTTGAAACAGCACATGATGGAGTTCTTGTCAGCTGAAATGTCAACCATTTTCAACCAATAGATCACACAAGCAATTATGGAAAGATAAAAAAATAAAAGTACTATGTGCAATGTACCGTAAATCAATTTAATGGAGTAAACGTACTATTTGTTCTTCACAAAATAATCAAGTGAAAGTTAAAAATATGTCACTTCGAAACTACTCTGACAAATAAAATGCATCCAAATCGTTACTGAAGTAAATGTCATGGCGTAAATGGAGCACGCTACGACCTACTCTGGCTGTCAGAGATCATCAAAGGCGCTCCTTCATTCTCACCAAAATTATTATTTACTCACAAAAAATATTGTATCTTTGTTGATCTATCTACAGCAATGACATATCGCGACAGGCAGAAGAATTAAGAACATTTTTGTAAGGTGACAACGAATATGGTCGACACATTTATTTTGCTTACCTTGCCCATCATAAATATTCGCAGCCATTGTTTTGGTCCGAGATTTGGCTCTTCTGTCATCATGCAAATCTTGAGCCCAGACGCAAGCCAGCGCTGCGGCCAACAGCACTGATTCCAAGGAGAGGAACATAGTTGTCTCGACTACAAATAAAAAGAATGGCACGTCAAGGACAAACTAAATGCATGCCATTGGAAAGCGTCGACAGAGAAACAAACTTCACTGTTCAACCTACTTTGAGATGTTGCGGTATTTCAATGTGCTGTTTGGACCTGCAGCACTATTCACGTTGCACAAAGAGCACCGGCGCTCTCATTTACCATCCATCAGCAGCAACAGCGATGTCGTCCTTCTCGAAAGCAGAGTCAGACAACCTGAGTATGCACACCTTTTTTATAAGGAAGGAACCACCCAACCAATTCAATGGATTCTTGCTCATGCAGACTCCCCTTTCTTGCCTCAGGGGGACAAGAAAGCAGTTTAGTTTCTGGAACATTGCGTGGAAAAAAAAAAACAAATGTGAAAATGTGATACTTTCTCACTGCACACTTTCAATGAGCGCCAATACAAGAGACATATTTACAAATTGATCGATGCTGTCATACAAGTACATGCGTCATTGCGGGAATCGTTGGTGATGCATTTTTGGCTTACCACTTGCTCACCCATCCGTCAGTTTTCTATTGCAGTTGCCATCTTGTTCTTAGTTGAGTCACAGGTGAGCTGGAGCTTATCCCAGCTATCCCCGAATTGGTTGCCAGCCAATTGCAGGGCCTTTTGTCACTTTGCAAGGGGGAAAATATTGTAAACATCTCTCAGTATTACGCAATGTAGTTCTACGCGAATGCAAACTACCGGTACATGCTTTTATCATACAGACATACTCAGTAGTAACATACACATATGTTGTCTAAAACAATAAAAATGTTTGAACGACTGTTTTGAAACAAGAATATCCAAAAAGTAAAATGATAGTCATGTAATAAATGCAAGCATACATTCCTCAGCTGTGGCACACTTAAGGTTAAGAGGCCAACCTGGCAATGACCTGGTTACCTTTGCACTGAAACCAGAACAGTCCACAAAAAAAATGGGTGCAAAGAGTAAAAACCAAACCAATTCAAGGTAGTGAAAGTATTTTGGTGTTTGGAATCTGCACTTGACTTTGCTTCCTTCAAAAGAACGGTACTGAAAAAGAAAGAATATTTGTTTTTCCTCCAAGAAGAGACCAACCTGGCAATGACCTGGTGCAAAGAGTAAAAACCAAACCAATTCAAGGTCGTGAAAGTATTGTGGTGTTTGGAATCTGTACTTGACTTTGCTTCCTTCAAAAGAACAGTACTGAAAAAGAAAGAATATTTGTTTTTCCTCCAAGAAAAAAAACCCAGCTAGCCACAGGCCTTCTTTTCGCCTTCTGACCTCGACAGATGACCATCATTGACCTTTCAGTGTCCTCCTCCCACTGTGGTTGGTACGATGCGCACTGCAGGCGATGGATTCGAGGACCTTTTTGCCCACTCTTTCCAGGTGAAGAGGCTTTGTATTGCAAAGCTGCAGGCAACAAGTAATTAGAGGAGTCCTTGTGACACAAAAGAATGCTTCGCTGAATGATAGGTTGGCAAAATCCACCCCGTTGCTCTATGATATACGTCAACATGGGGCCATTCATCACTTATACGAGCTGTGACAGTATTTCTTGGTTGGGAAAAATAATAAACATTCCAAACACCCACCTCTTGAGTTGTTCTGTGGTCCTGAGCATTTGAATGATTATCGTATTGCACAAAATGCTGTAGAGTACCTATAGATGTGAATGGTTGTGATTGGCTGTAGCTTACCTCTCAACTTCAATTAGCTGGAATAGTCACCAGCATTCCTCTGACCATGAACAAGGTAAGGGAGGATTCCATTAAAAAAAAAAATGTGTGAATGCCCTTGAACACGGGGTGCACCAATACTTTTTTTCCAGACTGAGAACAAGAACTTACATTTCATGACTCACCTATACCAATTACTGATACTTGATAATACAACTGTCTTGCAATTGTAATGAAAATGTGTTTTAATCAAATATTGTCCAAAAACACAAAATAAATGTCCTTGAACACGGCATAAGTTTCACTCAATAATAATACAACAATTTGCCATAATAACTGCATGTGTTTCCAACAGTTTTGCCAAACATTTCCTAGCCTGTAACACAGGGCATTTAAGTTATGTGTTTGAGTCTGAACTGTAGGGGGCACGATAAAAAAGAAGCACATACAATCAGTTTTAGAAATGAAGAAGAAATAAAAGCCGAGAGCAAAACAATGTCAGTCGTCTTGGGTTCAGCTGCAGTTTTAGTCGTGCAGTGCAGCTGCATTCTTTCCAAATGAAGTGTGAAGAGACACAGGAAAACAAGTAAATTATGAAGTTTTAAATAAATGCGCCTGTGTCAAAAATAAAAAATAAAAATCTACACTGCCAATAGACAATTTTTTTCGATTCAACTATTTATTTCTATTTTTAGCTTTGTCTTTTTATTCTTCTAATACAGTACAGTAATACCATTCCGGATATGACGTTGTCCATGTCTCGAGCCATGCTGGTACCGCCCTCTTGCGGCAAAAGAGGGGATGAAAGCACGCCATACTGCGCATGCGCAAGACTGACTCGTCCGCTCAGGAGTTGATACTGAAGCTGTCCTCTGAGCGGCTTCACCTTCAGCCATCTTAACCATGCTGGGTGCCGTTGGACGCTGCTGTAACGGGGCTTTGCAGGCTTTTAAGCCCGGTGTCAACTCACTGAAGACATTCGGAGGAAGAAATGTGAGCCTCAACTTATGTAAGTTATGTTTTCACCTCGCTGGACTATCATTGTTAAGTGTCCTCTGAACGCTCCCCGATGGACGTGGCCTCTACCTTCCTTCCTCGCCTCCAATGCTTAATTCCGAAACGAATATATTCTATTCTTTATTTTTGTGTTAATATGTGATTGTCAAATGTTGGTCGTTGCATTCCTTTTTAGTCTGACCTTGTTGTCATGACCGCCTCTGTGACCTTTCACTGTCAAACACGGCAAGCTCATTCTAACTTATCAGTCACAATGAGGGTTGGGACCAATAACATGCACATGTAAATATTATGATTGATTTTCATAAATGTTTTTTCCCATGTTGTCATGTCAGCCAAATAAGGTAACCTCAATATTAGCTCTCAGATTGGAGAAACGCAGTGCATACTAAAAACACAATATTAAAAATATTGTTACAATTAGAACTAAGTTCAAAGGTATGTTGTGGAAGCAGGGCTCGTTCAGGTACTGTCCTATTTCAGTTGCGTTCAAAAATATCCATCCATTCATTCATCACGAGGGTCGCTGGCATGCTGGAGCCTATCCCAGCTGTCTTCGGGCAGTCGGCGGTGTACTTCAGCACACCCCGCAACCCTTGTGAGGAAAAGCGGATTAGAAAATGGATGGATGGTTTATTTCTTCAAGTGCAATAATAATGGTAAGTGTATTTGCCAATTAAATTCAGCTGAGTTTTTAATGTGTCATTGCAGGCAAGGGCTATGCAAGCCCCGCCATGGTGCGGCAAAACCAAAAATCATTCTTTTTACGTTCTCTACTCTTGTGTCTTTTCTCAGGTGAGAACACAGTCAGGACAATCGCTATGGATGGCACAGAGGGTTTGATCCGTGGGCAGAAGGTTCTTGATACAGGGGCTCCTATCAGAATCCCTGTGGGGCCAGAGACTTTGGGCAGGATCATGAATGTCATTGGAGAACCCATTGATGAACGTGGTCCTATTAGCACCAAACAGTAAGTTTTCTCGGGTCACATTTTAGATTTTCCTGGAGCAAATCTTAAACATTTTCAAACTAATTCCACTCCAGCATAATGAAAAGCATCTCTTCTTGACAAGCCATGCCACAATTCCAGCAGTCCCTTTATAGATTGTAATTTGTATCAAGTACTTAATTCACAAGACAGATTGTGTTGGTTTTTCAGGAAATAGAAAGAAAAATGCGACTTCATACACAAGGTGGCAATGGCCACAACTCAGGCCGAATCTCTCAATATGCAAACTGGCTAAAAGCTTGGATAGTAGTTAACTCGATACAGTACTCGCATTCGCTGATGCCCACATCACTCGCCAGGCCAGGCCCCGCCTTTTAAAGCCATACACATTCAAAGTCACAGATACTGAAGTAGAATATGGAGTTGGTGACCCCAAAGTGGACAAGAATAGCCTCACATGAACTTGAATATGTGTAATAATGCTACATATTTTTTTTTATACGACCATGAATGTGTGGGATGATTGGTAGAAAATTCATTCCTAAAAATAGTTGTTCACAGCAGCTCTCTTTGGCTGTATCACAAAACATTTTTTTTTTCGAGAATTAAGGGGAATAGAAAGAATCATTCCCTATTCAAATATTAACCTGATATTTAAAAAAAAAGATCTCTGAAAATACACAGGAAAAGCAAAAAGAGCTGAAACTGTTTTCATGCTTCGGGTTATATGACTTTCACATGTCTTCTATTAATAATTATTTTTACATAGCAAAAAATAGTGAGTTAAAAATAACCCCTGCTGTCTCTCAGGACTGCTCCTATCCACGCAGAAGCCCCTGAGTTCACTGACATGAGTGTAGAGCAGGAGATCTTGGTCACTGGCATCAAAGTGGTAGATCTCCTTGCACCCTATGCCAAGGGTGGAAAAATTGGTCAGTTGCAAGACAATGTTTAGATTCCTGTACGCGAGTGAGCATCTTCTAACCATTGTGCCCGTCGTGTGCCAGGTCTGTTTGGCGGCGCCGGCGTGGGTAAGACTGTTTTGATCATGGAGTTGATCAACAACGTGGCCAAGGCTCACGGTGGCTACTCTGTGTTCGCTGGAGTCGGAGAGCGCACCCGCGAGGGCAACGATTTGTACAATGAAATGATTGAGTCTGGCGTCATAAACCTGAAGGACACCACCTCGAAGGTAACCACCTTTAAAACTTTTTTAACACAGTTGGGACTTTTTCACGACCCACAGGATATTGTGTTCAGTGATTTTATACTACAGCAAATTTACCAAATGAAAGAATAGATGCTCTCCTTTCACCGGGATAAAATGTTGATTCTGCCTTTTTTTTTCTATTTTTTTTTATCATCAGCAGTAGAGCAAAGGTAGGTTGAACAAAATTTCTGCCAGTGGACTCCTAAAATCGTGCATTTCTGCCATCTAGTGGTGGCTGTGTATCATTGAAGTTGGTTTCAAGCTTTAGGCTTGAAACTTGTCAGGCCTGTCGTGATAATTACTACATCGACTTACCATTTGACAGATGGATAGGATAGATTTTCCGCGTTTAATAAATTGTCAGATACCTGTGTGTTTGTTGACATACATCAACAGCATTCGGTCACGCTTGAAGAGAAAGAAGGAATGAGTACACTCAAAGTTGAGTGTTCTGATGGCTGTTCTTGTACAATTACAAAAAGTTAAGTGGGTCAAAGATATTGTATTTATGGTTCTACCTTTCAATGGCAGCGTTTAACATGGGAGGGGCCAGTGTATGTGTACCTGATGATGTCACAGATGCACATTGTCCATTCGAGTGTTTTGACACCGAGTGTTTTGACACCAAATTTGTGTTTTCAGGTTGCGCTGGTGTACGGCCAAATGAACGAGCCCCCGGGCGCTCGCGCCAGAGTTGCCCTTACCGGCCTGACTGTTGCGGAATATTTCCGCGATCAAGAGGGCCAGGATGTGCTTCTCTTTATTGACAACATCTTTAGGTTTACTCAGGCTGGATCAGAGGTATACAATGTTTGAGATTTTCAACTTTTGGTTGAAATTTCATCAAGAAAAAATACACGATTACCTTTATCTGTGAATTTATGAGATTTTCTAAATGTTTCAATACGTTTAGACAACTTCCTGTTTTCCATCAAGGACCTTAATGGCTAAATGCACAGCAGCCATATTAAGTTAGCCTGTAAAGGAATTTTTAAAGCAGAATGACTGAATAAATGCGAATATGCATCAACCTGCAGCATTATCCATCTAGTGATGATGGAATTATTTGGATTGACTGTACAAATGTCCTTCAGGTGTCTGCCCTGTTGGGTCGTATCCCCTCTGCTGTGGGATACCAGCCTACTTTGGCCACCGATATGGGTACCATGCAGGAACGGATTACAACCACCAAGAAAGGTTCCATCACCTCCGTGCAAGTAAGACTGTTGGATGGGATTGATGCAACCGCTTCTGTTGACCGACTCAAACGAAAACACGCTCGCACCGCAGGCGATTTATGTGCCCGCCGACGACTTGACCGACCCCGCTCCCGCCACAACCTTCGCCCACTTGGATGCCACCACCGTGCTGTCACGTGCCATTGCCGAGCTGGGCATCTACCCCGCCGTGGACCCCCTGGATTCCACCTCCCGCATCATGGACCCCAACATCGTGGGGTCCGAGCACTATGACGTCGCTCGAGGTGTACAGAAGATTCTCCAGGCAAGACTTTACATCAACATTTTTTTTTTAATGATGAATCAAAACAAACTCTAATGCAGTGGTTCTGAACCTGGGTTCGATCGAACCCTGGGGGTTCGGTGAATCGGTCTGAGGGGTTCGACGGAGCCTCTGCCATGGAGGTTAAGACACACCCGACTCAAGATGTCAATTAGTTATGACACGCCTGCTTGGCCATTGCTGGCTGCAGATGATCACATGACATTGCTTGTCCAATCAGTGCTGCGGGAAATTTAGTTCTCTCAGTCGTCACCGTGTGACTGTCGTGACAGAACGTCATAAAATTTTAAAAAACCTAGACTTATGCCATGTATTTTTATTAACTTTTTTTCTGTTTTTAATAAATGTGTTGTTTTTTTTAATGTCTTGATTTTGCACAAAATCATATTTTTATTTTTCCACGAATGAAGGGTTCGCTGAACGTGCACATGAACTGGTTGGGTTCGGTACCTCGAACGAGGTTAAGAACCACTGCTCCAATGAGTCCGACATGATGTTTTTCAGGACTACAAGTCGTTACAGGACATCATCGCCATTCTGGGTATGGATGAACTGTCTGAGGAAGACAAGCTGACTGTAGCTCGCGCTCGCAAGATCCAGCGTTTCCTCTCCCAGCCATTCCAAGTGGCTGAAGTCTTCACCGGCCACATGGGGAAGCTGGTGCCTCTCAAGGAAACAATCAAAGGATTCCAGAGCATTCTAGCAGGTAGTGCCGCGCAGGAATTCATTCCCATAATGTGATCGCACTCTTTTCCTTTTAAAACCTTCCTTCCCTTACTCTTTGTTCAGGTGAATACGATGCCTTGCCTGAACAGGCTTTCTACATGGTGGGTCCCATTGAAGAAGTGGTCCAAAAGGCGGAGAAATTGGCAGAGGAGCACTCTTAAAATGACATTGGATGGAAGTCTGTTTGATTTGTACAGTATAATTTCTATTTCAGCAACTTCTGACCTGTCACGCTAAGTATGTTGTGCTTTGCTTGTATTGCTCTGGAAAGCTTCAAATGAGATTAAAATGACATTGTGATACAGCAATGCTCATTCTCGGTCTTTTTTTTTTTTTTGTGCACTATTAATTGGCGGGGGAGCGATTTTCAAAATCCTGACAGTTTAGCTCCTCAAGTGTCGCAGTATCTTATTTAGCTCCCTTTCCTTAGTAAGGAGACTGTTGCTGTGATCTTTGAATGCCTCAAAATCCTGTAAAAATATCAATAGAGACTTTTGAGTTCAACCTGGTATGGGATGCGAGGTTTTTTAATTGTCTTCACAACAAACCTTTTTAAGCTTCTCGTAGTTTGTCCTGGCTTCTTCCAGGGCAGACTTGAGCGACTTGACTCGTTTATCTGCGTTAACTGCCTGTACTTCCTGTTTAAACCTGAGTTCAAAGACACATGTCAGCATTATTCTTGGCATTACGTTTTCACGACACAGCAAGCAAATTTAGCAACCATGTTTACCTTTCCTCTGCTTTTGTCTGGGCTCTCTTCAGCTCTTTATATTGCTGTTCCAGAAGCCGGAGTTCTTCTAGTTTCTCCTGCAATGACATAACTGTATAACATAAAATGACGCGTTTTGGTGACAAGGGCCATTTTCCCAAATGTACCTGTAAGGCATTCTCTTGTTCCACAGAGGTACGCAGCAGTTTGTCTCTCTCTTTGGTGAGATTTGTAATGCTTTTGCTCATCGTGGCTTCCTTCAACGCGTGCTGCTCCTCGGCTTTTAGAAGTTTCAGTTTGACAGCTGGTGGGGATAAAGCCAAAAGTTCCTCAGTGGCTTCATATGTTGCATGTGGATATACAGGATTGAGTTGTTTACCACCTACATTTCCACATTTGTTCTGCGAACTCATGCTGCTGCTGAGATTTGCTCAATTGTTCAAGTAACGATGCCTCTGTCTCTTGACGCTCTTTCGATTGTTTTGACGATGTTGATTCACTTTGGGCGATTTTCTCCCTTTTAAAGAAAGCAATGACAAGTTTTTTTTTTTTTTAATGCCTTTTCCATACTTCCAATGGTAAACGATTTTGTGTGGTTATCGAATAAGTTAAACTTGTACATCAAGGCACTGATATATTTATTTGTTGCAGTTAAAAAAAAAACTTACTGATATGCACTCTCCTTAGTCGTGAGTTCTTCTGTCAAAACCTTGATTTCCTTTGTCAGCTTTTGAACGGCCACCTCTTTGTCATGTAACTTTTGGGAGAAAAGCGTGTCATTTTCTGTCTGCAGGCGCTTGTTTTCCTGCTTCAGCTGCGCATTCTGATGCTTGTACTCTTCCATGAACACGATAATCGCTCGGCTGTTGGCATCTAAATCAAGAAATCTTTTTTCCACTAGTTCCACTCTCTGCTGCTTTTGTACAACTTCTTTCTGACAGCTCTCAAGTTGCTTCTCCAATTGGGCCTTGACCTGCTGCAGGCTTTGGCATTGCTTGAACAGTTCATCTGACCTGTCCTTTAGAACACAGATCAGATTGGTTTGTTCTTTTGTTCTCGACTGCTGCAGCAATGTCTCTGTTAAATCGGTGGCGGTGAGGTCCTTGCACTTATCCAAAGTCTTCTGATTGATGTCCATGTGCTGCGGAAAAGCCAGGAAAATGAAGTGTCGTAATAGTGGTAAACCCCAGTTAGCTACACATGCACATTTATTATCTTTACTAAGAAAATATTTGGTTTTCAACGCTGTTATTTTTCAAGGGTGGTGTTCATTTAACTGAAATAAGTAAACATTCAGGAGACTCGCTGACCACAGTTAGCTACACATGCACATTTATTATCTCTACAAAGAAAATATTTGGTTTTCAACGCTGTTGAGAATTATTTTTCAAGGGTGGTGTTCATTTAACTGAAATATCACAAGAGGGCGCTGGAGAAGAAATTGAGTCGTCATAGAATTTAAACATTCCCACGGCACTTGCCTTATTAGTTTTGTTGCTAACTTTATTGACTAAATTAGTTTTAGAGACAACACGTCAGTAAATGACGTAGGCTTCCAATAATATTCGCACACTGACTGACCAAAATATATTCTAACCGACAAACGCCGAGTGGACATAAACCGGACGAAGTTAAGTACAGTATAATTAAAAGTGTCTGTGGTCATCATACTTACGGCAACGTTGAGTGACAATCCAGAAAGTAACATGTTGTCCTCAGACTTGGTCACTTTCTTTCTCACATTTTCGGACTTTCTTCGTTGGGACGACATCGTAATCTTTTTTTCAGGTGTTTTTTTAATTAAATATTTACGGGTGGGTTGTTTTAAAGGCTCGTTTCGAATAGTTTAGCCACTGTGTTTTATGCTAGGTTCGACCTCCTTTTATGCTAGTTAGACAATGGACTAAAACTACTTGTATCCTTGCGTACTCGACACCCCCGAGAGCACGAGGACCTTCCACGGATTTCTTGACGTAACCAGCTCGCGAGTGTGTCGTCTTGTTCTTAAAAAAACGCACGCCACAAATCTCAAATCACAAACTTTAAACTACAAGCAAAACGAATAGGGGCAAACACAATTCCATTACAAAAACTACAACATGTCCGTAGTTTACTTGTATGATTTCTCTCGTATTCTCCAGAGAGAAGCTTTTTTTTTTTTTTTTGGTCGTTTTCGATTGCGTTGTTAAGGTCTAAGAGCATGTGTCACTGTCATGTGTCGTCATTTAACGGATAAACGTTAAAATGGATCCAAACCTGGATACACAATTCAAGTTTCAGACGTGTTGTTTCTGCACGAACTATAAAATTTGTGTCAGGCTAGGACACGTTATTTTAAAAAAAAAACAAAACACGAAAATCAGACTACTTTATGAAGTCACATGGTTGTTCGATAAGATTAAAACGCGTTCCACTGATAATATCAAGCGCAATGCATTGTAGGATTGCAAAGTGTACCGAAACAGTGTCCTAAAGAAGTCTGACCGAAGTACACACACAAAAACACGCTGTTAAACTTTTCCCTTTGTGTAAGTTTGCGTTACTCGGTTACCTAGGAAACCAAGTCACGGCAACAGGTGGCATGTAGTATCACTTTATAGCCACTACGTGGCAGCCTCCAACTATCAATTTACAAACAAATAGCCCATCTTGCAAGTGGCAGCCTCCAACTCCAGTACAGTATTTATTTCGAAACAAATAGCCCATCTTGTCAGTCAAACACGTGGTGACCCAGTTGATCTTCATAGAAATTCCTGCTTGTACAAGAAGAACTTTATTAATGTCCATCTGAATGGGAGGGTTGATCCAGATTTCCATTTTGTATAAGTCAGCAATGCACTTTTTACAAACACAAGTAATCACTGTATAATAACTTTTGGAGTTAATTGAGTGAGGTCTTTAATCTCTTCATAGGACCAAAGTGCATAAGCAATGATGCAAGGTTTGTAGTCATGGGAGCTGCATATCATTATGCAGATTCCACAGCCTGCCTTGAGGGATTTATCCACAGGGTTGGGGGAGCGGCTGTCCTGCACTTTGCGCACGCCCCTTTTGATCAAGTCGTGGGCCAAGGAGCCCAGTTAGAGGAGAGCCAACAGCATCCCAAACCCCCCCACCCCCTCCAGTCCCTGCAGCTCCTCCATCTGCACAGTGGAGCTGGACGGACCAGCCAGAATGTGGAGAGCCGTGCCACTCCAAATCTTTCTCCTCTTATTCTGCCGGTTGTGCCAATCACAAGGTTAGTAGTATGTTATGTTCATTTTTTTCTTGATGTATTTTGGTATTGCTACGCCGGGGCTCTTGTTCACTTGTTGCTGAAGTTTATTGAGTCTGTGGGACTGATCTGATTGCAAAGGGCAAGCAATTGCATACAGTGTCTTTCTGTATATTACACATGAGCTCATCAAAGAAGAATTCGAAAGCTATAATTAAGTGAGAAAAATGCAAACAGGTAGAGTAAGACTAATTTTCCCACTCAGTGTTATTACTGAAAGGTTGAGCACAAAAGCCGCCCCCCCCCAGTCAGAATGGAAGTTCTCCTGGAGAGAACTTTTGCCTGAGCTTTACTGTTGCTAGGTAACAGAACAGAGCATGTGACTTACAATCTGTAAGTACTAAGAGGTACCGGTTTAAAAAAAAGTTCATTTTGGTGAGACAGAGTTTGAGCCGCACGCTGCAAACTTCAACCCAAGGAATAGAAGTGACTTTTCTGATCAGGCCGAGACATCAGGAATGCTCCAGTTTGGCTCTTTCTACATTTTTAGATTGCTGTTTGTCTCTTGTGTTTGTAGCCCAGCTAGATCCTGCTTCTCAAATTGTAATCTGCTTTCTTTTTGCTCAACCCTTAGGATGTAAGCTTCTTAGCGTGAATGTGGCTACTAATTACAGTGCAGCTGCTGTAGAATGGAACCATTTCTACCTAGGTAAAACTTGTAGAGCCACAACTTCCCTTGCATAGATTTGCCCTGGAATAAACTGGATGATTTCACCTCACCGGTCCCCTGACAGACAAAAATAGATGCTTAATTGTGAAAACGAGGGCGTGCTTACAGTAAAGGAATGAATAATGTCCTGGATTTTGCTGATATTGGAGATGGAAACGATGACTCGTGACTTTGTCAGCACGTTTGTCATCAATGTTAAGATAGATTGACAGGCCAGACCTGCTCAATCCAATTACATTATATCCAATATAAAAGCGCTATTACGTATTTTGCAAGTTTTAATGATGATTTGATGAACTGCATTAACAATATTGGGGTTTTTTTTGTGTTTGTGCATGTGCGTGTACTGTAGTGGTGTACTACTGCAATACAGACTCATACAGTGTTGTTTCTAATATTTAATTTTTTTCAGCTACCCCTGAAAGAGTCAAACTACAAGAAACAGGACTTAATGTGATGCAGTGCATCTCAAGTACGCAAATGCAAACTCCGAGCGCAATGCTAAAAATGCTCTTAAAATATGGCCTACATAGTACATACATACCGTAACTGTGCCTAATCTTGGTAAAGCCCACATTTCTGATTCACTTATTTTATGTACATGGTCAGTGTATTGTGGTAAGTTGAGAAAAAGTCTCATTAACATGATAGTAGCATAGACAAAATATTTAAATCGTATCACCTACTGACACACTGTGAAATTTCTACAGCTGTCCTAATGACACTTTCTGCATCCGAATTCGAGTCACTTGATTTTGAGTCCTGAGCCGATACTGGGAAAAAAAGTACTGCATCCAAAATGTCTTAATTACCTTTTTTATTTTTTTTTTTTGAGTGAAGGAATTTGAACATTGTACCTTTTTATAAGGTTATCGTCAAACCAAGTAATCCAAAAAAAAAAAAATTCTATCATATTAGCGGTGCGGCACAAAATAATGATGCAAACAAATTACGTTTTAAATATCCTGTCTTTAAAAACGTAACTAAAACCCAATTTCAGTTGACAGTAATAAAATCAAGATATTTTTAAATGGTCAATCAATAAGATAAGATAAGATAACCTTGTAAATGAACACAATTGTGGAATTACAAATACAACAATGCAATGTGGTAAAATTAAAGCGACAAGCTTCACTATGAGCAACGTCTTACTTATTGGCTTTGCTGTGACAGTTGGAGGGCAAAGGGGGAACTTTCTCCAGTGGATGCTTGATCCCCCTCCCAACAAAACGAAGCCCCCATAACCCTTAGTATCTCCTTATCCAGGCTTTTGCAACACTGCAAAAATGCTGGTAATGGTCAGGCGGCATTCATGTTGCTGCTTCATCAACTCCCCTCAGTAATTTTTTTTCACTGCTTGGACAAGTTTTGCAGTAATCAGAGTTGTTATCTGTCTCCATTCACGTTTGCTTTAGTCACTCAAGGACACCGTAAGCACTTTGTAGAGCCTATGAATGACTATTTCATATGACTGGAAACAGTTTGTTGTAATGTGGTCACAGTGGGAGGTTTGACTGCCCTTATTGTATTGAAGAAAAAACACCTTTTGTTATGTTCAAACTCGTACTCTGCGTGCATGTTAAACCTCACCCATTCCGGCACATGAGCCTAAATCCTTGTACAGCTGTAACATTACTTTAGAAAACAGGCGTTGTCAAAAATAGATCTTTTTTTTCTCGCTAATAGGTTTGTGACAATGCAGCTGTCTCACTGCCTTGTGATCACTTCATTTCTCATCAGGTTTTACATAGTCACATACACTCCCACCCCTCTGAAAAAATGTTGAGGATTTTTCAGTCCTAACCAAATGAAGGCTGTCGGTCCACGCTCCATTCAGGGGTCTCCCGGCAGTGCCAAAAGCAGTCAGGCCTTTCACTGTTTTGTTTGTAGCACTAAGCGCCAAAGTCACTTGTTTGGCAATTGACTGCATTCTGCTGCATGCATTTCCATATGAAACAGGCCGCAGCACTTTGCTCTGGCAGCAATGGACAGCTCCAGCGTTTCATGCAGCCAACGGACGTTTTCTTTACAGCTCAGTGGGTGCAGAGGCCTGCGCCAAAACAAGCACCATTGGCGAAAGCGTAACGACACCACAAGAGATGTTTCAGGGGTCAGGTGTGGTTTCTCCATGGATCCAAACCCAAGTGTACCCTCTTCTTTCCATTAGGGTGACACTTCCACTTATGAGTTTACATCCCTACCGGCGCTTCTTTTGTGCCATTGTGATTCCACAGTGAGTTCGGGGAGGGGCTTCATTTGGAATGAAAATTCCTCAAATGTTCTTCTCTCAGAATAGTGGGGCATCTTTACCCCAGTGTGGTCTCCTGCTGTGGGTTTAAGTTGCAATAAGAAAAGACAAGGCCAGACAAAAGGGAAAGGAAAACACTGATTTACGGCCAAAAACGCTAATGTCAATTAAGTTTCTAAAATACACGGGGAGTTGGATCATGAAGACGTGTGTGTGTGTGTGTGTGTGTGTGTGTGTGTGTGCGCGTGTGTGTGTGTGTGTGTGTGTGTGTGTGAATGAATCCTCATCGCAAACTTCACTCATGCGTGAGTTGAATTTATTCGTCAACGTTCTGACTTTACTACTCCACATTGACGTTTTCTAGCTAATCATGTCTTTTTGGTATTGTGTCGTCAAATCGGCCAATTTATAGAGGACTCTTATCTCGCCCGTTGCCCGACGACAACGGTCTCTGGATCAGCGAAATGTCCGGCCAACAAGGCGACTCAGTCTTTACATATCGCCACTGGTCCGAGAGTACGAAAGTAAGCAAGTTGTGAGTGAGAATAACCGTTAGCCTCGCTAGCTTCGGCTCGTCCATTTGCCGCTAGTGCTGCGTCTAATAATGTACGGACACCACTTGACCACACTATGTTGTAGCACTTGGCGCAGTACAACATACGGCCATGCTCAGCTAACAGTGTGTGGAAATACTGCTTCAAATATGAAACTGGTAGCATGGTCACTTGAAAGCTATGCTAAGCCTAGCCTCAACTACAATAAACTCCCAAGCGCAATAGAAACAGCCAAACAGAGAAACGCCACTAATTACAACAACTACATTGCAAAATGGTGGGTTATATTTTTAATCATTTGTTTTAATTTGTTTCTATGGCAGTCTGTTGAAATATGTCTCTCTCCGAAACTGGTCTGTGACATTAAAAAAGTGTTCTGTGTTAAAAAAAAAAAAAGTTAATTACGTCAGTTATTAATCAACTTCAAATTGACTTTCATCTCATTATAGTCGATCACAAAAAAATCTTGCCAATGGGCCTCTCATTAAAAGTCTTTTATTCACGTCAAGGATTTACATGATCATACATTGCAGGAAACTGAACCAACTAACAGTTGAAACTACCGGTAATTTTAAGAGATACAAACACAGGCTAAGGGAATCGAACCTTTTGTAGGAAGCCGCGTTAATAACCACTTGATGACAAGTGGCATCACTACCCAAAATGATGCAGTCAAGAAACACATGAGGGAAAGGGTCAAGTTCATTCGTAATGTGGTTGAGGTCAAGGCTGTCAATTTCTTCCGTACCAAATTCATCCGAGGCTTCTTTTGCGCACTGATGGTACTGTCCTATCCGAACAGTGTTTTCATGTTCACTCTTGAATTGTGACAGAACTCTTGCACTTTTGTCAATGTTGAGAATTTTGAAGGCCATCGTCAAGCAATTCTCTACCAATCACCACTTCTGCTCACTAAGAATTAAATTACATCTCAGATTGGACATGGTCAGTGTGTGTCATGGATCAGACTAACAAAGCCAATTGATTGAAATGCACATTCCTGTTCAGATAGTTGTGATGGAGTGGTCTGACACTCAGCTATGCTGCCTGAATCAACCCCCTCCCCTGGAAGATGCCAGAGAAGGCAGTGTAGTGGTACCTTATCTCCACAGATGCCACTCATTGGGAACATCAAAAGCAGGCTCGTATGAGTGCAGAAGAGGATTGCGTAACATCCTGGGAAAGGGGGGCTGTGGGGTGGATGGCACGCTTGTCTCCACCACTGATCAACGGTGCGAACAGCACATTTCATCCCTTTCCTCATAAGATTTTTTTTTGTGAACTATGGAATACTCAGCATTCATACATGGTGTTCTAATCATTTTAAAATAATTACAAAGAACGCTGAACCATCAGCCACTCTTCACAGCTTCTTTCCCCTCGACATGATCCTCTTAAGCAACTGACCTGTATAATCACCGTGCCACTACTTTCTTTTCATTTTGCCCACATTATAGCTGCATTATTTGCAATCCATGCAAAGTAGTACAAGTTTGACATCACAAACAACCTTGCAACAAATTCCTCAATATCTCAATAAAGCACACTGTGTATCATAAGGGTGATCTATAATGAAATAATTTTGACAGACCTTGTAATTATGTAAACAAAGAAACACGATAATATATTCAAGGTGTCGCCCACTCTACCAAGTGGCATTCTAATTCATACTTAAATGTACTGGATGTGTCTGTAGGATGTGAACTGGGGCAGTTCCGCTGCGGGACAGGCCGATGCATCCCATGGGACTGGCACTGCGACGGGACATCCGACTGTTCAGATGATTCTGATGAACAAGAATGTCGTGAGTCATTTCCTAAACAACTCACAACCTGACAACTGGACCACTGCTTTGTCCAGATAGTGTTTAATTACTGCCTTTCTGTGTACAAACTGATATATTGCCTATTGTGAATTTGTACCTGTATCTTTACTTCATGATACTTATTAATAATTACTGATCAGCTTTTTAAAAAAATATATTGTACGGGGATGAAAAAAGGAGACATGTCGGTGTGCATCTCTGCCTTGCAGCACAGATAACATGCGACGACAGTCACTTTCAGTGTTTGAGTGATGGCGAGTGTATCCCGGGTGTGTGGGTGTGCGATGATGAAGAGGACTGTGAAGATGGTTCAGACGAGAGGCAAAACTGTCGTAAGTTATCTGTCTTCCAACCGACCCTCTCATTCACACTGATTTCACCACAAGCACTCGTCTGTGTTTCGTTTAATATCTTTTTTTTTTTCTTTTCTTTTAACAGTTTTTGTATTCTCGCTCATTCATACATTGCTTTACCGGCGCTTAATAATAACCAAATAGCACTCTGTAACCATAACATTTGGTATAACTGCACTCCTTTTGTAGTTAAGAAGGGCGCCAAATTCTACGGACCACCCCAAAATCCTGAAAAAATTATAAACTAGTTGCTTTATCACTTTCAGATGAAGGTTCATGATATGTTCAATAAATGCTAACATTAGCCAAAAATGTGCACCCTGTTGTGATGTTGCCGTTTGCACGTCTGTTGACTGTTTGCAGCGAATTGGCCAATATGCATTTCTAACAGCATATCTACTTATAACAATGCATATAAAGTTCAAATGGAAAATCTCAACCTTTTTCAAGTGATACTGATCTCAAGGCATTTTATGCTGATATTGACTCCTAAACATTTTATGTGCTTCTAAAAGTCTCCAATCCATCCTCAGCTGGGAGACCCTGCACAAGCGGACAGTTCAGCTGTAACAACGGGGCGTGTGTCCCGGCTGAGTACCGATGCGACCATCTGTCTGATTGCACCGATGGCTCGGATGAGAGAAACTGCAGTAAGTCTTCTCCAAGGTGGTTTCCTCGTATTTTAACACCCTCCTCCTGTGGCATTTTACTAAATTTGCTCAGATTAAGAGGCTCGCGGAAGGACAGAATGAGACACAATATGCTTCTTGTTGTCAGAGTTTTATTGCGGATCCCTCGGTGGATTAGTCAAACTGAAGTTCAACTGCTATGCCGCTATTGTCCCGGCTGACACGGTGCACTCAAAGCACTATACGCTAAGGGAATCCCACAGTTGCGAGAATGCGCCTGCAAATGCTGTTGCTACGGTGGCAGCGTTAAATTGTCCCCGCCTATCCCACCCGCGCGCCAAGCTTTTCACTTGCTGTCACGCTGTCAGGTTGACGTGTGCATTATGTTGCTCAGATGATGATCTAATCTTTCAGATTATCCGGAGTGCACAGAGTTTAGATGTGCTAATGGTGCCTGCTACAACCGGACCCAGAGATGTGACCACATACTTGACTGTCGAGATGGCTCAGATGAGGCAAATTGCAGTAAGTCCATTTTAGGCTTTCATGTGGCCTTGGTGGCAAAGCCCCAAAAGTGTAACATGAGAGTTACACTTTGCAACATTTCTCTCCCTTTTTTCTTTAGCACAGCACTGCAGTACAGGCCTGTATCCATGTCATAATGGGATGTGCGTTCCTCAGCGTTATATCTGTGACCATGATGACGACTGTGGGGATCGAAGTGATGAACTCAATTGCAGTAAGACGGCCCTTCTACTTTCTCATTGAATTAGCATTGTAGGGCACTTTTGAGCCTGGCGTGTTGCGAATGTGAGGAGCTGGTTTGATTTCCCCATGATTGGAGTCAGCTGTTATCACTCCCACAGCGGCGCAGACGTTACTGGTTCAGTTCCGCCGGCCCGCACTGCAGGGTTGATGCCATTCATGAAAATAGAGCCCTGATGTGTAGCTTTTTAACGAATAATCGTGTCTCTTTCATTTTCAGCATATCCTCCATGCAGGGGCAATTACTTCACGTGCCCCAGTGGTCGCTGTATTCATCAAGTGTGGCTTTGTGATGGAGAAGACGATTGTGAGGACAATGCAGATGAAAAAGGCTGCGGTATGGCTACTTACCAGTTATCACATATATACATATTTGAGCCGTAAAAAAAAAAAAAAAAATCAATTTAAAGCCTCCAGTGGATTGTTGCAGAGCTTTCCAAGCAGTGACAAGAGGTGCCGGCCTCCTAGCTAGCTCAGGCTTAGTACTGTAATGATAACTAACTAATTGCATGAGATAACCGCTGTGAACGAAGGTTCGTTTTATAGTGGGGTAATAGTGACCAAAAAAAAAATCAAGGAAACATAAATGTTGAAAAACACAATCGAGTCCTGTGTAGTTCTCACTCTTTGCACATTTTTTCAGCAGTTACCTTTAAAGATGTGTAATGTATTTAGAAAGAAATCTCAGAATTCACTTTACAGGGTCTTTAATAGAGTTCCAATATCTAAAGTGAGAGGTGACTACCAAGTTCCTTTTTCCTGTGTGTCATTCAAATGGCTCTTTGTGGCACACGATTGCACAGCCTAACCCCCCCCATTTGTCCACATGGCTGTGAAGAGTGTGTGTTTTTAGAGGATGGGCTGCAGAAGGCCCCTGTGACCCCTTCAGAGTTCCCTGCAGTGATTTAAAGTGACAGTCCTTAAACTGACAATGACATCATCGCCACAACTTTGTCAAAAGGAATGTTAGATTTTTTTATTTTTTTATTTTGTTTGTATGGTGTTTAGTTGATTTTCAAATCAGTGATTTTTTTTTTCTCACCTTCATCAGAAAATGCGGTGCACGAGTGTGACCCAGGAGAGTGGCCATGTCCATCTAGTGGTGTGTGCATCCCCATGGAGCAGCTGTGTGACGGGACGCCTCACTGCTCTGAAGGAGAGGACGAAACCAACACGACTGCCGGACGCAACTGCAGTTAGTACCAATGCTGTCTGTCTCTCTCTTTTCATTTCAAAACGACATCAGCATTTTAACTTGGTGACTAATGGCTCAATGGACCAATCTACGGTGTGTGTGAATGTACACATGGAAAAAGATTTCCTTGGCGACGTCTGCAAATGAAAGGCTTATTTCTCACTATTGTGTTAAAATGTGTGTTTTAGTGAGGATCGTGTAACAAGTTGCTGAATCGAGTCAGTATTTCTATTACAATTTTCACTTAGGGGTGTACTCAACATTTGTTGCCAGCAGTTTAGACATTAATGGCTGCGTTGTTGAATTATTCGGAGTGGACAACAAATGTACACACCTGTACAAGTTTCACATTGTAGCAAAGTGGTCATATTTTTGCGTTGTCCCAGGGTGTACTCACTTCTGTTCTTGTCTCTGCTAGGTGTCTGGAGATGTTCTTCTCTGAGTTGTGAGCATCGCTGTCATCCTTCTCCTCGTGGAGGAACCTGTTCCTGTCCTTCGGGATACACTGTCAGCGGCAATGACAGTCGCTCATGTATAGGTACATCTTTCATTCATGTATTAACTGTAGCTGAGTGCAATGAAGGTGCTTTTAAGTTCAACATACAGTACTGTTTTTTTTTTCTTCTTTCTATTTAAGACTTTGACGACTGCTCAATGTGGGGAGTGTGTGACCAGCTTTGCGAGGACCGCATTGGTTCTCATCACTGCAGCTGCAGGGACGGTTACGTCCTGGAGCAGCATCGATACTGTCGAGCCGACATCTCGTGTAAGTGCGACGTTACCTCTCAGTCTTACACACAGTGAGCTTTTGAAACCTCTGAATGAACCATCAAAACAATTCCCATTAGCATAACCCCCTTCCCTGTAGACGACCCCCGTGACTTTGCTGAGCGCACGTACTCTTCCCGGCGCATTGTTGCATGCACATTGTTGTTTCAGTGAAGTCTCTTGGCTTTGCGGAATTGAGAGGCTGACCTCTTCGGCTTTTGCTTGACTGAGAGGAGTGTGTATTGAACATGGATCAAAAGCCCTTTACCTTTCTGAAATAACATGCCACATTCTGGAAAATTTCCACTTCTTGTGTCCCTCATGCTCATGAATGTACTTAACTGCTCACCAGTGCAATCAGAAACAAACATACGTCTGGATAATTAATTCTCTATGCATCTTGCAGTCGGAGTCCCTTCCTTGGTATTTTCCAATGGCAGAGACCTACTAATAGGCAACATCCATGGCAACAATCTTCGCACTTTAGTACAATCACAGAACCGAGGAGTTGCAGCTGGAGTGGACTTTCATTTTGATCTCCATAAGATCTTCTGGACTGATACCATTCAAAATAAGGTAAGTGACAATACACTGACAATACAATCCAATACACAATACCTTTTTATCGAAGTTACCCGGCTTGAGAGTTTTTTTGAGAAGCTGTGGTTCTCTAGTGGCTACTTCACTGCGGTAATCTGTGATTGCCCCAGCCAACTCTATATTGTGTAAAGGTCTGTGCTTTGTGTACTATGATCTCCTCCATTGACTCCAGCAAATCAATTTCTGTTCTGTCCATGTCAAGGACTGCACCTCTCATGGACCGATTTTGAAGGCAATGAGAGGTGCTGCTTCCATTGGCTGTGAATCAAGTAGGCTGTGTTCACACCCACAACGGCGCAAAACACTTGGCATGAATATAGACCTCTTAGTGTTGCTCACCTTATTATTTCTATATCTGATATCTGAGGCAAAATTTTCTTGTTTAGAGAGTAGTCCTCTGACCTTTTTCATGAATGCAGTGACACAAACAGTGCTTCAGAGTGTTTCGGAACATACTTTAAGCACTACTTATCGTGCCTTCAGGGTTTCACTCTCACTTCCATACCATTTTGACACCATAATTGTATGCAAGTTCTGCACCCCGTGGATGCAGATTCCATTGTTGAGTCAGGAAAGAGAATCACAGTCGCACCTACCTAGCAAAGTCTTACCTTTAATGTTAATTCTTTCAGAGTCATGCCTGACCGGCTATTCATGAAATGGCAGATATTTCAAAGGATAACTTGTATGCAATCCTGGTGCATATCTGCAAGGTTGACACAGGAATTAAGTGATGGGCGCTGGCTCCTGTGCAGCGGGGTCATAATGAAGGGGAAGCTCTGTAAGATGTGAAAACAAATCCACGTGTATTATCTTTAGACCTATCTGATAAGCAGCTATGATGGCTACATACCAGGGTGCAATTTTGTAATACAAGCTCGCTTGAGTAATTATGCTGTATTTGTTTTCAGTAGCACCATCCCTCCAAACGCATTCTTCTCCGCTTAAAAAAAAGAAACGCAGTCGCGAGGTTGAAGGGCCAGGGTACATCTTTTAAAGGGGATCTTTGTAAATTAAACGCCTCTGTAGCTCCATGATTAAAGTAGCCCGAGTGCAAGCAGGGCATGTGAATGCAACAGGAGAGGTTAGATAACCACATCTACAGTTTCTCTTTCAAGCAGGCTTGCTGGTGAATCTGGCTCATTCACGACAAGCGGCAATTTGGCAGATGTAGTTAGGAAATATTTTTCAAAAAAGAGGCATTAAGCAGTTTATTGCCAATCTCAGAGGATGGTTACTCTCACACTCAACCTATAACAAAGAAAATTACCCATTGTGTATTTAAAAGCATCACATAGCCCCTATTACCTTAAGGCTAACATACATTGGGAAACTCCATAGGCACGCACACAGGCTAACAATTAGCATCATGGGGCGCTGTTGCTCCATATTAAGCAACGATGATCTGAACACAAATGTTTCAGCAACAGATAGACCATGAAACAATGCTCACGGGTATATATTCTTTATCCTCTGTGAAGAATGACAAATATTACTGCCATGCTGACAAGCTGGCAGAAGAGCTGAGTCTCCGGGCAAGTATATCCATATTCTGTCTACCCTACAGTGGCCAAAGTATGAACATGAGAATGAGCAGCACAATGTGCATTGAAGGAAAGAGTGTGACAAAAACGGTTTCATTCGTAATTAGGTCATTACTGTATGCTTTTATGAAGTACAATATCACAGATTGGTATTTTTCCTCATAACAAGGAAGACACCATTTATGGAGTTGGAACAGATCATGGAGCAAGTTCAAGTTGTATCTTAAGGCACCACTCTATATTACTACACAGACTGTTAACTTTTGCGACCCTTTTTTTTTTTTTTTTAATCATCGATAGGTAATAAGATAGCATCTTCCTTTATGAAAACTCCTATGCAGCGAGGAGCTACTTTTCCACTGACAATGCCGTCTTTTGTGAACAGGTGTTTTCTGTGGACATGGATGGGTCCAATATGCAGGTGGTTTTAAATGTATCAGTTGACTACCCTGAGAACCTGGCCGTGGATTGGGTGAACAATAAACTGTATGTGGTGGAGGCCAGTGTCAACAGGATTGACATGACGGATCTGGATGGAAGTAACCGGGTCACACTCATCACCGAGAACCTGGGTAACCCTAGAGGACTGGCGGTGGACCCCACTGTCGGGTAAGCACATCCCCCCATTCCAATCGGCCTGTCCTCCCAAGCCCACATACAGTGCAATATCTGTTTTGTGCTCCATTGCCACGGAATAATGTGAGTGCTTGCTTCTGTGTGAGATTAGCAGATTGCCTGTGGTGGATTAGGGAGATGTAATGTAAGTGATGACCCTAATTGTAATCCAATTGAAGGGAGGGAGAGCCAGGTGGCTACTGATGTATTGCTCATTTTAAATTGAGTCAATATCACCAAAAACGTGCCTCTGAGACTTCCCTATTTCGCATTCACAAAATGTTGAGATTTTCCATTGAACTGAATATAATACAATTACGATTAAGGTGAGACATGCAACCACCAATCTGGGAATCTGATAACATTCTGTCAATTCTAGTAAATGCTTTCATCTTCATTGTATATTTTTCATGGCTATAAAAGTCTAAATGACGATGCCCCCGCCCCCCCCCCCCCCCCACTCCCCCACAGCTATATGTTCTTCTCAGATTGGGAGGCCCTCAATGGACAACCTGGTCTTGAACGAGCCTACATGGATGGAACCAACCGTTATGGGATCATCAGAAGTAAACTGGGCTGGCCAGCTGGCATCACACTAGACATCGAGGCCAAACGCATTTATTGGGTTGACAGTCGCTACGATTACATTGAAACGGCAACCTATGACGGTCTTCATAGGTAAATATGATGATTGTCCATGTGTTTACTTTGAAATTCCTAAGCACGTGCAATCAATATTTGTATTTAATTCAATTTGATTCAGCATTAAAAAAACTGTACTTGTCTAACTTTTTTTTAAAAGATCGGCTATTTTCCTGTTTAAGCAAGAACCTTGTTCATTTTAAATGGCTGCCATCTTGAGCTAGCCGAGACAGCCGAAGTGTAACATCAAAGATGGCCGTTACCTCTCTTAGTTATCAAGTGATGTTAAACTCTTAAAGAAAACATCATCAGCACATGTTTCTTTGTCACCTTCTGATGAATCAATATCTATTCTATTTTGAATAGGAAAACTGTTGCCCATGGTGGTGCTGTCGTACCGCACCCATTTGGGATCAGCCTATTTGAGCACTATGTATATTTCACCGACTGGACAAAAATGGCGGTCATGAAAGCCAACAAGTTCACAGACACGAACCCACAGGTCGTCTACACTTCATCCCAGACCCCACATGGAGTGGCAGTGATACATCATCTTAAACAGCCAAACGGTGATTCTATAGAGCGGTCACGACACGTATTGACGGATTTTTCACTCATTCAAGTCTTCGAAAGTCAGTTTCTGTGGTTTTGTCTTCAGTGGTGAATCCTTGCAGTATAAACAGAGGCGGGTGTGATCAGATCTGCGTTTTGAGTCACAGGAGCGACAACGGAGGGTTAGGCTACCGATGCAAGTGTCGCATAGGCTATGACTTAAACACCGATGGCAAGAGATGTCTGGGTAAGTAAAAAGATTTCCCTCTAATGTTGTGTGTAACCTACATTGACTGCAATAATCCTCCAATATGGCATGCTTTTTGATTTTATCTCTCCAGCCGTGAGGCAGTTTCTGCTTTTCACCAGTCAGCTGGCCGTGCGAGGGATACCGTTCAACCTCTCCTCTCAGGAAGACATCATCCTTCCCATCACTGGATTACCCTCCTACTTTGTCGGGGTGGACTTTAGTGCAGAGGATGATGCGATCTTCTTCTCGGACACGGCCAAAGATATGATCTACAAACAGAAAGTGGATGGGACCGGTGAGCATTTCCCTGTTGCGTAGCTGAGCTTCAAGCGGGACTAGCAAAGAGAGTTGAGGGATCACATGGCGGTGTGGCACATGCCTTGTCGCTGCTCAGACGCAGGTTAAACCTGATGTTGGTGATTGTGTAGATGAGAACAGGCCGGAGGATCTGGGAGAGGGAGGGTTGCGCCGCTTTGCTAGTAGTCACAGCCGACTTCAATATATGGGCCATAATAGTTGTGCCCCACCAGTCGGATGATTTGAAAAATATGATGCAATGAGTCAGAAGGTTTGACATCCGTTGTTGACATCCACGCGTAAATGAAATACGATTTCCATCACTCATGTCCACGTAGCTCAGAATCTGTCTGACAGTGCCCCGATCAAATTCACCAATATCGCATGAGACCAACTGTGACAATACTTTGACGTGGTCTGAGCAGGCATAAATTTCGATCAACTTTTTGCCACCATATTGTCACTGTTGGGTGCATTTCCCAAAGTGACACTCTCGCGATGCCGGAACACCTAACTTGTGCCAATATAAAAATCAGGATACGCCGGCAAGTTGCAACGCAAGTCAATGCTCTACTGTTGTTATAGAAATACGCAAATTCACCAGTTCCCCAAAAAAATAAAAAAGATGCTCCACTGCCCCGATTAGACCTGTTGTTTTTGGAACAGCTCTAGTTTTTCCCTTCCGGTGCACTTGAAGAAAATGCAAACTGACAGCATATTTATTCAAATGTAGCTCAGCTTTCTTCTTTGTGTTAAAGAGTCGTCTAACTGCTTTGATCTGCACAGGCAGGGAGGTGCTGGCGGCCAACAGAGTGGACAGCGTGGAGGACCTGGCTTACGATTGGATTTCGAAAAATCTCTATTGGACTGACCCACGATACAGGAGCATATCTGTCATGAAGGTCGTGGATAAATCCAGGCGGGCTATCATACAGAACCTGAACAACCCGAGAGCCATTGTGGTCCATCCTCTTGTCGGGTAAATCAATCCATCAGGTCTCAAAGCATATTTCCAAACCTTCAGGGTTAGACGTGATTGCACCTATTGGCCACACTACTTCAATGACATGCTCATAGGTGTGAAGTGGTTATATGCCTATACCGCCCACTATTTTCTGTAGATAGAAAATCACTATAGCAGTATACAAAACAAATGAATGAATGGTTGTAGGCTAGTTTTTTTTTTTAATAAATAAATGTAGATTGTGTGCATAGGTGGCGTACCTAATTGATGAGTATATACAATATGAAGCACATGCACGTCATTTCACACACAAAGCGGCGCTTACCAATTCACAAAGTGCCCTAAAATAAATCCATGGGGAAATTGTTATTGAGCACAAGCTGTTATTTCCAATAGCCTCAAAGTCATAAGGCTTCTGCATCCACATGAAGAGATTAGTGTAGCATGAAGGGCGGTATTGTAGTGGTAATACCAGGCATTGGTCTTACACACTATTATAATAAAACATAAAAATGGAATTGCAGTGTATTATATTCATTTTTCTGTTATTGCTAACCAGGTCAAATACCTTATTACATCCATTCTGCTTATTTATGTTTCTTTTTCAGATATATTTTTTGGACTGACTGGTACCGGCCAGCAAAGATTATGAGAGCTTGGGGCGATGGGTCACATGCCCTGTCTATTGTAAACACCACTCTTGGCTGGCCCAATGGCCTCGCTATTGACTGGAGGTGAGCCGTGTAGCAGCCTTGGCCGGCAAAATACAATTGTGTGAAAGCTGAATTTATTTTGCAGTCATGCCTAATATTTCTTCTCCACACAGCGCTATGCGTTTGTATTGGGTAGATGCCTTCTTCGACAAAATCGAGCACAGCAATTTTGATGGACATAACAGGCTTGCTTTGGACCGCATTACTCAGATGTCCCATCCTTTTGGCCTCACCATATTTGAAGGTAATTGGCCCTGGTGTACATGTAAAGGCCAGCACGTTAAATACCGGTCGTTCATGTCACAGCTTGCCATAAGTGGACAGATTGGTAATTATAATTTTTATTTATGTTTTTATACCTTTTGGTCATGGCGAATAAAGTCGTTTGAAGCTTCTATAGCTGAAATGTTGAAGACATAGTTATCTAGTGTCATACCCTACTGAAGAGAAAAATAGTTTTAGCAGTTTGAAAAGAATGTCATCTAGCTAAATACTAACACAAGATGCAAAATGACTTAATAAGCAATAGCAAATGGCGGTGTAAAAAGACTCACAGGCGTTTGTCTTTGTCCTCTGCAAAAAGAGGACTATAAGTGCAGCTTACTGAGTCACATAGTTGTCAAACTCTTTGTTTGCGTCTGTATGACTGCATTCTCCCACTAAGGACACCAGAAAGAGTACAGAGGCTGAAACGGATTAATGGCATTTCCCATTCATTTCAATGGAGCAAGATGATTTGCGTTGACCATGGTCAAGCATCACTGTATACATATTTATATCGTAGATGAAGAAAGTGAGAAATGATCTATTGCTCCTCTCAAGGTTATGCATATTTCACCGACTGGCGCCTGGGTGGAATTGTCCGTGTTCGCAAGACCGACGGTGGGGAGATGGTGGTTATTCGAAGAGGGATCAGCCATATCATGCATGTCAAATCTTTCAACTCCAACTCTCAGATTGGTCAGTGTATTTCTTTACACCTCATTCGCGTTTGGGTCCACCTCATAATGTCATCTATCTGGCTTGCCTCCACTCATCGCAGGTTCCAACCCGTGCAACCGGCCGACAAATCCGAATGGGGACTGCAGCCACTTTTGCTTCCCAGCCCCAGACTCCCACAGGGTCTGTGGGTGTCCGTACGGCATGAAGCTGTCCCCCAACCAACAGACTTGTGTGGAGGATCCTTCCAGCGAGCCCCCAACACTGCAGTGCGGCGCCAACTCCTTCTCCTGTGGCAACGGCAAATGCGTCCCAAACAACTACCAATGCGACGGTGTTGACGACTGCCATGACAACAGCGATGAGGCCAACTGTGGCATCAACAGTAATGTTTCCCTTTCAGTGGCAAAACTGTTTTTCATGATGATTCTTTCAGTTCTGCATAAAAATCGTCATGTCTTTCCAGACACCACTTGCTCCCCTTCTGCGTTCACGTGCGCCAATCATCGATGTGTGCCAGCCGCGTGGCGTTGCGATGGCCACAACGACTGTCTGGATGACAGCGACGAGTCCAACTGCCCGACACATATGCCCGGAACCTGCCCGGCCAATCAGTTTATATGTGCCAACCTCCGCTGCATCCCGCTCAGCTGGCGCTGTGACACTGACAACGACTGCGGCGACGGTTCAGATGAAGCAGACTGCCGTGAGTTACAAATTTTTCACCCAGGCAAATGCAGAAAGCCTTGAAACTTTAATGCAGCAGTTTCGTAGCTAATGTTTTCATTTGCGGAGAGAGATTTGTAATTTTGGTCTCAGATTCACCTTAAGGTCAATATTCATCCACAGATCACAGTAACACATGCAATCCAGACCAGTTTCAGTGTCCGGACCATCGCTGCATAGCCCCGAGTTACGTCTGTGATGGTGATCGGGACTGTGTGGATGGGGCAGATGAGCAAGGATGCAGTGAGTGGTTGCGATTCATTCATTCTTAGTGGAAACAGCGTTTGCAGTAGATGGCAACATTTACTATTATGTAAAGGCTCATTCGTTCATTTCCATACACATTTTTAGCAGTTACCTACAGCCTGTGTAAAACCGAACAAACATTTGCTTTTGTTTCTTGAACGTATTTTTGCTGTAAATAACAAACGGGAAACGATAAAATTTAATAAGCTCAACTGGATTTTGCAGTCTACAACTGCACTTTGAACGAGTTCAAGTGTTCCCGCGGTCATCAGTGCATCAACTCCTTCTACCGATGTGACGGTGTCTTTGACTGCACTGATCGCTCGGACGAGCAAGGCTGTCGTAAGTAAATGAAACAAAATGTTTAATTGTACCCTCTCGACACTACATACATAGTCAAATGAGATCGGGATAAATATCCCGTCTCGTAATGACATATGCCCATATTTTGACGGTGCTATTGCATGTTTCGCAGCAACGAGGCCTCCGGGGATGTGCCATCACGAGAGCGAGTTCCAGTGCCAGTCAGACGGCAGCTGCGTCCCATCCACATGGGAGTGTGACGGCCACTCAGATTGCGAGGACGGCAGCGACGAGCACCACGCCTGCCCGCCTCGCACTTGCCCTTCCTCGCTCTTCCGCTGTGACAACGGCAACTGTGTGCTGCGCAGCTGGCTGTGCGACGGCGACAACGACTGCAGAGACATGAGCGACGAGCGGGATTGTCCCACGCCGCCTTTCCGATGCCCGAGTTGGCAGTGGCAGTGCCCCGGATACAGTATGTGCATCAACCTCACCGCAGTGTGTGACAACTCTCCTGACTGCCCTAATGGGGCAGACGAGTCTCCACTCTGCAGTAAGTCACTTCATCAGCCCTCTTAAAAACTTAGTAACGGTATCATTGCTGAACAATCCGGTTATATTTGTCTGTCTTTGCATTGCGTTCAAATCATGCATGTGTGTGATTTGACTTGTGTTAACCTGAAAATGATTTGTGATTCTCCTTTCTTGCTTTTCTCACAACTTTCAGATGAGCCTTTGCCAGGTAGGAACAAAAACTTAATCATTTAGTAGAAATGGTCGAAACAGAAATGATCACTCACTTAATAGCAGTTTACTGCACTGCCCAGTGCAGAAAAAGTCATTGGGTTGACCTATTTGGGTTTTTTTTGTTCGATAACCTGTTCAACCATAAAGCCAACACTGCCTACACGAGTACGACTACCCAAATTGCTTTTTGCTCTGAATGACCACCTGTCAGTATCAATCAAGATTTCTGACCACATTTCCTCCTCAAAGATGATTGTTCACAATAGTTCCACCAATTTTGACCGTTTATTTTTTATTTTTTTTTTTCCCTTGATACTGACCAACGACCTAGTATTAAATTTACAGCATTGCATCAGTTGGGGTGAAATAACCCCGAAACATAATCACTGCAGAAACTATCCAATAGAGTGCTTTGACTTATTTATTTTTGGTTAAATCCAGTTGGTGACTTTTTCTTGACCGGGTGGAAAACAAAGTTGTGTTGTTGTGATTTTGTTTGTGTGAAAAGAGAACACAATGTCATGCATGTTATTCTTTGAGAATGCATGTACACACCAGGGATTTTTATCCATGTCGGTTCTGATTCAATTTTTTTTTTTTTTGTTGTTTCCTTTGTCCAATTTAGATCAGGAGAGCTGCTTTGACAACAATGCTGGATGCACTCATGGCTGTATCCAAGGGCCCTTCGGGGCCCAGTGCACTTGCCCTGTGGGCTATCAACTGAGTAATGACTCCAAAACCTGTGAGGATATAGACGAATGTCATCCTCTTGGAATGTGTAGCCAGCATTGCTTTAATGAAAGAGGCTCTTTCCGCTGCCACTGCCATGATGGGTACACTCTCGAAGAGGACCAGCGGACTTGTAAGGCCTCAGGTAACAACGTATCAACTTAAGTCTAGCCTGCTCTTTATTCTCGGCTATTTTCTCATTTTAAAGCTTTACGAAAGGCCGGATTCCTTTAGGCAAGATGAATAACATACATGTCAGTCAGTGTTCATCACCGGTGTAATTAGGACATTATCATCAACAAAGGGCTGTTTATGGGGAGTGTGCCTCTTGCACATAGATAACCCGCTGAAAGGAATTGTAACACAATAGGTCTCATTATTTGTACCGAAGTGCATTCCCCAAGGGTGGACATTTGAGAAGGGTCTATTTACCAGCCCTGTCGTAAGGTTGAGTGGACATGCACAAGCCAACAAGCGCTCAGATTAGCATGAGAATAGTCATGAGAAAGTATACGATGTCTGTTAACAGATTCTCGTCAAGCCTTCCTGTTGGTCGCCAGTCGTAATCACATCGTACAAGATGACATCACCACTCTGCCCAATGTGGTCCATTCGCTAATCCGGGATGGACGCAACATTGTGGCCCTTGACTTTGACTCGGTCGATGACCGAGTGTACTGGTCGGACACGAGCCAGGACAGAATCTGGAGTGCTCATAAAAATGGCAGCGATCGAACTGTGGTGAGTTTTAATCCTCGGGTGTCGATGACCAATCGCTGTGCTCGTAAACCGTGTTGGCTTCAATTCAAGACGTGTGTCGACAGATATTTGACAGTGGGGTGACTGTGACAGAGAGCCTTGCTGTGGATTGGATAGGCAGGAACCTCTACTGGAGTGACTACGTTCTGGAGACAATCGAGGTTTCCAGACTAGATGGTAGTCACCGGACCGTGTTGGTCAGCGAGAATGTCACTAATCCCAGAGGCCTGGTGCTGGACCCAAGAGACGGGTCAGAGCAAAACCAATCCTAGCAAAGCTCTGTTTGTGCTGTCATCCAAGGAGTTGCTATTCAAAGTTTTCCTTTGCAGTGCTCTCCTGATGTTTTGGACAGACTGGGGGAGGAACCCCCACATTGAGAGGGCCAGCATGGATGGGAAACTGAGAACCATTATCATAAGCAACAAACTGTACTGGCCCAACGGTCTTACCATAGATTATCCCAACAATTTGTTGTACTTTGCCGACGCCTATTTGGATTTCATCGACTACTGCGATTATGACGGCAAGAATAGAAAACAAGTTCTGGCCAGTGACCTGGTGAGTCCGTGACATGAGTCGCACATCAGACACGCACTGTATTGACAAAAGTATTGGGCCACAAGTTCCTAAATTCTGGGGCTTCATCTGCGCCTACTTTATATGGAACATACAGGGTGAAAAGTCACGATTCCCTTTTAATCAATTCCTAAACATTACAGGAAGGAAACTAAGTTTATTATGACACCTGCCTTTGTTGTAATTAATGTGTTGGAGGGATGATGCAATGGTTTTGTTTTGTTAGTCGTGAATCCAACTCTGTGCTATACCCCAAAATTCAGAGCGGCCCATTGCTTTTATGCACAGTCAAAGCATAAAGCATATTGTTTTGTATTTAATGTTTTAATACCCTTTTTTCTTCTGTTTCTTTGCAACTCTGTGGGAAAAAAAAGGTTCTTCAACACCCCCACGCGATTACCATTTTTGAGGATTTTGTGTATTGGACCGACAGATACATCAATCGCGTGATGCGAGCCCATAAGTGGCATGGGGAGAACCAGACAGTGATGCTGTTCAACCTCCCTCAGCCCATGGGTCTTGTGGCAGTGCACCCAGCTCGGCAGCCAGCAGGTATGGCAGCCACATGCGCCGTAAAGTCTTTACTGGCAGGCTGAATTGCTTTTGGTATTTTGAGAAGTAACGCCACGCTTTCTTTATAAATTTGGGTCCACTTGTTATTCGCTAAGAGTCATGTTAGAGAGCAGTATCAAGTTGTATTTACTCTCACATTTTGGGTTGTGTGATTCATCTGTAGGTCGCAATCACTGCTTCCAGAATCCCTGCACTCATATCTGCTTGCTGTCGGCCATTGGACCGAGGTTCTACTCATGTGCGTGCCCCTCAGGGTGGACGTTGGCAGCGGACCAAGTCACGTGTACCAGAAGTATGTATCGTGCCTGTGTTCAACTAATAACTTTATTTTGCAAAAAGTGGTTCCGTACTTGGCATTTTAATTCACTAAATTGTCTTCACAAGATGGTCAAATTCTGACACTTTGTAACTGAATACCACAATTATTATCACATTGTTTGCATGTCTAAAAGAAAACCGGGTTTACCTCTAATGTGGGAATACTACACAGCTTGGATGGAATGTTATTGTTTTTAAGTCTGGTTCGGAATTTTTTAAAGAAGTAGTAGTAGTCGTACTCGTAGTAGTAAACTTGGTCATTTGTATTTGAATTTTGTGTTAGTTGGTCAAAAGCAGTTGCCGGTCTGGATTCCCCCCTCCAATGTTTTTAATAAAGAGTCTCATATTCTCCTTTGGATCCTCTTGCCATCTACATGTCGACACACAAAAAAAGTATTAGAAAACGACGCCGATATGATTCTGAAGTCTTAAGGAGACAAGGAACCTTTAGTCCAAGGAGGTTCCTTGTGTCGACGGCTTAGCTCATCTCATGTTTCTGCACATGAAAGCCAACACGATCCCCCCCGAGGCCAATGATTATCCAAGAATGAAATTGCCCCTTCACAACTGATTGATTCTAATCTGTGCTGACTAAGCAAATAAGATTCTGGAGCATACTTTCACTTATCAGTAGACGATAACTCTCAGGAAATGTGTACCTACTACCATGTTTTAGAATTCAGGAGGGGAAAAAATTGATTAAAAAAGTTTTATTTTCAATTTCTTTTTGTAGCTGAGGATCCTTTCTTGGTGGTGGTGAGAGACAGCATCATATACGGGATTTCCTTGAACCCAGACGACAGAAGCAATGATGCAATGGTGCCCGTGGCAGGACTTCAGAACGGCTACGACGTTGACTTTGATGACAGTGAACAGACCCTTTACTGGGTCGAGCACCCAGTGAGTTACAGTCCACAAATATTCTGCACAATAACAAACATGCGAAATGGATACCCCTCCAGCAGTGACATCATCATCATCATGATGTTTTCTTACCTGCCTTTCAGGGTGAGATCCACAGAGTGAGGTCAGATGGTACCAACAGGACAGAGTTTGCCCCTGCAGCTGTTCTGGGATCTCCAGTTGGTTTGGCCCTGGACTGGATAACGGAAAACCTCTACTACACCAATCCATCAACACAGTCGATTGAGGTGAGACAATTTATAGAATCTTACGTTTGTTTCATCATGTTGTGCAATTAGTGACCAAAAAAACTCCCGAAACAAACTGTAAAACCCATGGGAACAGTAATTGAACCAGTTTATGCTGGGGCAGGTTTTGAAGCTGAGAGGGGAGTTTCAGTACAGAAAAACTCTCATCACAAATAACGGCTCTCCAACTGGTGCCGGCAGCCCTGTTGGCATCGCTGTGGACCCGGCACGTGGGTAAGCTCCATTTAACAGCAATCCTTCCCCACTTACATTGAGCCTTTTCAATTGCTCGACAAGGCCCAGCCCACTCGTGCACACAAAAAAACTCACGTGCTGATCTACAACCTTTACCTGGACATGTTTTGAAGCAAACTGTACTGGACCGACCAAGGGACGGAGAGTGGCATCCCTGCCAAGGTGGCATCTGCAGACATGGATGGTTTGAACCCTATCAATCTCTTCACCAATAACCTGGACCACATCGAGTTCCTTACTGTGGACATTCAAGAGAACAAGCTGTATTGGGCTGTTACGAGTACTGGCATGGTTGGTCTTCACACAAACGAAGTGGTTTGCTCATTTTGTAAGACCGAAGATCTAATCGTGAATGTCCACAGATTGAACGTGGAGATCCAGATGGGACTAACCGCGTCACTGTGGTGTCAGGGCTTGCTCATCCCTGCGGCGTCGCCGTCTTTCAGAACTTCCTCTACTTCACTGACCGCGATTTTGAGGTCATAGAGCGCATGGACAAGTCCACAGGCGCCGACAGGATTGTGCTACGGGATAATGTGTCCGGACTCAGAGTTCTGAAAGTCCATTACCGAGACTGTAAGTTGAATGCAAGGGGGGAAAAAAAAAATCACCAAACAAAACATTATGTACATCTGCTGTATCAAAAATGTAGTTTTTAAAGTGGTAAGACTGTTCGAATTATGATTACAATGTCACGGATACATCATTCATTATTAATTTTTCATGAAGTTCATTCAAAACACTGTTAATGAGCAGAAACTATTTATTCATCCATTTTCCTTAGCACTTATTTTCATTAGACCAAAAAAATCTGTAGGACAGTTCAATACAGTGGTGCCTGAGTACAGTTCTTCTCACTTGAAAATATGCAGCAGAGAGCCAAATAGTGAACAATTTATTCCCACCCTCAGTTGGAGTTTATTGTCAAAATAAACATAAAACAAAGACAATCTTGGATTTTTGTGCTACAACCAAACACCACTGGTATAAGAATTGCCACCAGCTCAATGATAACATACAGTATAACAGAAAATGCTATTTACATGCTAATGCTAATAGTTAGCATCAACAGTGCCCCTTTTAGAAGCAATGGATTTTCGAACACAAAATGTGGAGAATGTTAAGTTGCGGTTCTGAAGGAAGAAAGCTGGAACAGATTAATCGAATTTCCATTCTTTTTCAATGGTAAAAGATGATCTGAGATAAAGTTGTATGTCAAGGCACCACCGTATTGTGGCAAGGGAGGAAACACACAAAATGTCAATGTTTCTCGTAAATTGATGATTGTTGCTCTTGACATATTTAGCCTCTGCAGGCACAACCAACGGCTGTACCAACAACATAACTGCGTGCCAGCATCTGTGCTTGCCTCGGCCGCAGGGTCTCTTCACGTGCGCCTGCGCCACAGGCTTTAAACTCAACTCTGACAACACGACCTGCGCCCCTTACGAGTCCTACGTTGTCATCTCCACACTATCCGCTATCAAAGGCTTCAGTCTCGAAGGGGCGGACCACTCAGAAGCTATGGTGCCAGTGGCGGGCCGAGGTCAGTCGGTGTGGCCAATCTTGAGACGTTAACTTATGCAAAAAAAACAAATGTGTAACTATTCATCCATCCATTAGCCCAGCCACGTATGGTTTTCATATTTCAGAATGGGGACAGCATTCATAGGTATATTAAAAAGTTGCATTTTCAAACTCTTAATACTGTTTGTGAAATAAGATGAGACACTGTAGTCATCATGATTTCCAAAAGGAACATTCATTTAGGAATTAATCATCCACTGCAATGTAGTCATTGTTTCTAATGAGTTTATTTTTGCTCTTTCAGGCCGTAATGCCCTACACGTCGATGTACACATGGCATCTGGTTACATCTACTGGTGTGACTTCAGCAGCACGGTGACAGCACAGAACGGTGTCAGAAGAATCAAGACAGATGGCTCGGGATTACGTAGTGTAGTGACGAGTGGGATTGGACGCAATGGGATCCGAGGCATAGCTGTGGACTGGGCTGCAGGTATGCTGGTTTTTTCTTTATGGGGGGAAACCGAAATTGAAGAAAAAAAAATCATATTGCTCAACATGTAATTGCAGTTGAAATCCTATACGAATATACAACTTATAATTGAAAACAATGTCATGACAAATCAACTCCCAATAAAGAAATGCACTGGTGGACGTGACAATCAGAAATGTTTTATTTAGAGTTGCTTGTGACTAGAATTTTAATATATAATTGTATTAAAAAGTCATCATAAGGTAGACCTGATGCAACTTTGATTGTGACGCTGATTTCAAGTTCTATATTTGCAACAATCTGCTTGATGATGATGATTATGAAGATAATTTCTCCAATCTGTTAACTATTCTACCCAGGAAACCTTTATTTCACCAACGCCTTCCTGATGGAGACCTACGTTGAAGTTCTTCGCTTGAACACGACTTTTCGAAGGGTGCTGTTGAAAACCCAGACTGACATGCCACGCCACATCATAGTGGACCCTCGGAATAGATATTTATTCTGGGCTGACTACGGCCAGAACCCTAAAATTGAGCGAGCACTCCTGGATGGAAGCAACCGCACAATTTTAGTTTCATCAGGAATTATCACCCCGCGAGGTCTCGCCCTGGACCAGGAAACCGGATATGTCTACTGGGTTGATGACTCTCTGGATATGATTGCCCGAGTCAGCCCCCAAGGAGGGGAGACAGAGGTTGTGCGCTACGGCAGTCGCTACCCAACTCCCTACGGGATCACCGTGTTTCAAGAGAGTATCATTTGGGTTGACAGAAACCTCAAGAAGGTGTTCCGAGCAAGCAAGGAGCCTGGCAGCACAGAGCAACCGGCTGTCATAAGAGACAACATAAACATGCTGAGAGATGTGACTATTTTTGACCAGCGCATTCAGCCATCCGCACCCAAAGATCTTAACAATAACCCCTGTGTCGAGGCCAACGGAGGCTGTGCCCATTTCTGCTTTGCCCTGCCAACCACCGACGTTGGCAACACATCCAGAAAATGCGCTTGCGCGTTCGGCAATCTCGCGGCAGATAATGAGAGCTGTGTGGTGTCAAAGGATGACTATCTCATCTACACTACGGAGAGCACGGTGCGCAGCTTACGTCTCGATCCAGAGGACCACGCCGTGCCCTTCCCCGTGGTCAATGTGCCACGCACTTCGGTGGCGCTGGATTTTGACATCACTGACCGAAGGATCTACTTCACTCAGAGTTCGGGCGCGGGAGCCAGTAAGATCAGCTATATCGATTTGTCTTCTCCCACTTCAGCTCCAGCAGTGGTCGCTTCAGGTAGGCAACAGTATGACTTATTTGTCTTTTGAGACCTTGGAAAATCAATTCAGAGATTTGCTCCTAAATAAATGTAACATGTTTGAAGAAACTTGCTGAAAGCATGTGTCGAGAGTGGAAGGTATGTAGTACTCAGTTGCGGAGATGTAGCGTTAAACTGATTTTTGCCATTTGAGTTTTCCTGACTTTTGGGCTTCGCTAAAATGGCGCTTTGACGCACTTGGCGCCCAAGTGTGGCCTGAGTTGCTCCTCCACTGCAATAAAAGAACTCGAGCACCGTGGTTAGCTAGCCGGCTATTCACATAGACGTATGAAGCACCTTACACAGGTTGATTTTTAAAAAAAAAAAAATTTAAATATGGCATGTTTGTGAACAACACTCCCCGCTTGGCTGTGTGAAATGTACAAGACATATTTACTTTCACTTTCCATGGAACTGTGCTGGACTTGACGGGGATTCCCTCTCCCCCTCCCTCTTTTGTCCCACCGCTGCTCTGTAAATATTCTGCCTTCAGCATGTTTAGGTGTGCTGTCAACTGAAGTCTACCGGTGTGTTGAAACAAGGCACCCCTTAACACCCTTATATGTACATATTCAGATCCCTTCCTGTGATTTTTCTAATGCAACAGATCTAGGGGCCCCTGATGGCATTGCATACGACTGGATAAATAGACGGATTTACTACAGCGATTATGCTAACCAAAGCATCAGCGCAATGTCTGTGAACGGATCTCAGAGGACTATTATCGCACACGTGTCCAGGCCGCGGGCCATCATGTTGGACCCTTGCAGAGGGTAAGGCTTTCTTGCATAGCACGTTGGTCTTTGAACTTTTGCATATTCTGTTCTGAATCCTATCTTGTTGGCCAGATACATGTACTGGACGGACTGGGGAACCCATGCGAAGATCGAGCGGGCTACCTTAGGTGGGAACTTTCGGAAAGAGATCGTGAATAGCAGTCTGGTGTGGCCCAATGGACTGAGCTTGGATTATGAAGAGGAGCGGCTGTATTGGGCTGATGCCAGTTTGTAAGATCCGACAAAATCAGTTTTTGTACTTCAGTGGACTCTTGGAACTAAAACTTAATTGTGCACGTTACACTTTCTTTAAAATTTCTGGTTCAATTCCAAGTTGTTGTTTTTTTTCTCCAAACCATTTGGGTTGCAAGAGTGCACTGCATGCTTTGTGTCTAAAAGCCGTCCTCACCGGTATTGCTACTGTTGTTATTTTCGCTGCGCCATCAGACAGAAAATTGAGCGAGCCTCCCTCACCGGATCGAATCGGGAGGTCATCGTCAGCACGGCCATCTACCCGTTCGCCATGGCAATGTTTGGGCAGTTTATTTATTGGACCGACTGGAACACACGTAGCATCTACCGTGCCAACAAACACGACGGCTCCGACCAAATGGTAATGATTCAGAACCTCCCGTCTCGGCCGATGGATATCCATGTTTTGGCCAGCGGGAAGCAGCAGCAGTGTACGAGTCCTTGTGAGCAGTTTAATGGGGGCTGCAGCCATATCTGTACACCAGGTATGAATATATTTTTAGTTGTCTTTCCAGTTGAATCATCAATTGCAGGAGAAAAAATAAATGACCTAAAATGTGACTACGTTAGGGCCAAATGGAGCTGAGTGTCACTGTCCATCAGAGGGCCACTGGTACCTCGCTGACAACAAGCACTGCATCCTCGATAATGGGACTCGGTGCCAAACGGGTCAGTTTACCTGCTCGAATGGCCGCTGCATTCGTGCCCAGTGGAAGTGTGACAATGACAATGACTGCGGCGATGGCAGCGATGAGCTGGAGAGAGTCTGTGGTAGGGTGTCTTTAAATTGGTCACCTTGCATTTTTTTTTCCCCTCTTGCGTTGGTTGTCTCCCTGACTTGATCATGACTGCAAATTAACCTCACTGTCAGTGCTGTGGTGTCAAAAGTCCTACTTCTTTTACTAACAAGCTCTTTCTTTCGCTGTAACAATAATTGCTTCTTAGGAGTCAAGTCTGACTTCGACTTTGTAGGTGTGTATGCATCCTTCTTGATTAGAAATTATCGAACAAGCTCCTAGCAACATATCAGTACTAATCACAATCAAATCTTTGCATGCAGTCCCTCAGTTCCTGTCATCGTTTGTAGCCTTGTCAGGTAACCTGCGCATTCGATAAATGTGTGCTATATGCAGTTTCTCGCAAGGTCTCTGATAGAGCCCGCATTCCATTTGTTAGCCTTCCACACATGTGACCCCACGGTGTTCACCTGCGGCAACGGGCGATGTGTGCCGTACCACTACCGCTGCGACCACTACGACGACTGCGACGACAACAGCGATGAGGCGGGCTGTCTCTTCAGGCAGTGCGACCCCAACACAGAGTTCGCCTGCAACAATGGCCGCTGCATTTCCAAGGATTACGTTTGCAACGGCATCAATAACTGCTATGACAACGGCACCTCAGATGAGCAAAACTGCCGTGAGTAAAATACAGATATTATCAAATCACACAAGTCTCCAAAAGTTAGAGATTTTGAGCTTTTGGGGGAAGTTTCAGGAATGCACTCCAACCTTTATACTGTCGATGAGCTTATTTTGAAACTTTTGAATGCACATGTCCAACAGACTATTCATTTTCTCAGTTGTGTTGAAACTACGAACAGTTGGATGTTAAAAAGTTTGTAGGACACCCAGTTTACATGTACAGGTTATAGTAGTGCATTTTAAGTCAATCTTGAAATTTCAGTCAAAAATGAGTACTTTATTCTGCACATTCATGACAAAAAAAATGACATGCAAAAAATTGATCATTTTAGCTGAGAGAACCTGCCAGCCGGAACACACCAAATGTCAGTCGACCAACATTTGCATCCCACGTTCATACCTGTGCGATGGAGACAATGACTGTGGAGATATGAGCGACGAGAGTCCGACGCACTGCGGTGAGTTGAACACCAACTAACTCATTTTTCATCCAACAGTATTTCTCAAATCTTAGATCAGCGATGGGCAACTTAAATGATGGAATCATTTTTTTCATCAGCACTACCTGCTGACCAAATAGGACAGTGCCCTTCCAAGTCTCATGATTTTACTTGTTTACTTTGTTCCTGCATGTCATTCAAAATTAAAAAATACCCATTTGTCCAAGCCATCGTACGCGTTTGCAACACCTGCGTTAAAAATGTTCCTATTTTTGCAGGCCACAAATTTGCATTTTCAACGACTTGTCAACGGTTTTTGTGAAGGAAAAAGAAATTGCTGTTTTTTGTGTAGTTTGGGTGTAGTACTTGAACTTTGTGCAACTGGTTGTAGTTTTGACCTAGGTTGAAATATTTCATGGCTGAAAGCAGATTTGGGACACAGGCTTGCTTGCCTTTCAAATTATGGGCAATTTAAAACTGATCACGGAATCATTTTTTTTTTTTATAATTTCTGAAAATTAATCGAGGGGCCACAATGCGTGCATCGCTAGTTGCCCATCCCTGTCTTAGATCGACTGTCCTGTTGCATGTGATTTGCATTTAGTGCAACTACACCGCACAAAAATCAAGCAGCTTCTCAGACTCCTCATGGTGTTTGTCATGTAATTTGTGATGCCGTTTGAGTGATGTCATAATCTTTCACATTTCCCACCTAGCTACATCCACATGTTCCCAGAGCGAGTTCCGTTGTTCCAGCGGCCGTTGCATCCCCGCCCACTGGTACTGTGACGGAGGGGCCGATTGTGCCAACGGCTCTGATGAACCCCTCTCCTGCAGTGAGTGTCACACAACTCTTTTACCCCAAATGGTTCCAATGGCCTTTGCTGGCTTTGTGTGTCTGAACTCATCACCACCACCACCACCACCACCACCACCACCATCACGTCCCCCTCCCCCAGGTTTTGTGTGTTTGTGCCTGTCCGCCCATCCAAGAAGTGGTGAGTGATGCAGTGGAGAGGGTGAGTCTTTGCGGTGTATCTCTTTGTTGACGAGGTGGTCGGCCAGGCCTCCCATTATGTGTTGGATTCTACTGTGGCGCACCCCCTTCAACCTCCTTTTGTCCTGTGGGGGTTACACAGCTTCACGTTGGCTTTTGTTTAGATAGCTCGCCATGCATTGGAATGTGGACTTACTAGGGTTATTTTGACAGTTTTTTTTTTTTTAAACTCTGGTAGTGTTAGATTGCCAAATTTATCATTAATGGGAGTAGCGGCGAATGACAAATGTGTTAATAACAAAAAACATTTCCTTGCTCTCGGCTAGAATCCTCGCATCTCCAAAATCACTGCTTTTCAGGAAATAAAAGCAAAAAAAAATCTTGCTTGAGGTAGCAAAACATTGTTCAAGGTCGTATCAGACTGTACCTAACACAGTGGGCAAACCCTGCCTACTTGTGATTCAGCACCCTTGGATTTCCATATCCCCAGATTAAAAAAACAAACGCTTATTTTTTAATATATATTTTTGAGGGGAGGGAGTATATAGGATGAACTAAAAGTATCAAAAATGTGATATTTCGACACACACGGGTTATTTTGAGAACGTATCTTAATTTGGGTGTACATTTTGTCTTTGTAGCCACGTTAGCCAGGACCTGCAACGCAGATCAGTTCCGTTGTGATGATGGCAGGTGCATCGCCTCGTCCTGGATCTGTGATGGGGACAACGACTGCGGTGACATGAGCGATGAAGACCAGCGGCACAATTGTGGTATGCACCATACTATTTATCATCAGTATCAGTTTCTTCCACTCATTTTGCCCCTCACTCAAACTCTCACATTTCTGCACCTTGGCGTTAGACACATAAAAAAAATGTCAGGTCACAGCCGAATGTTTTTTGAAAGACACTTAAGAATGTTCGGACTGTGACACCTGGGTCATCACCGTGGCCTGTTCAACCTTTTCTTAATCAGCTCTCTCTGATTGCGTCCAGCCAACCGAACATGTTCAAGCGCAGAGTTCACCTGTGCAAACAACCAACCGCCTCAGCGCAAGTGCATTCCTCAAGACTGGGTGTGTGACGGAGACGCCGACTGCACGGATGCGCTGGATGAGCATCAGAACTGCTCGCGGAGATCCTGTGGCGTCAACGAGTTCACCTGCAGCAACGGCCTCTGCATACGTAGCTCCTACAGGTTACACCAAATAACCGCTTTTGCGGTTATGCATCCTGCCTGGCACGATGACCTCATCGTGATCTCTTATTCTAAATTAGGTGCGACAGGCGAAACGACTGCGGGGACAGCAGCGATGAACAGGGTTGTACCTACCAGCCGTGCCAACAGCACCAGTTCACCTGCCAGAACGGCCGATGCGTGTCCCGTGACTTTGTCTGCGACGGGGACAACGACTGCGGTGACGAGTCGGACGAGCTGGAGCACATGTGCCGCACTCCCGCGCCCACGTGCCCCCCGGGAGACTTCAAATGTGACAATGGACACTGTATCCGCCTGAGCCAGGTGTGTAACCGGGACGATGACTGCTCCGACAACAGTGACGAGAAAGGATGCGGTAAGTGTGATGAAGATTTGCTGTTCTGTGTCCGATATACAATGTTCCCCGTATACAGTATCCTGATAGCTGGTATTACCCGCACCATTTTTTTTTTTCACTTTTTTTTTTTAAATGATCGTTTTGGTGGGGGGATGTATACAGTGAACCAGGGTTGTAGTAGTTTGGGATTTTTCATTAGAGTTAATTTTTATTTCATTTTGACTTGACTTAAAATTTAAAAAGTTAGTTTTTGGTCATTTGATAAATGTAACATGTAGTTTCAGTTCATTTTCATTTTCTTAAAAGCATTTTTGTTTTTAGTTGATTTATTTTTTGTCTTTTTAAAATTTTTGTTGTTTTGTTTGTTCTAGTTAACTGTAATAACCTCGCAGTGAACTCGATTCATCTCATTTTGCAACAAGAAACAGTTTTCCAAATAGTGAGCCAACCAGTTATTCAAAAAGAAGCTAAAAGTTGTTTAATGCTCCTCCCAGTTAAAGTTTAATGTCAAATTAAATCAGCTTGTGAACTGCACATGGCCAAACTCAGAAAACAGGTGAGTGGTGATTTTGTCATAACCTGAGCCCTGAGAAACTGTGATGTCATTTTCAGTCAACAGCAAGTGGCAAAATGGCCGCCCCCTGAGAGGGATAAAAATGAGTGGATTTTATGACCGGTGTATACAGTGAACCAGGGTTGTAGTAGTTTGGGATTTTTCATTAGAGTTAATTTTTATTTCATTTTGACTTGACTTAAAATTTAAAAAGTTAGTTTTTGGTCATTTGATAAATGTAACATGTAGTTTCAGTTCATTTTCATTTTCTTAAAAGCATTTTTGTTTTTAGTTGATTTATTTTTTGTCTTTTTAAAATTTTTGTTGTTTTGTTTGTTCTAGTTAACTGTAATAACCTCGCAGTGAACTCGATTCATCTCATTTTGCAACAAGAAACAGTTTTCCAAATAGTGAGCCAACCAGTTATTCAAAAAGAAGCTAAAAGTTGTTTAATGCTCCTCCCAGTTAAAGTTTAATGTCAAATTAAATCAGCTTGTGAACTGCACATGGCCAAACTCAGAAAACAGGTGAGTGGTGATTTTGTCATAACCTGAGCCCTGAGAAACTGTGATGTCATTTTCAGTCAACAGCAAGTGGCAAAATGGCCGCCCCCTGAGAGGGATAAAAATGAGTGGATTTTATGACCGGTACTTAATTCATATTCCACAAACGCATTATTCATCAGAATGCTGTCTTTAGACAAGTGGGAGCGCAAAGAACATATGATTGTAAAGAACGTTTTGGAATTGACCTCCCCTTTAAAAGAACAAATAAAACCAAAATATCTAAAGACGTTTAAATTTTGACTATGTCGTGCACAACATTTTTTTCTGGCGCTTGTATAATTCCAGGTATCAACGAGTGCACAGACCCATCCGTCCATCGCTGCGACCACAACTGTTCAGACACACCCACTAGCTTCATCTGCACCTGCCGCCCCGGCTATCGCCTCATGTCCGACGGAACGACGTGCGACGACGTCAACGAGTGCGCCGAGACGCCAAGCGTGTGCAGCCAGGTGTGCGAGAACACGGTGGGCTCGTACGTCTGCAAATGCGCCCCGGGGTACCTCCGAGAGCCGGACGGGCGCAGGTGCCGCCAGAACAGCGACATCTCGCCTTACCTCATCTTCAGCAACCGTTACTACCTCAGGAACCTGTCCACGGACGGGCAGGCCTACTCACTGATACTCCAGGGTCTGAACAGTGTGGTGGCCATGGACTTTGACCGCGTGCACAAGCGCTTATATTGGATCGACGTGAGCCGCAGAGTGATTGAGAGGATGTCCTTCAACGGGAGCAACAGAGAAGTGGTGGTCAACGGAGTCCTGCACGGGGAGGGCCTTGCAATCGACTGGATCGCAAGGAAACTCTACTGGGTGGATAGTTTCATGGATTGCCTGAAAGTATCTGAACTGGACGGTCGATTTGTGAAAAAATTGGCTGAACACTGTGTCGATGCTAATAACACTTACTGCTTTGAGAACCCCAGAGCCATCGTATTGCATCCCAAACAAGGGTGAGTAGAAGAAATGAGTCTGACGAATGGATTGGGTTAAATGAGCTGGTTGTGAAACTTACTAGGGCAGTGGTACCGAGAGATTCATTCTTGAGTCTGACGAATGGATTGGCTTAAATGAGCTAGTTGTGAAACTTACTAGGGCAGTGGTACCGAGAGATACAAGTGAGCTCACTCATAAGTTGCCGCGCAGACCTTTTTATTTGACTTTGACGTGCGCATAAACACAACATGAAGCAATTTCTTGTGAATTAGTGAACAATTCCTCAAAAATGGGGGCCTTTTATTGCTACTCCTATTTTACTGTCAAACTAAACATTAAACAAATTTCTTGTAGGGTATCTAAAATTAGAGCCGCCATAGCTCGGCTGTTTTTACCCCACAGGTCATGTTTATCATGCACTACTGTCGAGTGATAATGGCTGAGCAAATATGAAAAATGGGATGGGGCAGGAGGGCATTGCATACCCCCCCTTAAACTATTGCAATATAAATGAATGATAACAAGCTATTATTTCAAGCTAGCCAGAGTGTGAGCGGTCACCACCACTTCAGTCTTCCAGTCTTCACTCGTAGAATGAAGACTGGAAGTGAAATCACTCTAAAAATATGCTCGCCCTATCTCAGACACATATGTCACATGGCTTGATTGTGCTTATCCTATGTGAGTTCTGATTCTGATTTTTCCTCTTGTTAGATATGTTTACTGGACCGACTGGGGTGACAAAGCCTTCATAGGCCGAGTTGGAATGGACGGAACCAAAAAAGTGGCGGTTATCACCACAAAGATAGAGTGGCCCAATGGGCTCACCATAGACTACACAAATGACAAGCTCTACTGGTCCGACGCACATTTGAACTACATCGAGTGAGTCCAGATTCTCTTGTCCCTTGCATTTGAAACTTGGAGCCTCGCCACTTCCATCCGTCTCAATGTTTCAGGTACTCGGACCTGGATGGTCACCACAGACACACGGTGTACAACGGAGTTCTGCCTCATCCGTTTGCCTTGACCGTGTTCGAGGACACAGTCTACTGGACGGACTGGAACACACGAACGGTGGAGAAAGGCAACAAATATGATGGTTCTGGTCGCCAGGTTCTGGTCAACACCACACACAGACCCTTTGATATTCACGTGTGCCATCCTTACAGGCAGCCCATTGGTGAGTTCAGCTGTGACTTCTGTCATCCCTGTGTGGTTATTGACTTTGATTTAAGTGGGGGTTTAGATTTCCGGCCTCACAATACTGGTTTTGTATTTGTCCAGCTATTGTAAAATGAGACTGTTTGGGCCTCTTCTCGCTTCTTCCTCCGGTAGTAAACAATCCCTGTGCTGTGAACAATGGTGGCTGCACTCACCTGTGCCTCATCCGTCACGGGGGGCAGGAACACACCTGCGAGTGTCCTGACCACTTCCTGGCAATGCAAATAGGAGGAGTGACCAGATGCCTTCCCATGTGCACCAGCACGCAGTACAGATGCACCAACAATGAACGGTTTGTCTTTCATGTGGCACGTTTTAGAGTCCCACGACCTTCCCTGACATCATGCCTCCGAACAAGTTCTCCGAAAGGCCTTAAAATGTTGCCAATGTTGCATCATCAACAGGTGTATTCCCATCTGGTGGAAGTGTGACGGTCAGCGAGACTGCAGAGATGGTTCGGACGAACCCTCTACCTGCCCCGCACGCCACTGCAGGCTCGGACAGTTTCAGTGCAATGACGGCAACTGCACGAGTCCGCACTTCCTGTGCAACGGCAAGCGGGACTGCCACGATGGCTCAGATGAAGACCCCGTCTTGTGTGGTTAGTTGGGCGATGTTAAGCTCCCATTTTAAAAATTGTTGCCATCTTCCAAGTGTTATTCAAACCTCACCAACGATACCCTCCAGCGACACACCAGTGCGAACCTCACCAATGGCAGTGTACAAATAAGCAGTGCATCCCCGAGTCGTGGCAGTGCGATGGCGAGGATGACTGCGGCGACCGCTCCGATGAAGACCCTTCCCATTGTTCCGCCAGGACGTGCCATCCCGGACAGTTCAAATGCCGCAATGGACGCTGCATCCCCCAAAATTGGAAATGTGACACTGATGATGATTGTGGGGACAACTCCGATGAGCCTCTCGAGGAGTGCAGTAAGTGACGTTTGACCTTCCTTCTTGATACACTGCCCCTGTATGACATTCCGAATACTTTTCTCACAAAGTGGGCCCAGCGTATCGATGTGACAACCACACCGAGTTTGACTGCAAGACCAACTACCGCTGTGTGCCTCTCTGGTCCGTATGCAATGGCCACGACGACTGCAGAGACAACAGTGATGAGCAGGGCTGCGGTGAGTCCAACAGAGGCAACAGAACCGCTCTGAGCCACAAGATAGACTTTTTCCCCCCCTATACTAAAATTTTGTCCCTGTCTTATAAAAAGAAAAACTGAGGAAAGAAAAACCATACGCATCTAAAATCTGGAGGCGGTATATTGCCGCATGGCTCCCATAGATTGAGGGAAGAGGCGAAGTTTTACAACACTTCTTCGACAGTTCAAGCGTTAACTGACCATATCTGGACATAGAACGTTTCCACCCGACAGCAACATATTTATATATTTTGGATTTTACAATAATACTTTTCTATATTATAATTTATTATATACCTGTGATGAAATTGTGAAGTGTGGAGAGTCTCTGTAGCCAAAATGTGCAGTAAATTAATTGGGCTATAATTGCTAACATCATGTCAACTCTCGCCATTTTCTTTGCAGCCAGGACAAAGCAATTAATACACAGGATTATATGTGCGAGGGTGGATTCTCTGCTGTGCGTGTCGCCGAAAATAATTTATTCACAATTTTCTAATTCTGTCGCTTTCAACATCGTCAATCGGTGTGCGGCGGGCCTAAAGCGAGATACAAGATATTTGTTTGCTGTGTCACATTCTTTGTGGACTCAACTTGTGGATTATACTGCTATGATGTCACACTAATTA